GGGAGGGTCTCCCATCATCCCTTCCCTAGCCTCTTGATCTTCTGGGTGGGAGGGCTCGATTGCTTCCTCTCCACTCAGACGAGCATGGCATAGATGCTCTTCGCGTTGCCCTTGCCTGGTAAGCTCCAACTGGGCTTCCATTAAGGAGAGTAGCCTCTCGAGCTTATTGTTGAGGCTTTCGTCCATCATGTTGATCATGGGGTGCTGCTTGAACGATCCACTCTAATGTCAGAGGTCGCACACCTGAAACCTGAGATCGGTAGTTGTATCAATACTATTACTGATTCTGTCGAGTTATGCAACAGTGCTTGTGGTATTGCAATTCTTCACGAGATATGTAGTAGAGCCATCTCTATTACTTTTCTTGCTCGAATCTGTAGTTGTGATGAGGCTACTGCAGATTTCGACTGACCACTGTCGGACACTCCATTCAGAGGTAGCTCGGCATGATCAATAACTTATGCGAACTCACTGATGACACCAAAGGTCTGGTGTGGATATGGATTGGTGGTGTCAACTCAAGTGTCCAGTGCATCGACTATGCTTGAGGTGATCCCCGGACCACAGTGGACAACTGCCTTCGGTTCTATTGTTATCTGGACTGCTGGTTGCTACGAACTGCCTTTGGATGTCAGGAAACAGTGATACAACACATGTGCTTTGGTGAGGAGCAATCTATTGATTGCAACTTATGCTGACTTGAAAACTAATGAGTACTTATGTTTCTAAAGTATTGACTAGTTGTATGGTGAGTAGAGTGGATGTCCCTCCACTTGACCATTTGTGATGAGAAGGTATGGTTATAAACCTCTTCACAGCATCGCCAGCGACACTGCTCCAACTCCCTCTCCAGAGAGTACCTTCACTGCCGAGTACTGTGCAGGAGTCTCCATTGAAACTCCTCCCTCACCACGCCTTGTCGCTCCTGTCTTTTCTGAGCTGTATCAACTCCATCAACACTGCTCCTCCTCCTCGTGATTGTTCACTGGTGCCTGCCACACAGCTCCTCTTCCCTCAACTGGCAATGGTTCTCTTGTCTGCATATCTCCTGAGCCCCTGAGCAGTAACCGTCTGCATGCTTCGTGAGCTCGGTCCCTGTCTCAGCAGCACTCGATCCTCCTCGCTTGCGAGCGTAGTCCCTCTTGCATGTGAAATCGTCGTACGAATGTTGTTGTCACTGATCTCAACGAAATCTGCCATACTATCATACTTACTGCAGATTCTGGTAAGATCTGTGATATTGAGTTTGTTCATGCAGATCCCAATGAGATCTGTCATAGAACCAGGTCTACTACCAATTCTGCTGAATTCTTCCATAAATCCACTGGTCCACCCGATCCTTCGATTCCTGCACTACCTTCATATGAACTGTCGGGTCTTCCCGCTTCCTGCGCCGCCAAGCCCATGACACCTACCTCAACTCAAGCCTATACCATGACATTTACCTAAAGCCACTGGTTGGGACCAGGATACCACCAGGAAAGGTACTGAAGCTTGTAAAAGGGCTATACAGCCTGAAACAATCAGGCTGCGAATGGAATACTGAACTAGATTCCCACCTCCGAAAGATTGGTTTCTACTGTATGCCGAGTGCCTCATGCCTCTACTCAAGAGGGGCAGGCAGAAAACTCACAATCATCATGGCATACATGGATGACATGCTGATTGCATCACCTTGTCGCCAAGAGGTCGACCACACTAAGTCTGAGATCATGAGTAAATGGGGAACAGAGGACAATGGACTGGTAAAGGAATTCCTAGGTATCAAGATCACTTGAGAGAGAAAGCAAGGCAAGATATCACTTGATCTAATTGCATATATCAAGAGCATGGTGAGTAAGTGGCTAGAAAGATCAAGTGAAAGAACTTGGATCCTGTCATGGGCCTGGATGCTCAAGAAGCAGGAGGGTCACGGGTTCATATGGAAGGAGCACAGGTATCGAAGATCTAGTCGATACCAGTAGAGAGCATGGTCGTAGTGCAGTCTCCATGGAGACCATGGACTCCTACGGACTCACATGCAAAGGAGGGCCAAGCACAGCCACGAGGAGGACCAAGCTCAAGGAGCAGGCACAGCCACGAAGAGGACCAAGCTCAAGGAGCATGCAGATGGTTACCACTCAGGGGCTCGAGAGACAAGAGCCAAAGGAACTGTCACTGATCAAAGGAGAAGGAGCAGTGTTGAAAGAGTTGACACCAGGTCATGAGGAGGAGGAGCAGTGTCGAAGGAGTCGACACAGCTCAAGAGGCACAGGGGTGCCAAGCAGGAGAGGCCCCTGAACAGCACTCGATGAAGAAGGTACTCTCTGGAGAGAGAGCAGGAGCAGCATCGCTGGCGATGCTGTGAAGAGGTATATAACCATGCTTTCTCATCATCATAGGTCGAGTGGATCCTCATCCACTCTACTCACCATAACTAGTTATCACTTCAGCATAAGTATATATTAGTTTCAGTCAGCATAGCAGCAATCTATCAAGGTTGCTCCTCATCATAGTGTGTGTGTTGTATCACCACTACCTGATGTCCGAAGGTGCCCATAGCAGGTTAGCGGTCTGGATCAAGATAGAACCGAAGGCAGTAGTCCACTGTGGTCTGGGGATCACTTCAAGCATCAAGTCAACACACTGGACACTCGTGTTGACACCACCAACCTTATCACCAACACCATCAACCTCATTATCATCAACACCCACCAACCTTATCACCAACGTCATCAACCTCATCATCATCAACACTCACACCAGACCTTGGTGTCATCATAGCATTGATATTGATCATGCTGAGCTACCCCTGAATGGAGTGTCCACAGAGGTCAGCCGAAACCTACAATAGTATATACAACGAACGCCACCTGCTGTCACTGCACAACTTGATAGTCACTGATACCGAGACAATAGCTGTCACACAGTTTGATAGTCACCGAGTATCTCGACAGACCGACCTGGGTTTCAGGCGCGAGACCCCTGACAGATCCCAATGCAGAGTGTGGCGGGAATCGCCGGAGGAGACAAATGCATGCCAAGTCAAGCCAAGCAATATCAAGAGTTGGTGGGGCAACTCTTATGGGTATCTAATACAGTAAGGCCAGACATCTCATTTGCAGTAGGAAACCTGGCAAGATATATGTCAGAACCAATTGACAGTGCATGGAAGGCTGCAATACACCTATTGAAGTACCTAAATCAGATGAGCGACTACCAACTGATTTTAGGAGGAGTACATAGGAAACATGCAAGTCAACCAATAGTTACATATACCGACATGAATTGGGCCTCCAACCCTATGAATGGATGAAGGAGTACATCTGGGGCAATCACATATGTGTATGGATGCCCAGTCAGCTGGAAATTGCACATGCAGAAATGTGTAGCACTATCAGCAGTGGAGGCAGAGATGGTTGCCACATCCAAAGCAGCAAGAGAAGCACTCTTCTTCTCATACTTACTCAGAGATCTAGGAGTGGCTGGAGTCAAACCAATATTGCTCACTGACAGTCAAGGATGCATACAAGTCAGCAAGGATCTGGCCAAGCATTGGAAACTCAAGCACATTGACACCAGATACTACTTTATCAGGGATCATGTACAGGATGGTGATATATCGATCGAGTTTGTCAGAATGGCTAACAATGTGGCCAACATTCTCACAAAGCCCCTCAGGGGGCTTAGCACAACAAAGGCATCGAGGATGATAGGTTTGGACATACCATTGAGGGAGGGAGTTGAAGATACATTGGTATTGCCAAGAAATAATGTGTTAGATCAGAACACTCATGATCGGGGAATCGGGAAGACACCAAGCGACAAGGAGGATGAGATGGATGCAAAGCTAGTGGGGCACATGCAACTTATGCTCGAGGGTCGACACCATGGCATGCAGGAGGTATGATAACATGACAATGGTAATGAAAGGAAGATACATGGCACATGGGCATGACTTGAGAGAGTAGGCTTAGCTGGATGCCAAAGCATGTATATATACTCCTGTCTAGTTGTCACTTCCTCATGGAAATATAAGCACTTTTGTGAAGATCCACTTGCTTAAGTTGAGCACCTGACTATGGCCTTACTAAGCGGTGTACCTAAATTCAACTAACGAAGAGCATCATTGCTTTGCAGCAGGGGGATGGGGCTGTTAGAGCAGACATCAAGTCACACTTCCGCTGCTCGGCTCAAGTCGGTGGGAACCGCTCTGTAAAAGGACGTCCAAATGAGAGAGTAAGCGGCTCCACACAATTTCAGCTCGTGTGTGCGTGATTAATTTTCCGTCTCGGCAAAAATCTCAAAGCTCGTGAAAAAGTATTTCTCCCTGCGTGAGAGTGGAGGAAACGCGGAAGCAAAGGCCCGAGCGCAGGTCCTACAGACCACACAACGTCACCATGGAAACACACACCGCGCTTCCTCTTGCCATCAACCCCCGTTAGCGAGCTGCCGATGATGATGAGGATGAGGTCAAGAGTGTGGGAAAACTTGCTACTCCAGAAGTCAAACCTCGCGTGATGTTGGTGGTGGAGAGTGGATGTCATTGCTTGGCGTCATCATGGCAAGGCGTGGAAGTGTATAGCTGGCGTAAGCGAAGGCGGTTTCAGTGTGAAAGGGAGTCGCGGGATGTGTGAGGGAGGCTAACTGTAGATCCGGGCTTGATTTTTAGAATGCATTTGCTCTACGTGGAATGGGGCAGAGGAGCTGAGTGCATCAACCACGTCCAACCAAACCCAAACCCACCACACACACCCACTTGGTTACAGCAGGGATTGCATATCCGCCTAACATCACCCACCCCTTTCTCTTTCTTCGACGACCTTCATTTGCGCTTGGACGCTCTTGCAGATAATCCTCCATCACCGTCTACTTGGTGGCACGCATCGCTCAAACACACACTCCTAATCATCGAACCAAGTCCGTTCTTTCAACACTCACTCCACCACCACCACCACCACCACCATCTCACGCCAACGAAACACCTGCCTCCCATATCCCCCCTTTGAACTTTGCGCAAGATGGGCGGCAATACCAACAACAACAACAACCGTCGACCATCGCGCGGGTTTCCCGTAGATAATCGTCCAATCGATACCCTCGAGATCGTGTACTCAGGATGGATTCTCAAAAAGAAACGAAAGAAAATGCAAGGTTATGCCAAACGCTTTCTCGTTCTTACCTCGGACGGTATCCTGACCTATTCCATCTCTCCTGAAAAGCCGACCAGGGATGCGATCGAAATCCCCCATGCTTCTGTTACTTCTTCCATGAGGCACGGTACTATTCATGTCGATTCCGGGTCCAGCGTGTTTCATCTTAAAGCGCTCTCTCCGCAAGACTTTGAATTGTGGAGGACCCATCTGAGGAGTTTTATCCCCGAGAGACCAGCTGGGAGCTTGAAGAGGCTGTATGTGAGCAATGGAACCGAGCTCCAGCCTGTCGATCTAAGCCAGGTGTTTACGCATTTAGATCAGACTGCGGCGCTGGTTAAGGATCTCGAATCGCGCAGCGGAGGATTGAAAGGAAAAGTGGGAGCGGGGGGAAAGAGTGCAACGGATGCGATTATGGGTGCATTCGGTGCCAAGTCCTCCTCCTCTTCTGACGAGCAAGTGGCTGCGTTCCATCTCACCGCCGAGAACCTCGTAGCTGAATTCGAACAACTCAAAGCAGCCATCGAGGCAAAGATCCCTAGGGTGGATGAAAATGCAGGTACTATGCGAAGTATGTCCACTCTCACCGGCGCCGATGGGGGTGCGGCGGGTAGGGGGAGAAGCAGTAGAATGAGCATCAGTTCGCTAGCTACAACCGGAACGGACTCGGCTATTTTCTACGATGCTGATGCTGGAGGAGAAGAGTTTTTGATGGATGATGAGCATCAGACGGAGGAAGGTAATACTAGTAGGCCGGAAAGCATTGATGCCGAGGGAACCGACTCGGAAGCGGAAGAATCGAACCAAGACACAGACGAGACTAGGACTCTTTCCGAAGATAGCCGTTCCAAGACTTGCACCGGCGGTGGGGGTGGGGGTAAGGTTGTGCAGTACCGAAAGAAACTGCCGGCTAAGGTGTCAGGCGATGAAGTATCGCTGTTCAGCATGCTTAAAAAGAACGTTGGCAAGGATCTTTCCACCATTTCCTTCCCCGTTTCTTTCAACTGTCCACTCTCGCTACTCCAAGCTGCAGCAGAGGAGTACGAATATGCAGCTGACCTGCTCGAACGTGCTGGCAAGTCTCAAGATTGGGTGGATCGAATCTGCTTAGTCTCTGCATTCGCCATCTCCGGATACGCCTCCACCAAACTGCGCGCGAGTCGAAAACCCTTCAACCCCTTGCTCGGAGAAACATTCGAGTGCGTACGACAAGATAAACAATGGCGATTCCTAGCGGAGAAAGTGGTTCACCAGCCGCCCATAGTCGCATTCTATGCAGAAGGCAAAGGGTGGAAAGCACAAGGTTGGAGTGCAGTCAAGAATAAGTTTTGGGGTAAGAGTTTGGAGTTGATCCCCGAAGGTTCTATCAGGCTTGAATTCGGAGATGGCGATGTGTTCTCCATTCAAAAACCCTCTTCTTTCATGCGGAACTTGCTTGCGGGGAACAAGTATCTAGAACATGTTGGGGAATTGGTTGTGACGAATGAAAGTACGGGCCAGAGAGCCGTACTGGAATTCAAAGAAGGAACAATGTGGGGCGGATCTTCATCCCGCAATGTCGTAGAAGGGAAAATATACGATGCGAACGATAGCACCGTTACCACAATGAAAGGTAAATGGTCGGACAGCATTTCTCGACAAAAGGACAAAGAAAACTACCAACTGCTGTGGGAGGCCAACGAAATGCCTCCGTATGCAGAAGAGTATTATGGGTTCACGTACTTTGCTATGTCTCTCAACGAGCTCAGCGAGGACTGCAAAGATGTGCTCCCCCCGACAGATTCAAGGCTTAGACCCGATCAGCGAGCGTTTGAGGAGGGACAAGTGGATAAAGCAGAAGAGTTGAAGCATAAGTTAGAGGAAGCTCAGAGAGCAAGGAGAAAGAAATTGCAGGGCGAATACGTGCCAAAGTGGTTCCATAAACAAGATGGCGACGGACCAGGGTGGGTTTATGGTGGCGCTGATGGTGTTGACTACTTTAAACTCAGGAAGAAGGTGGCCGAGAGTGGGGATAAGGGCGCTTGGGACGAGGTTAAGGTTCCGAACGTCTTCGAGGTATAAGTCTCTATACACGATCAAAGCGTCTTGTTGTCTTACAAGATCTTACGCACACCTTCACAGGCCAAGTTGGGCTGGGTTGCTTCGGTTGCATGTTTCAACTTCTTGTTCAATTCACGTTTTGTCAATATTCACACACGTCAATGCCAAGTTCCGCTTCTCGATTTTGTTGGTTCTGACACCATTCTGCTCTGAGTAAGTTCGGATGAGTGAAGGCTATCTAGCAAGTCATGAGGGGAGAAAGTGCGCTGAGATATTAAAGAGTCGAGCTTGATGAGGCGTCCATGCACGAACGAACGAACGAGGGAGGGAGAGGAAGGTCACAAAACGCAGCGAAGCAAACGACTATAAACGCACAGCAATATACCATCCACAAAAGCTCAGACTCTACATTCGATCCCTTTGCTGTCCAGAGCGACGCTACACCAAGCCAATAGTACAAACACATCTAAACCGATACCACAACCCCTGTTTCCCACTTTCCAAATCGCCATTCTCCAAATGAACCGTACCCAACAAGCTGCTTGATTTCCAACCCCAACTCTGACTGATCGTAAACTTGTCCGGCCCGCTGCTGAACTTTGTTAGTGCTGTACCCAGAGGTGAGGGGCAATGAATGCTGAAATATGCACGGAGTTCTTTGCGCGTATCTCGATAGGGAGCGGCGGGGAGTGGACAAATGGAGTATACGGAGGGACCGGACGGGTAGAGCGGGACGATAGGGGGTGGGTGGAATGGTGGGACTGTTGTGTTGGAAGAGGTGATGGGGTTGGAGGTGGTGTTGGTGGGCATGGTGGAAGTGCGGGTGGTGTTGTGGATGGGGGTAGAGTCGATGGAGAAGAATGGCGAGGAGAGCGAGGTTGGGTCTGCGTGAGAGGCGGTGAGGCTGTTGGCGGCGGAGGATGCGGTTGCGGAGGATTGGGTAGGATCGTTGTTGTCTAGTGCGAATAGATCGTGAGTAGTGTTGTTGTTGTTGTTGTTGTTGTTGTTGTTGCGCATGGGGGAGCTGGAGGAATTGCTGCCTCCCATTCGAGTGATGGTTCTGCCGTTGGGCATGGTGAGTGTGCTTCCACTGCCTGTGGTGTTCATGCTTGCAGAATACCCATGTCCACCGGCACGCACAGGAGAAGTGAAGCTAGTGTCGAAGAAGGTACCATTTCCTTCGCCTCCTACTCCGTCATCTGTAATTGTAGGAGCAGCTGCTGCTGATGCAAACATTGAGTTGCTTGCCGCAAACTGCTGTTGTGCAGTGCGATTGGTGCGAGATGACGACGTGTGGGCTGCAGCACCTGCCTCTGCACCACTCGGGGTCGTCGATCCCTGTCGGTCCCTGTGCGACGTACGCGAGGTAGGCGTCTCCACCGAACCACCAGGCCAGACACCGTCAGCCGACAGTCCAGGCGCCACCTGCTCCCCTCCTTCCACCGGTGTCGGGGCAGATGGCGGAGGAAGCGACTCCAACAAGCTCTGCCTGTGCAAGTAGATACCTAGCTGAATGCCCTTGACCTTCTTGACCACCTGAATATAAAGATTCCAGACACTGCCTGCATAGAAGAAGGTCGGCGAGTAGAGTCGCTGCTTCTCTTGCAGCTTGTCAATCCCAAAGAACTCGACACCAACCCTCATTGGCTCGTAGCCACTCCATCGTTCAGGGGACATGCCATTGGAGTCAATCGACTCAGCGTCAGCTCCGTCCCCATCATCGTTGGGGTCGTGCGAGTGCGAAGTTGACTCTCCAGCTGTGGATCGTCTTGCGTCGCTCTCGTCAAAGTGTCGCGGTGATGATTCCCTCGCCGACGCTTCCGAGGTGGGAGACAAGTGTCGATAGGCAAACTCGCCAAGCTCGCGACCAGTGGCGACATCGTTGGCCATGCCGTAGTAATGCGATAGATCGCGTTGTTGATTGGACTGGTTCGAGGTGTCATGATGGATCACTGCATTGATCGGCAATGTGTGTGGAAGTTGAATCGCTGCAGTGCCCGAAGGACCGAGATTATCATCTGCAAAGACAGAAGTGGCATTTCCTCGACCATCTTCGGAACTCGGTGCTCGACCTGCAATCGACGCTGTACCAGCTGTTGATCCCACCACCGACATGAGACCATCACCGAAGCGAACAGTATCGTCCGAGGGGACCATGTAGAACCTCTTGCTAAGCAGTCCTGCTTTGCCTCCTCCCAACGCTCCAAGCATTAGTGGACTCGCTGCAAGGCCACCTAAACCAGAGGTGGATCCGAAGCTCATGTTGGCATCACCATCGTCCGTCATATAGCCTGGCGTGATGGATCGGCTACGAGAGAAGCGTCGTTGCGAGTTCGCTGCATGGAGACTCGACTCGAAAGCTTCTCTAAACTCGGTGATGGAGCTCGAGATACCCAGCTCCCCGGCTCCATCCATATCTTGGGCTATCGAGTCGGGCGCGTCAACGGATGATGCATCTCTGCCAGCAGCCTCTGCCTCCTGCATGGCTGCAAGTATGGCTTTGCGTCGACTGTCGTCGGTGCTAGACATGATGTGCATTTTGAGCTCATTGCTGATCCACAGAGCAGCTTGCAAGACATGAAGCGGAGTGTAGGGCCGACCTGTTGTCGGCGAAACGTCGGCTCCGATCTTGTTGAGCGCGGCGAATGGCATGTGCGAGTAATAGATGCCTGAAGAGAAGAGCTCTTCGTATTCAGCCTCGTCTTGGTCGATCGAGGGAGAGAATGAAGTCGGGTCGACACCATCATTCCAAGCCTCCTGCAAAGGCGTAGCCGCAGCCGCATCTGCATCATCGTCACCGCCTACAGATGAGGTTCTGCGGAAAGCCTTGAAGCCGAATCCATCACCTGCGTCTGATAAGGCTGCACTATGAGTCGAAGCTTTTGTTGCACCACCCGCCTTCTTGCTCGCTTCGGAAGCTGGGATCTTGTCCTCATCCTTGCGGATCCAGTCGTCGATCAAGCGATCCAGGACATTGATGAGTGCTTTCTGCCTGCGTCGGAATTCGACGACCTTCTTTGCAAACTCGTATCTGTGTTGTTCAGAGGGAACGAAGAAGGCATCCGATGAGATGATGGCGCGGACCCAAGAGCTAGGCATCGAGGGGTAAGACCAAACACGGAGTCGTGGAGAAGGCATACGCTCCTTTGGATCCGGCATGCGTCCTCTCGGCAGCATCGAAGTATGCAAGAGATCGACATCGCCAGTGTGGAGACGGTCACGAAGAACTGCCAGCCTTGCATAGTCGCGGTCTTCCCGACACATGCTGATCCAAGTCTCGATCTCGATAACGCGTTCGCGTTCCATGGAGGATTCCAGCTCAAAGATGTCAAAACCCCAGCGTGCGAACCAGCAGACGCAAGCTTCTCCAATCTTGTCTGCTGTCAAGCCATACTGATACTCGGGAGCAATGTTCTCTGTGGTGTGGATATCGAGCCCTGTTGGCCCAGTGTCTCGGAAGCCTGCCGTCTTCTTTGCCGATCGCTTCTCGTCGCGACCAGGCGTTTGCGATCGAGGCTCTCCCGAGAGGCTCTCAGGGTAGAGGGATTGACTCTGTCTACTCCGGAAGGCTTCTCTTGTTGGAGTCGTAGACTCGTGCTTCGACTCGAAGGTAGACGAGGTGACCTGCACCTTGTTCGAGAAGTCATGGGCAAAATCGTCAGAGACGGTTGCGTCAAGGCTGTCGAAATTGGTGTGAGTCTGCTTCTGTGCTGCAGCGCTCGTTGATGGATCCGAGCGAGCAAGGTCCTCGAGTGTTCTTGCAGGCGCTTCGAGCTCCCAGTCCCATTCGTCTAGATCGTGGAGCATCTCGTCGGAAGCAGATCGATGCAGGTCAGTGCCTTCAATCCCACAGCCGATCGCAAATCGGAGGTACTGGACGACAGTGAACGGTGTTACTGAGCAGATTACAAGCGTGAGTGCCTGTGAAGTGACGCTGGGAATGTTGAGGTAGATCGATGTAGCCAGCAGAGATAGAAGGAAGCGCGGAGTTGCCGGGTGAGAGCGCTTGTGGATGAGCAAGTTGGCAAGCTGTAGGTCAGAAGGCTGAGACACGCGCATAGCGAGAGCGGGCGAGAAGGGATGCGTCGAAGAAGGTGTCGACCAGAAGGGGAGAACGAGTTTGGGCCCATCGCCGTAGAGGCGAGCAATGCAGTACTCGAATGCTGCTCTGCTGATGTTGGGGTCGTCAAAGTGGAGTTCCACGGCATCATTGTCGGTATCCTTGTGTGTTGCTGAAGCTGCGTTCGCCGATGAGGAGGAGGATGGTGGCGAAGCATGTGACTCTCTATGGCTGTGCTTCTTGCTGAGGTTTGCTGCAGCAGATTCAGCTGCTAGATCTTCGGCATAGCCTCCACAGAGCATAGCTCGAAAGAAGCCCGATTGAATAAGAACAAGTCGATGTAAATGATATAGACGACCGAAAGCTCTGATCCGAATGTCAGAGCATCGGCCGCCGAGCAGACCGAGCTGGTAGATATGATGCTGCATGGTTGCTAAGTTGCTATACGGTCCTACAAGATGGAACTTGCCGTAGACGATATGGTGAAGTCTGGAGCTCTAGTGCAAAGCTCTCAGACGGACAACTTGGTGAGCCTAAGTGAAGTCAGCCAGCACGAGCATTCGAAATCCAGATGAGTGTGACGTCGGTTTCAGCGGTGATGAGATGCTGATGAGATGCTGATGCTGAAAGAGGGTGCCAGGGTGGATGAAAGGCGATCTTGTCGGAAGGGTCCGATGTGTCGCGTGTGATTCAATAGAGTTAAGTGTAGTTGACATACACACGCTACAGTCACAAACTACCAAACCAACACTTTCAGCATTAGAGAGACCATTTACCATCACTGTCACTTCTTCCTGGCTCGGCTCTGCTGCTCTGACCTTGTGTTGGTTCAAGCGACGGACGCGCGAAGCGCGTGATCTGTGTGTGACTTTTTTGGGCATAACTACAGAGTGTTTGTATTTCATAGCGGACGAGCCACCCTGATTTCGCTGCCGTTTACAAAATCAAATACATAAATTCTTTTTCTTTCCTTTTCGCCCTCTTCTCGCTCTTTTTTACCGCCCGATAAGCGCTAAAATGCAGGGTGATGCAGGGTCTAAGCTTTCGAAAGGCGAGAAAAAGTGGAATTGCCTGCTTGCAGCGCTCGGATATGATTCTCATCACTACCAACACAGCCGCAGCATGCGTTCGATAGATTAAGATTGATTAGCAAAGACGAGTAAGGCAGTAGTAAATGCAAACATGGACATCAGAGAGACGAGCAGTGACGTGGTACGGAATGATTAGAGAAACTTAGGCATAGGTATCGTCGACAAAGAGGAAGAGGAAGGAGACAATCCTAACGAGGCATTCAAAGTCCAAGTCATTTGATTCACCTCGCGAGCAAGTAGGATTTGGGCCCAATCCGGATGCTTCCTAGATCACTGCAGGAGGCAAGCAGGAAGGCAGACGGTTCACCTTCCAACCATCGGCCTCTCGAGGATCGGATCTGGGTCAAAAGGCTGCGCACGCTCGCCACCAGCAATCAGGTCGGTCCAGTACAGAGTGTCGCCTCTTTTCAGCACGCGGCCTTTTCTTGAGCAAGAAAAAGTAGGACCTCGATTGCTGCTTGGACTCATGTGGACCTCCTGGTTGCTTGGTGGAGGACCGTTGAATCGAGGATCGCGGTCAAGGTACTGTTGCTGGTGCTGGTAGTGCAGTGCAACATTAATCTCGGCCTTTTCTGCCTCCAGATCATCCTCGTCCAGTCCATGCGGAAGGCGATACACATCGCGACGTGAGGCATTCGAGTGACGGAAGAGCTCGGCCTGTGAAGCTTGACCCATCTGCTCGTCCTGCAAAGCTCCTGCATATGCCTGTCGTGGACTGCAGTGCATCTGAGGTGCTGGAGGTGGCATCACCTGCGCTCGAACACCGGGCTCGCCAGGAATGTATCGACGCTCCCGAACTGAGATCTCGGAACAGTGCAATACGGTGCGATGACCGTTCGAGCTTCTCGAGTGCTTCATCACGCTACTTGTGCAGCGAGCGCAAGGTGAGATGATATTGTACCCCACCTGAGCTCCGCACCCGTAGCAACCCAGGCTTTGCGTCAGACACTCGCACGTTCGCTCCACTGGTGGCTCGTTCGAGTCGACACCGCCATGGAACGAAGATCCGGCAAAGAAGGGTCCGCAAGTCGATGGAACAATATCAGTGCTGTACAGAGTGATGTTGGGCTTGAGCAGCAAAACCGCCTTCATACCACGATCGCTAAGAAAGTTGCCGCAGTGCTTGCAGTTAAGCAGATACACCTTGTGCTGCGCTTCCTTACTCGACGACTGCGAATTGGAAGAGACGCTGGTAGAGTGAGCATGTGAGCTGCTCGTGCTAGTACGAGGTTGCTGCGATTCAGCATGGCGGGATGGCCAAGCCGGTTGCTGACGCAAAGCCAGATGCGACTGTAGCGCCTGTCGAGTGCGATACAGTTCAGTCTCGTGCATGGTGGAAGCGCTGTGTACTTCGAGCATCTCGTTTCGAGATGGTCTGGAAGTAGGATAAGGTGCAGACCTTTCGAACACAAAAGTGCGCAGTGATGAGGCAGACGTCGAGGCCGATCTCGATGAGCTGGCTCTGGAGCTAGTAGCGGGGATAGGAGCGAGTGCGTATGCTAGTTGAGGCAATTGAGGCCAAGAAGGCAAGAGCGATGCAGCTGGCTGGGTTGCTGGGCGTGGCCTCGCTGATCTATCCGACATAGGCACTCAAGCAGCTCGATCGAGTATCAAAGTCCGCCTGTCTCACGCACAATGTTCTCGTGCGTAGCTATGACTGAGCTTTGATGCGACAGTGGAGCAAGGATGTCGGGGATGCCGTCGATTGCGAGTTTTGAACTGTGCGTGATCGGATAGCTGGTCAGAGAGTGCTCAACCAGAGTTGATTGGCGTCTTGTGATTGCGGACGATAAGCTCGGTTCAGAGTGAAATGACCGTTCGCTTTGTGTTGGCGCTGAGATGGTAGGTGTGTCGTGCGCTAAAGGTGGTCAGGTTGCTCACGACAGTGGTGGTGATGACCCTGTTGTGGACAAGTAGGGTGATTGACGGCAGAGTAGGTGTTGGCAATGCTGAAGGAAAGGGCAGAGGGCGATGGTGTCGATGGAGAGAGGAAGGAAGGAAGCAGGGAGGGAGAGACGAAGGTCGTGGCAAGTTGAGATCGAGGGTAATATCAATCTCAGACCAAGGCCGCGGTAAGCAGCACTGTACGGCGTGGCCAGCAGAAGACCATATGCAATGCAGGACGAGGAAAGGGGGGGTTACCTGGGTTCGAGACTCGCCTATCGCTAAGGGACAGTCGCTGTATTGGCGAAAGAATCTAGAGGGGAGCCAAATTCAGACACAAGAGGGTTCATTCACTGCCGCTATGAGCAAGCGATCCGGGCGGGTGCGCCAAAGATGACAATGCATCGGCTGTCACTGTTGTTTAAACCTGCAAACAAAACCAGAAACGACTGCCTTCATACAGACGGTGGATGCTAGACGCCTCATGAGATGCATCAGACTTCAAGGTCTCGTGTATACGCACGCAGGAGAAAGGGGAGGAAGCGGCAATTTTTAGAGCGCCCGCCCGCTCAACGGCGGCAGGCCAAGGCCGAACAAAAGATCAAGGGAGAGAGAGAGAGAAAGAGTGTGTCTGAAACCACTAGAAAAAAGAGTGTACTGTACAGTTTCATGCAGAGCATTGACCCCACCTGCTGCGTCTGCATCTGCTTTCAACCAAAGTAAGAAGAGGCGATCAAAGCGAAGAAAGAATGGCACGACAAAAGAACCACGAGAGCAAAGCCGCTTTGTGGCGAAAACGAGGTGTAAGACGGTGAGCATTTGCAACACACTCTCCCTCAAACCGCGCTCCGGGCTCGGAGGCATCGGTATCGCAAAGCGTCGCACGACAAGACAATGCAGGCCGGCAAGGTGAGACAAGACAGCTCTCCCAAGTTTTTTACAGTAATTTCACTGTGCCATAAAGGATGGTGACAGATGTGGGTGACAGAATGAGAGACATCATCTCGACAGGGGAGAGAGACAGAGCAAGAGAGCGGTGACGGGAAAGAGAGGCTTTGCAGTACACCGAGCAGATGTCCAAGTCGGGGGTCTGGACATCTGGATCTACTAACTGAAGGGTCAGAGAGACACGACTGCGAGCGGACAAGAGTAACACTCGCTATCAGCATACAAGAGGTCGTGAGCTGCTGCAGCGACATTCTTTGAGAGCACCAGAGTGAGGTTAACGGCGAGGGCGAGGCGGCGATGGGGTGAGTATTTGCAAGCCAGTCATCAGCCTTCCGCCGAGCCACCACAGCCACGCCCCTTTGATGGGCGCCGAAGAAAGAGCGACCGGTTCCAGCCCTGGTCTCAGAAAATGGGCAAGTGCAAGACATCCAAATGTCGACGTTATGCAACACCCCAAAGAGAAGAAAAAAAGAAAAAAAGAATAAAAGAATAAAAGAATAAAAGAATAAAAGAATAAATAAAAAATAAAAAAATAAGAGGTGGTGTAACTTTCGTTATGCCAACGACGCTCTCTTGGTCCATCCGATCATGCAGTCAAGGCTGGTCCCTATCCTTCGAGCTCCATTCCTCCTAACCTATCCTCCCCCCTCTCTCTTTCACTATAACTGACTGTCTCTACCGCTCGTCGACGTTGCAGGCGCTAACGTTGACGTGCTCATGTTTCTCTCGGATTGATGAGCTGCAGATCCAGACAGCTGCACCTTCAAAGACCTTGTATACACCACCATTCATGCTTGGAACACTCACAAGCTGTTTCTCGGGTCGATCGAGCTTCATGCTTCAGACTCATCTGCTCATTGTGCCTTTTTTAGAGGCTCAAACTCGACATGCTATGAAGAAGTGACCATGCCTGCGAGTGAAATCGTTCTGGATCTTGCGGTTTACGGTACACGAGACATGAGACGAACAATTGACCTCATACCGGGCTGATGAAAGCCGCAACGGGCCAAAGATGAATTTGGTCCGAATGAAGTAAAGAGTAGCTCTTGTAGATCGGGCTGGCAGTGCAATGCAATGCAAACGATGATGATGTTGTACTAGATTGCAGGCGTATATTTCGCCTGAGCGTAGTTCTCTTTTGACATTAAGGGAGGAACGAGCACCAGATGAGTCTAAGAGCGGCAAGCTCGTCAAGCTGTGCACTGGTCCTCTGGTCTGGCTGGCTGGGTTGCAATTAAGACTTTTTATGAACGAACGGGGCGGCGCAAGTTTGTGTGGCTGGCTGGACCTAAAACAGCTCACCGATTTCTCACCTTTTCTTTTTTTCTTTTCTTTTTTTTTTTCTATCTTTTTTTCTGGTAGTCCGAATATCCGACATCTTCGTCAGTTAAACGACAACGATCATCAGCTCTGACAGGCAATCAACAGCCTGAGTTCCCTTGTCAGTCAGGCAGCTTTTCTAGCTGATGCTACATGTTCGTTTGATAAGATGAAACACTCCTAGGCTCGCGATGTGTCGACAGCTTGACAGGCACTTGTGACTGCTGAACGCCGCCTTGTTGCGTTATTCGCAATTTTCCTTTCCTTTCTTTGCCTTTGAGACGTGTTTCGCCTGCAAACTTGTAGGTGACCGCAGAAAAAGTGTCATGAGCCGAGACCGAGACTAGACACAAATGAAATGAAATTCGAAAAACGCTGAAATCGATTTTCAGCCCTTGCGCCTCGATTCGCCTTGTCTCGAGCTCAAATCGAATCAAATCGCCAACGTTCACGCATCGGGATCGCGATTCACCGACCCACCACAAACTTGGTTCCATCACTACCAGCCAGTCACCACCTACTCATTGACGCGTGTCGACATGGATCGCTGCTGCTGGAATGACCATTCGATGATGCTCGACGAAAGGATGATCGCCAAGCGACGTTCTATGCCGAAGTACGGGTGCGAAAGAGGATCGATGGCACCCGATCTCGATTTGAAATTGAGCACTCGCTTGGCTCACATCATAGCAACTTGTCATGTTCCTGAACTGCACCGGAGTATGAATTCTCGCAACAAGAATCGTGGGGGGAAACTAGCGATGGTCGTCTTGTCCAGGATCTTGCTTCCAATGTCGCTCAACCCGCACATGCGGTTGTTCTGAGACACCCTGTGCGCCATACCCACAGCATCGTTGAACCTCCGCTTCAAGCCTTGTTCTCTCCCTCATCATGCTGACTTTGGTGCGTCCATCCATCCTGCCAAGCTCAGATCACAGTCAGAAGAATGAGATGCAACCCTTCTGATGCCCGAATATCAGTCCAAATGGGGACACAATGGACCATTATGTTTAGACTGTCGACCAGCTCCGCTTCTTGGCTGGGCACAATAGTAGGGAAGCCAGTGAGTTAACGTCTCGAAGAAATTCAGTTACACCGAGTACAGGGAGCTGCGTCGATGCAGAGGGAGCGGTTCATCGACGCTAGCGCGCTCGTCAAGAGCATGTGCCCTAGAAGATAAGACACTTGAAACTGCAGCGGCAAGAAAAAGCATCAATGAATGTCCAACTCATGCTTCTGCGGAGGTCTTGCCGCCGTCGCGCACACGACACACACTCTCTCTCTCTACCGCTTGCTTTTTCTCGCTGTGGTTATGTTGTGTTGCCATGTGCGATATCCCTTGCCTTGCTTCGATGCGTTTCGGTGTCGAGGAAACTCGACAACCATCCCGTCTCGCTACCATAAGGGAGAGCCTAGGCAGAATCAGCATCGCGTTTTGCCTACGGCTGCGTGCGTGCAAAGAATGACATATAGTCCGGCTGATCAGGCTCGACACTGCTGCTAACAAAATAATCGACCGCTTTTTCGAATTTGCAACGAAACAAAAAACCTTTTTATTTTTACGATTTTCACAAACCAGACCTTAGCCTTTCTTCGCTCCTGGTCCTGCACTTTTGAAGTGCCGACCGCAGGAACGCCGTTGCCGAAATGCCGCGGTCAAAGATCGTCTATCCCCTTCCCGATGCCTGCTTGCAACAAAGCTGCGACAACAATCACGACAGCTGCCACGATGCAACACACGATGATGTTCTGAGTGGTGTTGTGAGAGAGTGAGATTGCCGATGCGGTCCTGCGGCTGACATTTGAGCTCGCTGCCAGACCTCCTGACACCGACGCAGATGCAAGCAGGAGACAATAGCGAACGACTGCCACGTTTCATGTTGCTAGGCCTATGCAACCTGCCCAATGAAGAAGTATGTATTTGCCATTGTTCCCGAGACCGAATATAAATGAGTTGAGCAGCGAGGACATGCCAAGAAGCTTGGATGGATGTTTAGCCATGGCAGATCCGAATGCCAAGGGCAAAAGCAGCAACATCATGGGAAAACACCGGAAGCTGTCGTAGCAGCTCGTGTCACCGAGAAGCTTGTTGTAAATGAGTTACGGAACGACAACTGTTCCGACGTCCCAATTCCAAGAAGTACATGCAGCAAGGGCTGATGCGATGCAGAAGACGTAAGGAAGAGCCAAGATCAAGAGTTCCTTGCTTTTGGTGTTCCGACTTTTCGGTTCTCGTCGCGCCGGTCGGTGTTTTAAGTGAGCGAGCAAACAGCACTCGACAACTTGTAGACCGGGGTTGGTGCTTTTCTCGCATGCACAACTTTGCCGCCACTGTATGTAAGCCACATGTGAGTTTTCTCTGTCTATTGTTCGGCATCGACCGGGCCGATGCCTCCGACCTCTCTGATGTTTCCTAATTTGCAATGGAGGTTCTCCCGATGGGCAACTAGGATGACAGGATGAATCTCGATCGGGGAGGTCGTTTGAGACCAATCGATGCCACACGTTTTCAAAGCAGCAACCGACAAGATTGCTCAAACAAGACAAGGTGTGGTCACAGACAACCTAAAAGAAAGCTAGTTTGAGCAGAATCATTGCTTTTCCCTGGGTAGGATGCCGGATACGCATGACAATGAGGCTCAGAGAACACCTGTAGAACGAAGATGCAAAGGAAAGGCAGAAGAGGTGAGGAAGTCAGCATCCTTGCAAGCTCGACGACGGAGGAGTGTTCAAAAACAGAGGCCCTACGACCAACGACCTCTGCCGCATGGTATCGAAACTCACCCTTTGTGCTAGGCACATCATCAGTCCCAGTCCTACTAATCGCCTCCTTAATCGCCAATGCCAATGCCTTAAAAGCCGATTCCGACCTATGATGATCATTATCACCCCTCAAGCAATCCACGTGAAGCGTTACCCCTGCCTCCATCGCAAAACTGTGGAAAACATGAGGGATCATTTCACAGCTCAAATCTCCGATCTTTTCCCTCTTCAATCCTAATTCCGCCACACAATAAGGTCGGGAACTAATATCGATTACCGCTCTACTCAATGCTTCGTCCAGGGGAGCATGACCGGTCCCATATCGCTTGATGCCTTTGACGGGTCCGAGAGCTTTCTTGAAAGCGGCACCAAGAGCTAGGGCACAATCTTCGGCAGTGTGATGGTCGTCAATCCAAAGATCGCCGTCGCAGGTGAGAGTGAGTGACATTCCGCCATGCTTTGCTAGCGCGTGCAGCATCTGTAATGCATGAAATATGCGAGGCAGGAGTTAGTATAGGGGATCAAGAGGTGAGGCTCGGCGGAGAGGGCGAACGTACGTGGTCCAGGAATCCGATTCCGGTCTTGACATTGATGGTTTGAGGAGCGAAAGTGGGATGGGTGTCGAGGGAGAGGGAGACTTCGATCATGGTCTCGTTGGTAACACGAGAAACGGTTGCGCTTCGAACTTCAAAGTTACCTGTAGATGCTGTTGATTCCATCTTGAACCTATAGCGAGTTGTGAGTGCTTGGAGCGTTGGTTGAGATAACGATAGTGGCAAAGGAAAATGTCTGTGCAGCTTAAGACACAAATGACTTGCTGCTGCTGCTGCTGCTGCACTGTTCACAGTTTCTTCTCAGCAACCCTGCAGTACGTGTTCCGACTTCCGAAGTATTTTCACGCCGCGCTTAGAATAGTTGATACTCAGCACAAGACAAAGGTAAGGTTTGAAGGAGGTCGGCATCAGTTGATGCTGGGCATCATGGTTGTTAAAGCTACGTGATATTGAGCAAAGTAGTGTCTGCGAAAGGAAAGAGCGAAGGACTGCAGACTAGAATGGAGTGTAGGCCTTCGTCAAAGCATCCCCTTCAAAATCCAAGCAGCCATCTTCACCCGTCGTCTAACCTGTCTTTCAGGTCGTTGGAAAAGCTTCTCATCCACCACATCCGTCGCATTTCGCTGCAACGTCTCGAACTCCTCCCGAAACCTCTGAGAAAGTTCCTTCGACTTGGTAGAGATCAAAAACGTGCATTCGAGATCTAAATCAGCTGACCTTGAACCGTAATTGCTCGATCCCACATGCATCATTGTTGGCGTAGACTCGTCCACCAGCTCCGATGACGGTGGTGTATACCAGATCCCCTTCGCATGATAAGTCCAGCCGTCTTTGTTCCACTCTCTAATCTCCACTCCTCCTTGATTCACATCTCTGCCATCCTGGCCCAAGAGGCGCCTCGACCGTTGCAGTGCCTTCCAGAACTGATACTCATACCATGTGTAAGCTTCCGGAATCCACCCTGAGACGCCTCTGGATTGGAAGAAGCCATTCGCTTCGGGTGCCGCACAGATGATCTTGACGATGGCTGTTCGTGCAGCTCTCGCCCGCAACAAAAGGGCTTTGTAGGGTTTGTACAGGGAGAAGTAGCCCGATGTCAGACCGAGGTTAGGGGGCTGACCCTGTGCGTCGGGAGCTTCGAGACCTAGGCTGAGGACCTTTGGGATGGCTTGTGTTTCTTGTCTGATGTGTAGCGGTCCCATTTGCAGTAGCGGTAGGAGGAGTGTATCTGCACTCTTCTCGCCTGAATTTGTCTTTGAGTCGGAAGAGGACGAGCGGTGATGCCATTGACGTGTGAACTCTTCCAACGACTTCGTCGCCGCGCTGGTCCATCCGGGCTCTGCATATGGCTCCAACGATGCTTGACCAGCCAAAAGTGCCGGACAATCCTTCCCGCCGTCCCATATCAACTTCCAATCCGGCGAAGCTCCTTCCGCACTCCTCCCTTGTACCGGTATCGACTCGAGCTTAAAGCTGAACCGCCCCACAGCATGCACCAGCGAGCAGAGATAATCAGCAACCTCCCTATGCCTCTCAACCAGCAAATACCTATCCCTCCTGTTCGTAAAGTAGTCTCGACTCAAATTAGCTCCGCTGAGAACAACATCATCGTCAAACCCATAGATCTTCATATGTTGCAAACCCCAACCTTCGTTAAAGCGTTTGCCTACGATCTTCTTCAGCAAGCCTTTGAGGTTTGGTGTGTGGTAGAGTCGAATTTTGACGCGGTCGGGGTATCGAGCATGGAGCTTGGAGACGAGGCTAGCGCATGATGGTGTTGGATGCGCTTCTCGTGTGCCTCTGAGGGCGTCGACCAGGATGGTCAGTTGCAGTGCAGGGTTGCGTTGTAACGCGGATTCTAGATATGTGACGAGCTCTGTCTCTTCTTTGCCGATGTAGAGAGATGCAAGGAAGATGCGTTCTTTGGCTTGACTGATCTTGGTTTTGAGGGTTTCGTAGAAATGTGAAGGGTCTCGGAGGAGGTGTAATTGCTCGCCGGAAGCCGAAAAGAGCGGAAGGCGGAGTTCGTCGGCGAGTTGTCTTGTGAGAAGGTATGGATCTTGCTGCGATGTGCTGGGTTCAGGTTGATGTACATGGGTGGTACTGTGAAATGGTCGTCGAGAGGAAGAATGGGCGTCCAGACGTGGTGTTTTGAGAGTTCGTGGTAGGACAGGCCGCGAGCTGTAATGTGCAGCTAGGGCGCACCTTGACGTGGCGAAGTTTGACCGTAACAGGCTCATCTCCATACCAGCCCTAGAGGTGCAACGAGAGATAAGGAAAGCGGCTCCAGGGTAAAGATCGTAGGAGTACGAGAGGACTAGTGGGGGAGCAGCTGGACCCTCCATTCACAGGACAAGAACAGAAGAAACATGCTTTTTCTGTAAAAAGTGGAGTACGCAAGCTCCGAAATCCGAAATCCGAAATCCGGCCGTGTCTTCGGAACTCGGCGAGTTGGTGTGAGCTGCTAAGAGGCCCGCGTTTGTGATCGGGCATGCGCGTCGTCCTGTGGCCTGAAGTGGAGTTCAGGCTACAATTCCAGAGTCCAACACTCCTCACCTTCACCACATCCACCTCATCTCTTCCACATTCTGATCATCATATCGTTCGACCAAACATACATCTGCATCAACTTCAAGCTGTCTTGACGAAAGATCGACCGATCCACTCATCCCGCTGAAATTCTCGCTCAGCTAAGCACAGGTCAAAGAGTCCCGAAGACAGAACTCAGTACCTCAAGATGCCGGCCACTACACAAGAGGTAAGTTGATCTCAAGGATGCAAATAGGACTTGCTCGACCTTCTACTGACCATCTTTGCTCTATATGCTCCACTATTGACTCCGACAGACAATCAGTCTCTCCAGCACAAACGTCATCATCCACCCTCTCGTGCTTCTCTCCGTAACCGACCATGCCTCCCGATCAGCCTCAGGCTCGCGCAAACGAGTCGTCGGTATCCTCCTCGGTCAAGACAACGGCAAAACCATCAACGCCGCCAACTCCTTCGCAGTACCCTTCGAAGAAGACGAACGAGATGCCAAAACATGGTTCTTGGACCATGACTACATTACTGGCATGATGGAGATGTTCAAAAAAGTCAATGCCCGCGAAAAGATGGTCGGGTGGTATCACACCGGCCCACGACTCCGATCCTCGGATCTCGAAATCAACGAACTGATGAAGCGATTCATTCCCCGACCTGTCATGGTGATTGTCAACCCGAGACAGAGGGATGTTGGAATCCCAACCGACGCCTATTTCGCCGTGGAAGAGATCAAAGATGATGGAACTGCAACGCAAAAGACATTCATGCATGTTCCTAGTACGATCGAAGCTGAGGAGGCGGAAGAGATCGGTGTAGAGCATCTCTTGCGTGATATCCGCGATACAACAGCTGTGGGAACCTTGTCGACGCGCGTTTCGAGCCAGTTATCGAGCTTGCGTGGTTTGCAATCGAGGTTATTGGAGATCAGAGATTATTTACAGGCGGTGGTGGAGGGGAAGTTGCCGGTAAATCATCAGATCATCTATGATTTGCAAGATATTTTCAATCTGTTGCCGGATCTGGATAAGAACAGTGAGGCAGCAAAGTCGTTTGCGGTTGATAACAATGATAGGTTGCTGGTGGTGTATCTGTCGAGTTTGATTAGGGCGGTGATTGCGCTGCATGGTCTGATTAGTAATAGGAGGGAGAATGAGAAGGGCGAGGAGGAGGCTTCGAATACGATTACGAATGGAACTTCGGCGAAGGAAGGTGCTGATGATGCGAAGAAGGAGGATGGGAAAGAGGAGAAGAAGAAGGATTAAAGCAGAACGTCAATTGTGACCCAGATCTTTCGCAATAGCAACATTACCCGCTCTTAACACGATTGATACATGACGAATCTGTTCAAGATGGGTCGAGTCAAACGAAAGGTGTTGGTTCTAGCTCGAGTCTGATTCGACTTCGAATGGTTCACGCAATGATCTTCTGCCTCATTGCAATTGCTTTTCGTCGTCCAAGTAGGCTTATCGTCAGAAACCAGACTGTGAGAATGCTCCTCCATCGTCCATCATATACTTGGCCTTTCTTGACCACAGACAGGGCGCTGTGCTGGAAATGTGATCTTCTGATGAGCTGTGTTCGAAAATTGTGCGACTTTCAATTTTTCGCGCATTGACCTCCACTTTGCTGCCTCACGCTCGAGTCTGGAAGTTTTTGGTGATTCTCATTAGGTTGCACCCTTTCACTCCTCTTACCTTCTGCGCTTGCTACTTCTCTCCTCACTACCGCCGTCCGAGGGAACCAAGCCGGTCTTGACCCTTCCCAACCCCCCTACTTCACGATGTCCTCAGACTTGCTGATCCCAGAACCCCCATCCGAACCCCTCCTTCTCCGCTGGTTCCGACGTCAATCGCACCTCCTCGCCGAAGAACGAAAAGAAGAACAAGCACAATCCAAACTCCTCCTCTCCAAAACAGCACCTAAGACCCTCGAGAAACATGGCCTTGCCCTCCTCAGTCTCGGTGTCGCATCCATCCGTATTGGTGTAGGCGCCAAGCTGCTAGTCGAGTTTGAGAGGCCATCTGCGCATTATTCCAGCCCGAACTTTCCACCGCACAGTTTCAGGACGGGTGATTTGGCTGCGGTACTGGATAACGGAGCTGATCCACAGGCTACGAATGAAAGTGGACTGTTGTCGGGGGTGGTGTATAGGGTGAATGATACAAGAATTACGTTGGCGATCAGTGACGGGAAGAAGGGGGCGGGGGGAGGAGCCAAAGGGTTGGGTTCGGAGGGCAAGGAGAGAGGAGGGAATAAGAGAGATGTTCGTAATGGAGATAGTAACAAGGTTTCAGGTAACGATCTGGATTTGCCGGAGAGGATAAGATTGGTCAAGGTGGCGAATGAGAGCACTTTCGATCGGCTGGAGAATACGCTTGATAAACTTGCGAAGACGTTGGGTGTGTCTTTTGCTAATGGCGCTAATGCTGGTGGCGATACTTCGGCTGAAGACGAACCGCCCACGCCCTCCTCCTCCTCATCGTCGGGTAATGCTACGAGTTTTACGCGGTCGCTGTTCGGTCTAACTCCTCCAACGTGGAAAAGCATCGATCTACCCCTGCCACCATTCAACCCCAACCTCAACACCACTCAACTCGACGCAATCCGACACTGCCTCTCAGCGGACCACTTCTCACTAATCCACGGTCCACCAGGTACAGGTAAAACAACAGCCATCGTCGAACTCATCATGCAGATCGTAGCATCTAACTTCGGCGCCACAGAGCCAAATGCTCCAGTCCGAATCCTAGTCTGTGGAGCATCGAATCTAGCCGTAGACAACATCCTCGAACGTCTAGTCGGCTCGCCCGAACACCGCGAAGTGTTCAAAAAGAAATTGATCGGAGTCACACGCATAGGTCATCCCGCGCGCGTTGTCGCCAATCTCGCAAGCTCTACTCTTGACGCACAATGTACCACATCCTCCGAAGCGCAGTTGGTGAAAGATATTAGTAAGGAGATAGAGGGGATCATGTCAGAGCTCAAACCCTCCTCTAACCCCGCAGGAAACAAGTCTACGAGGGGACAACCAAAGGTTAGGGGTAACGATAGGAAGAAGCGGTGGGAAGAAGTTCGTGAGCTTCGAAAAGAATACAGAAGGAGGGATAGACAGGTTACGTGCTCAGTTTTGGACAGGGCGCAGGTGGTTTTGGCGACTTGTCATACAGCGGGAGGGAAGCAGTTGGCGAGGAGGGAGTATGATTGGGTGGTGATTGATGAGGCTTGTCAGGCTGTGGAGTTGGGGTGTTGGATTCCGATATTGAAGTGTAGGGAAGGAGGGAGGGTGGTATTGGCTGGAGATCATTTGCAGTTGCCGCCTACGGTTAAGTCCAATATTGGGATGTCAAAGAAAGGTAAAAAGAAGGCGGTTGCAAGCAAGGAAAAAAATGCAAAGGTGAAGAGTAAAGATTTCGAAGCATCAAAGGAAGTCAATAATAAGCAAGAAGAGGAAGAAGAAGCTTCAGTCAGTGATGACGCCGACAACATTGCAGAACGATTCTCCTCCATATTCCTGAAAGATCTCCCCCCTCGTCGACTCCGACCACCACGAACACTCGAAACAACCCTCTTCTCCCGTCTCCTCGGCCTGTACGGTCCAGGGATCAAATCCCTCCTTTCGATCCAATACCGAATGAACACCTCCATCATGTCATTCCCCAACCTCTCCCTATACGAGTCCAAGCTCACTGCACACCCATCCTGCGCCGATATCCGTCTCACCGATCTCTCCAACCTCCACCCCCTCACCGACCTGGAAGATGAGGAGGAAAAAGAACTCCTAGCACCAGTCGTATTCTACGATACCTCTGGATGCGAGTTCTACGAAACCACGCCTTCCCCGGAAGAAGGTCTCCTCTTGGCGGACTCCAAATCGAACACGCATGAGGTGGAGTTGGTGGTGAAGCATCTGGAAGAGTTGTTCGCGAGAGGGGTAGTGGCGGGACAGGTTACGGTCTTGACTCCGTACTCTGCGCAAGTGGCGCTGTTGCACTCTGTGATTCGTTCTCATCGCTTTTCTGCCCCGGAGAATGGGGGAGGGGAGGTGGTGAATGGGGAGGAAATTGAGTTGGGGACAATTGATAGTATGCAAGGCAGAGAAAAAGATGTTGTTATTATCAGTCTGGTGAGGAGTAATGCAGAGCAACAAGTTGGGTTCTTGGCGCAAAAGAAGAGACTCAATGTTGCGATTACAAGGGCTAAGAGACAGTTGGTGGTGGTTGGAGATGCAGAGACGATAGGGAATGCAAAAGATTTACCCGACGATTTCCTGCCAAAGTATATGGAGTGGTTGGATGAAGAGGCGGTTGTTCATCCTGTTGTTGCCTCCATTTAAAGTCAAAAAGCTCGCTCACTGGGCACAGATAGCATCGCAAAACATTCTTTCATGTTTCATTTGTGCTGTGATCGAATGTGAAGAACACTGAGTTGGAGAGAATGTGGGAGAAGGGGTGAATTAGGCACTCCTATCAAGCAACACCATCCGCCACCGTCCATCAGCAACCTCCAATTTGCCTCTCGGCACCCTTCGATTCGCAATCATTCTAAACTTCATCGCAGCCAACGTCGGATTCTCCCCTACCCCACCAGCCAAAATCTCCTGTTCAAATTTCACCAACTCTTCAAACCTCGCATCATCGTCCTCCCTACTATAATCCCACAGCTTCTCCACCGCATCATTCGCTATCTTCTCAATCCCATCCACCGCCTCACTCACCTTCCTTGCTCTACCCCTAACCGTATTGGAACTTGCACAGAGCAAATGCGGCAAAAGCTTCCCCGCATCGGATTGTAGCGTCCCCAACCGATCTTTGAGAAGCTTCTGAATGGAGCTGTAGAGATAATCTTCTTCGAAAATGGTTCCTTTTTTGCCACCTGCTTTTTGGCGTTCTGCCTTTTTCTTGAGTTTAGCTTCCTTTTTACGAGAGCCTGATGTGGTGGAGAACGTTGCAAGGGAGGATTGCTGCGAGACGATGGAGGTTGCACGTGTGTAGCGTGTGAATTGGGTCATCTGGGTGGATGTGTCGGACATGATATCCAAATTGTCCAAAGCCGGGTCATTCTCGAGTTCTCCACCATTGTAGAGTCCACCTTCGGCTTGGATAGCAGCACGTTTCTCTCGCAGCTCTTTGATCCGGCCGAGCTGTCTGGTGAGCTGGTCGTCCATTTCGGAGACGTCCTCTAGGAGGGTATTTGCTGATTCGATGAGCAGTGGGTGGAGAGTGACTTCGATGAGATCGAGTCGGTTGTATGTCGTGAGAATGCGCCGGGCTTCAGAAAAGTCGCTGCCACGGCAGAGAAGTGTTACCGCTTGTTCGACATCGCGAACGTATTCGAGGCAAACACGGGCTGCTTCGATGTACCGACGCGACGTCTCTAGTTCGTCGACGATGCTTTTAGCCATAGCGACGATCTCAGATGCGGGCAGCTTTTCGACAAATGCAAGTCGGATTGCTTCTGCCCAGTTCGTGCTCGATCTGTACGCATCCAGCGCTTTCCTGGTTTTGCCGGCGAGTTGGAACGCTGCTCCAGCATCATCGAACTTTCGACGCGTGAGAAGGTATTCTCCGAACAACTCGTATGCGTCTCTCAACCGACTTCCCCCCTCATTACCGTAGAGCTCCAGCGCCTCGTGGTAGAGTTTGTGCTTATCAACATACGACGATGCTTCGCGATGGTGGTCAGCCCCAGACTTAATCAGCCACGAGAGGGCTTTAGCATGACGACCCAAGTGATCGTCAATACGGAACTTCTGATACTCGGGCGGCGACAAAGTGCGCAACTCGCGCAAGAACGGCAAATATTCCCGCGGATCTTTACGCTTAGCATGTTGCGCAACCATCAGTGTCAGCGTGAAATCGTACATCCCCAACGCAACGTCAAACAGCTTATCGGCGTCAGCGAGGAAGATGATATATTTGACCGCTTCTTCTGTTGTCTCTGGATCCTCTTGTTTCAGCCGCAAGAGGAGGGATAGACCAGCTTCGTAATCGGCGGGAACCTTGCGCACGTGGGTTGTGAGGATGGATTGGATGTACTTGCGCGAGTCAAGCTTTTCGAGTTCGGCACGAATTGCATCGCAGACTTTGTTGACTTTGCCTGCTTTGCTTCCAGCAGTGTCAGATGAAGTGCCGGCGGCAGGGGCAATCTGAGCTGTGAGCGGCTTGTAGAGGGTAGTTGTGACATCCTCATCACGGAGGCCGGAGAGGAAGAGGTTGAGATAGTCGACATCAGCGACCTGTTGGACGAAGGTAGCTACGTTGGCCATGAACGACTCGGGATCGTGGTCGTAGAGGATGTTGACGTCCATACGGTGTGTGCGGCAGATGCGGAAAGCAGCGCCGTAGCGTTTGGCGTCGATGTTGCGTCGGACTACCTCGAGCACAAGAGGGCGAGGGTAGATCGTTTCGAGGTTGCCACGAGGCATTTGCAGGATGAGTGACATGGCGGAGGGAACAGCAGTGACGATGCGACTACCGCGCTCGACTCGTCGACCCAAGTCCACAGCTTCTGAGGTGTTGCCTGGTTCTCTTCCATCGTTGCTGCTTGCTGTCCACCGCAGAGAGGTCAAGGGGAGGAACCTTGCCTCGTGGGAAGTGTTGGTCCAAACCAAGAAGACACCGACCAGGATGAAAGATGTTGCGTCCTTTGCGATGACTTGACTTTCAGCAAACAGGCGACCGTTAGAGGCCAGACCGATGACCTTGCTATGCTGACCCGCCTTACCGCTTGCGAGGATGCGCAAGTCATTGCAAAAGCGTTCAATCTTTGTCAACAGCTTGGGTTCAGAGTCGGCGAGTACGTGCACCGCACCGTCCTCTCCTTCGATGTAGAAGCTCGGCGACGTTATTGACGATGGCACGAATGGGTCAGACACCAGACGTCGCTTTCCGTACCCCGGCATCTGGATGGACTCCGGAGAGCTGACCTCGATTGAATCGGCGTTCTTGGCCTGCACGAGGTCAATGCGGTCCACGACAGCACCCTGTTCTTCGGAGCTGAGTACAGCAACTGAAATCTTGCATGTCTCGCCGTCCTTCAGCGAGGATGCAGACCATCCTGCAACAGCAATCTGGTGAGCATAGGCTGTCTCTCCAGAAAGCTGTACCGTAGCAATCAGTTCTGGCTGTGCCACAGGCTTACCTCCAACTTGAAGCTTTCCACCTACAACACCCCACTCAAATCGCCAAACCTGAACGTATCCATTCTGGAAGACGCTAGCCTTGATACCAACAGCATCGTCAGCAGTTTTGCCTGGTAATTGAGACCATGCCGTGTGACAAGGCACTGTAACTGCCTGAGCTGAGCTCGCCTTCATCGAGGAGCCGGCAGGAGGTGTCAGAAGGCTGAGCGACGACATCGGCGGTGGCACGTTCTGCATTCGGAACGGAGTCAGCAAGACTGCTGCGCCATCCGCGACAGCGACGCAAGCGACATCGAGAGGAGGTCGACCGGAAGAAGTGACTGTCTCAAGGGCAAAAAAGCACTGTTCGACACGATCAGTGTGCGCAACGAGCAGCTGGAGAGGGTCCTCAGAATGCCACTTGACCTGCTCAACATTGCTGTTTGAGGTCGAAGCGACAAATTCTTGCTTGAGGTACCAATGATAGTTGCCCGTGGTGTAGATTTGAACAACGTCGTGTGGAGCATCGCCTTGATCAGCGCTTGTGACTCGAGTGAGCCAGACTGCAAGTGCTGTGCCATCAGCGTTCCATGCAAGTTCTCGGACATAGTGCATTCGCGTCCATGGACCTTCCTTCTGGGACTCGTTCCATCCGATCTGAGTGCCTTCCGGTTGGGAGGCAGACTCTTCTCGCAAGCTGAACTCGCCGTGACGCAGACCATTTCGCTCGAAGAAGACAACGTCATGTCTGCCCTTGCGTCCCTGACTCCACACCTGACCTTCTACGTCTGATGGTCCGAATCTTTGTGTGCTTGCGATGAGGTTGCCGATGGGTCGAAAAGCGAGCGTCTGAGAGATTCCGCGAACTGAAGGATCGGAAGTGGCCGACAAAGCGCCTGTCCTTGAGTAGATGCGAATGATGCGATGCCATGATGGCTCTGTCATGGTCTCGTCCAGGAAGGGTTCGAGAGAGCTGATAGCAAAGAAGGCACCGTCGCCTCGCCAACTGATGCGTGGCCTGCCATCGTCGTCTGGGAGCCTTGGTCCTCGCGTGTCAATCTTGCTCTCCTTTGCAGCTGCAGCGGCGGCCGCTGCAGCTGCAGCCGCCGCTTTGCCTTCTGAGCCATGAAATTGTGTAGCCTTGCTGCCCCAACCAACATCGACAGCTTCATCTTCCCCAAAGCTATCGGTTCGAAGGCTGACTTCGGAGAGGACTTCAAAGTCTCTTGTCATCAGTAGCACCTTCTCGCCTTCCCTTCTCCTTGTTGATGACTTGTTCTCTGGTGTCTCTGATGTTACGATGACCATCAACTCGTCATCTGGGCTCCATGCTGCAGCTGTAATACCTTGCTCGATGGTTCCCACCACGGAAGGCTCTGACGTTGGGGCATCGTCGACAGCTTCATATCCGCTCGGAAGTGGCAAAAGAAGCAGGTCGCCGCCAGCTGAGACCGTGCAGAGTGCTGGCTTATTCTGCGCTTCTTGCCCGCCATCCGAAAGGTAGTGCAGGTCAATAACATCCCTTGGACTGCGACCTGAAGTCGAGGCAACAGCGGTCGATGACCCTGGCAAGTCAAGCAACCGACCAGGAACAAGCAAAGAATTAAACCTCATGAAGCCCAGACCATCGTCGTTAGCTCTTAAGAAGGTAAGAGTTACATCTGCTGCGTTTGGAGAGGTGCGAGAAGTGGCAATGGCGTAAACTGAGCCGTCTTCGAGGTCGGTGGCTGTTGCTTCGATCCTGAGGTTTGCTTGCGGAGAAGTCGACGGCAGCGCAATAGCTCGGTGTAATAATACTGAAAGGTTGCGCATTGCTGCGGCTTTGTTACTGAGCGATCTTCCTCAAAGGATGCCGATGCTCTGTGTCGAAGAGTGTCTGGTGAAGAGGTGTAGTTGTCGGAAGGTAACTGATCAGAAGATATGGACATCAAAAAATTGGGAAAGTGCACTGATCTTCGCTTCAAAATATGACTGCTCCAGCTTTTTCTTCTCGTGACGTTTGTGTGGAGCGAAGCTAGAAAAAGGCGTTAAAAATTCTAGACCAAAAATCTAGAAAGAAAAAGAAAAAGAAAAAGAAATAAAAAAAAGTGAACAATCTTCGAAGCGCCTCACGCAGTTCAATCTCGACCTCTCCTTGCTTACTTGTGAAGTTTCTCTCGCTGGCACTAACATCGTAGAGCTTAGAAATGAGCCCTTCCATATAGACAGCAAAGATGTGAATTAAAGGTAGACATAATAATAAAGTAAGCACCGGACCAAATACGTGCTTTGTACGCTCTCTACAGCTCGAGAATAGTAAAAGATATGCTAGATGCCAGATGCTAGATGCTAGATGCTAGATGCTAGATGCCAGATGCTAGATGCTAGATGCTAGATGCTAGACGAGAAAGGCAGATGCGAAGGAATGCGCGGAACCCGTGCAAAAGCGAGACATAAAAAGAGGTAGCCTGCTTAGAAGTCAGAGAAAAGCTCAGGGTAGGGGCATTGGTTACCAGCATCGGTGCCAAAGAGATCAGGCATGGCGCTGGGTCTCGCCGGCTCGTACTTGCTAAAGTTGGAAGTGTCACCTGGTTGACCAAGGTAAGGTACGATGGGAGGAGGGATCTTGCCCTCCTCCAATGCCTTCCAGTCCACGCCGTAGAACCAAGGGTGGTTCTTGACATCGTTGGCTCCACCTCGAAGGTTGCCGAGACGTCTGCTTCGGTCCGATGTCAAGAGGCTCGAGATAAGGTCGCGTGAAACAGGATCAATACGTTCGGGGAACACCAGCTTGCCAGCCAAGATCTTTTCATAGATGAGGATCGGGTTAGGGTCATAGAAGGGTGGATAGCCTGCGAGCATCTCGTAGAGCAAGATGCCAAGCGACCACCAATCCACCGCACTTCCATGACCGCTGCACTGAATGATCTCGGGTGCCAGATACTCGGGTGTACCGCACAGCGTCCAAGTGCGATCTTCCACTTCCTTGGCAAACCCAAAGTCGGTGATCTTGGTGTACCCGTTCGAATCGATGAGCAGATTCTCGGGCTTCAAGTCTCGGTAGACCACCTTGTTCTTGTGAAGGTACTCAATCGCAAGAACGATGGTCGAGATGTAGAAGCGAGCAACATCGGCGGAGAAATGACCTGCCCGACGGAGGTAGGAGAAGATCTCGCCGCCGACGACATACTCCATGAGCATGTAGCAGTTTTTGCTGTCTTGGAACGACGCGACCATGTTGACAAGGAAGGGGTGATCCACCTTGGTCAAGATGCTACGTTCGCTGTTGATGTGCGAGACTTGCTTGAGCATGATGACGTCGGCTTTGGCCAGAACTTTGAGTGCAAAGTATGCGCAGCGATCTGTGGCTGGTCGATCCTTGAGGCGGACTAGCAACACACGTCCGAAGGTTCCTGTCCCCAACGTGTCAATGACCTCAAAGTCAGACAAAGAGTAGTCGCGACTTGACAGAGGTTTGGTGGGAGAGGCTGGCTTGATCTTTGATGCGATGATATCTTCCTCCGGTTCTGTGACTACCGGTGTCGACGACGACTTGGAAGATGATGCTGAAGAAGCCGGCAAGGAAGATGTCGACCATGATGATGACGAAACACACTTGTGTGGTGCGGCAGCAGCGTAAGCCGATGCAAGATCCGACGCAAGTTTCCGCGAACATGCGGATGGCGAGATGAGAAGATCCTCCATCATCTCGATGTCGAATGAGGAAGTGATCGAGGCCGAGACAGGTGGCCCCACTGTAAAAGGTCGTTTTGCCGGTGCCTCCTCGATCGAGATGGCTGGTCTTGAGGTCGAGTTTAACGCCGGAGAGGTGACAGTGTCCTGGCTCGGACGATGCTGTTGACGTTGCTGATGCTGCTGTCGCCGCAACCTGGCGCGCGTGACAGCGAGTTTACCTTGTGTTGTAGCTGCGGGGAAGGCCTCGAGCGGTGTCCAACCTTCTTCATCCTCGGTACGAATACCTTTGTGCAGTTCCATCGCTTGGGCACCGTGTGCCTCAACGTGCCACCCTGGTGAGACACGTGGTATGAGTTGGGCCTCTTCGGCGGCAAGGAGGGGATTACGACGAGCGATGACATCGGGTGCTTCCTGCGAGCGTCGTCGTGCTGCAGCAGATTGGCTTGCTCTTCGTCCAGCTTCAGCGCTGCGGCTCATCATGAGCGGCTGCATAGCATCGGGAGCATTAAAGGCATGCCGTGTCGCAGGTACGGTTGAGGGGTGAGTGGGAGTGCGGCTTGTTGATGCTAACGAAGACTCTTGCGACATCTGCAATCCACCGACGAAGGTCTGTAGACCGAGGACGAAGCGAGCTCGGGATGTGCTGGGAAGAGCTCGCGGTCGTGATGATGTCGAGGCTGAAGCGCATTCTCCACCGTCGTCCAAGAAGCTGAGTCGGCGCTGTTTGCCTTGGGCGACGGTGTTGGGCTGTGTTGGTGATAGGGCAGAGTCATCATTGCAAGTGGTGTCAAGTGTGTCGCGACCAGGCAACGGCGAGCCGCCCTGGAGAGCATCATCATATGATCGTTTGAGCGTCATACTGGTGTTGAATCAAAGCTAAGATGGTGGTGGAAGCAATGTTGTGCGACGCAAAGTCCAGACAGCAGATGATATCGACGATAATGCTGAGTCGAGCGTTTGCTGCTGGTCGTAACGAATTGATGAAGACGCTTCAAGAGTTGGTCGCTTGGGTGGAAGAATGCAGTCGAGTTGGTCGTGTGCAAGTGATGAACGGAGCGATGTTGTGCGCTTGTGCGAGAGCAGAAAGGCGACCAATTACCAGCTGATGTGCATCGTAGTGCTTATAGGAAGCAGGAATGGGTCAGAGCAGGGGTGAACGCTGGTGCTGGTGCTGTAAACGGTGTGAATCGAGGTCGAATGTGTGCGAAATGAGGTGGTCGGAATGAAGGCAGATGCAAGGCCACACAATAGACTACTGCAACGGAATAGCGTCAAGTATTACTGTGTCTGTGAGAGGGCCTAGAACCAGTGAAATGGTGTAAGTGTGTGTTTGATGCTCGATCGGTGGGTTGTTACCTCAGAAAAGTGCGGGATGGTAAAGAGATCAGAGCGAAAGGACCGATTGTGCGAGGATGGGGTCGAGGTGAGATGCAGCGCAGCAAATGAAGCGGTCCAATTGTTACTGCGTCATGTGAGAGAGAGAGAGAGAGAGAGAGAGAGAGAGTGTGTGTGTGTGTGTGTGTGTGTGCGGTGGATGTGAGTGTGGCTGCAGAGAGTGAAGGTGAGGAAGGCGAAGGGTGCAGGAAAAAGTCTTGGGCTGCAAAGAGCGGTACAGAGGAGGATTCGTTGGAGAGAAGGTGTAGAACTTCTGTGGAGCGCTGCACTAACGACGATCGAAGCGGGAAGCTAACGAGAGAAGTAGAGCAGAGCTCAAGGCAGGTATGCGTCAAATGTCGCTTCCAGGAGAGGCGCAGCCGCAAACAAGTGACATTCGACAAGGCGACGAGGTGGCGGCAGCGGTAGGACAGCTTATCAACAGCATAAAGGCAACATCGAAGTTAAGGCTGTGCGGCTTGTGACACAGACTTGTCTAGCTAGGTTGTATGCTGAAGCGAGCCAAATAGATTCGTTAGACTAAGCGGGTGCAGAGAAAAGAAAAAGAAAAAGAAAAAGAAAAAGAAACCTAACTTTTGCAAGGGCAGCAACGTCCACGGCAAGGACCTCAAAGACCAGCTGAGTTTTAAACGAGGTTAAGCGAAGTCGGCGTAGGGCGTAGACGCTGACCAAGACCCTTTTCCAATAGTAGCAGTTGGGGGTTGACATGTTTTTGAGAGGAAGGTAACATATATTGCTTACTAATGATGAGTGGAGTGTGAAAGTATAGTGAGAAATGAGCCAGCCAGGTTCCTTGGGCCGCGGTTGGTGAGCTCATGCTTATTAATCGCACAATCGCGTCAATTGGATTTTTTTCTTTTTCCAAATTGCGCAGTCCAAAACCCGAGTTGGACGTTGACAAGTTGACAATGGCGTTGCTTCCGAACCACCGCCACCTTTACCTCCTCAACGTACTCGCTTACGAGTTCGTCGTTGGTCGTAGGTAAGTAACCGAAACCTCTCTAATGTGTTCCAGACTGCCTGTCTGAGCACGCGTCGGAAGTCCTTTACAGACCCCTTTGATTCTCTCGCATAAATCTTCACTACCTTTTGTTCGTCATCACTCCTCTTTGATCATCATCGCTCCCCTTTGTACTTAGGAGCGCCCTTCAGGCGCTCAGCAGAACACAGTCAGACATGTAAGGTATATATGGAGGGAATTCGCATTTCCCCCCCCCCCCCCTTCACTTCTTAATTTCAAGCTTCCCTTCTAACGTACCTGAAGGCCCTAGGAAACAAATGCCGAAGGAAAAAAGAAACGAAAAAGATTTAAAATAAAATAAAATTGGTATGCGAGAGGGAGACAACTGCATTGCAACCTTCGGTTCCCGGCTCGGATGACTCTAAGACAGTGATAGAGAGTGTGAATTTGACCACCAATTTTGTCATTGCGGCTCGAACCAAGTTTCCATACAGTCACATTCGAATAGCATGGAGGCCCGCAAATGTCGCCCTCTCCCACACTAGTCACGATGGCCAGGTCGTGCTTCAAACCCACATGAACAGCATCTTCGGAACGCACGAGCGAGGGGGACAGTTAAAGTCTAACAGTGATCACGTTCATTTTATTCGCTATCAGCCTCACCGCTGCTCAACCTGTTTCTAAGAGAAGCTAGCCTTGCCGAGGGACAGTTGGGCGCCTCGCTTTGCACGAGTTCGAAAAAGAACGGAGAAAAACAAGTTGGAGCACCTCTTGACTCCTTTTGCATCTTTTTCTTGTTTTTCATATTCGATGCCTGACTGGCGAAACGCCTTGCAAGCTGAGTCAAACAGCAAAACTGATCCAAAAGAAAAGCCGCAACACAGTCGCTAACCGCAGGCGATGCGGCGGAGGTCGAGCCAACCTTCTGTTCGTCAACGAGCTCGCATCGGTCCCGGCGACCGGTGCAAGCCACTTTCATTATTCGACTTTAGTGCCTCTTTGAAGCAAAGTCGAACTCTCGCCAAAGAGCATGAGACCCACCGCATCGGCCTTATTGTGTCACTGTACCCGATTCCACCAGAACGATTCGGCTGTATGCTCATCTTTGCCTCTTCCTTACGCTGAGCCTCCAACATTTGATGCAGTCGTTGGTACCCACCAGAAGACTGGTGCGTCAGCTCATCATCTAGTGTCGAGCTAGATGTCAGTCAGGTCTTTGAATCGACGGGATCCTAAGGTCGAAGCAACAAGGCCTTGACACTAAGAAAGCAAACATGCACACCCTACTGCTCCATTCAATCATTGGCGATGCAGACTGTTCTATCTAGCCTCGTCGCAAACTTAGTACGACAAGACCCTCCGAAGCGTTGCCGAGATGGCAGGTCAAAGAAAGCCTCGTTCGGTTCCGATGCTTTACGCCATCTTCCTCTCTCGCCACAACCTCCCTGCTTTCCATCACTGCTTCTAACACATCGACAGCCAAGGCTGGGATAGCTTCACTCCCGACCTTCGGAAACACCCGACCATACCAAGTCTCAACCATTCCGAGCGGAGTCGAATGCACGCCCCAACACTTGACGGTGACAGGCTGTCCGGCCTTGCCGTGTGAGCGAGCTTGCAAAGGCGTGACAGCGAGAGTTGAGATCGTCGTGGGGTGCAGCAGAGGCTAACTTGAGTCCACTTATCCTTTCACCTTCCCGCTCCTCTTCCTCTACTCCAGCTTCTGTTTCTCAGCTCGACGACATTTCACACACCGCTCGCCTTCTTTGCCTAACCGAGCTCGCCAACACTGGCAATATCAGTTTTTCCGCATAAAGATGTTTCTCTAGAATTGCAACTCGGCTTTCCCTCTCTCGTTCCCTTCACTGCAGTACTTGATCACACAGTCTGTCGTACCACGGTTCAATCGCACTTGTCGCCTTGCCCTTCTAGTCAAGTGATTGGAGCAAGGGGTTCTGCCGCTTGCCAGCTTGGCGGAGAACTCTCTATCAGATTGCCGCACAACGGAACGGCAGCAAATACAGCCGATCCCGAGTTATCCAATTCGATAAGGTCGATGCATCTGACAAAGGACTGCCTAGCTCAAGTCGGCGACAGCGATAGGCGAGGGCATCAGTGGCTGCATCAAATTGCATCTTCACGTTATAACAGGATGAGCTCCGTTTTCCGTGTAGGGTTGATTGACTCGTTTGCAAGCCTCTGGATGTTGTGAGCGTCACGGCTCTTGATCTCTGCCAACACCCTATCTTCAACCTGAGTGGAGGGCAACACTTGGATTGCTGAAGCGCTGAGAGGAGAAGTGAGATAGGCGTCGGGGAGAGTTGTTTGATACAAAATCTTGGATGCTTTGCGGCACTGAAGTGGGAAAGAGACAGCAGAGGTTAGCGCTTCGCTCCGGCTCCGGCTCCGGCTGCCCTTGTCAGAGCGCTTATCGCGTGCACCACTTTTTGAGCTGCGGCATAAATCGGTGATCCCGATCTCGTTTTTTCCTGACGGTTCCGAAAATGCGGTACATTTTCGGATATCGGAAGACGCTGCCTTGCAACATTTTACATTTTCTTCCTAACCTGTTCACTTTGCATCTGATATCGACAACAAAGTTGACGATAGCGACGACAGTGACAACCTAGTCCCTTACGTATCGGCCTCAGACATTGCCTGGATCCGCCTATAACAGCAATCTTCTCCAGACTTTCTATAGGGACGCCACGCCAATCCAGGCCGTCTGATCTTGTCTCAACCTGGGCAAACACTCGAGCCTGCCGCATCAAACCACCATCATCTATACCTAGCCGTCATGTTGGGCCTCAAAGCACGCATGGCCATCATTGACAACTCCGGTGGGCTCATCGCAGAGTGTGTCAATGTGTTGAGAAACAAGACAACGCAAGGTCTCGGTCGAGTCGGTAAGTCTTATCCGCACCCTCTTTTTTTCTCGACCCTCCGTATACTGACATTTCACTTCCATCTATCTTGCGCTCCTTTTCGCTTATAGGCGACGAGATTGTAGTCGTCGTACAAAAGGCTCGTCCAATCTCTAATGTTCCAGGTCAGGCCGGCACACAAAAGGTGCGAAGAGGTGACGTTCGACATGCCGTTATCGTTCGAACGAAAAAGGAGATGACCAGGCCAGATGGTCGTGTCATTCGATTTGACGACAATGCCTGCGTCCTTCTGAACAACAAGAAGGAACCATTGGGGACTCGCGTTAACGGCGTTGTTGCTAACGAGCTCCGTGCGGCAGGATGGGGAAAGATTGCGAGTTTGGCGCCCAAGGTCATCTAAACATGTCCCTCTCTGCGTCTCAAAAGCATCATCACCAAGCACTCGGGCGATAAGTAGCCCACAACCATTGTACTTTTAGCATTTGCGCATCCGCATCAACTTTGTCACCAATACACAAGATCCAACGCCTGGCTGTAAGGGAACCAGCTTGATCAAAGTATAGTGCTTGATCTGTCCCCGAGAACAGCTCTTTTTTACCAAAGCGTTGACCGACGGACGACTCGAGCTGGAGCAACTTCTTAGACAGAGTGATGAAGTTACGCTTGCTGGTCGAGCGAGCTACAATCTTCTCTGTACGACCTAAACTATGGGTTGATGGCCAAACACGAACGGATCGCTTCGACAACCCTGATCTTTTCCAATTGAAGTCAGGTTCAAGCGCAGACTGAAGCCACTAAATCCTCTTACAAACATAGTTAGTATGCCCGCCATTCGGCACCTCGCAGCCGGTTTGAGTATCGGCTCCTAACAAGTTGACCAACAGCACGTTTCCATCGCTGCCTTTATGGTTTCACGAAGGGACGAATCGAGTTCTGGAAGAAGAATCTGCGGCGGCCTCCCAAGAGCTTGAATTCGGCAGAAAAAAGAAAAAAGGAAAAAAGAAGAAAAAAAGCAGCAACTGAACCTCTTGGTGCTGGCGGTGGAGGTTATAAGCATGGAAGCAGCACGTTATGGAGGGCCTTACCCAAGACGATCCCATGTCGGACGTGCTAGGAGAAGAAAGACTCATTGAAACAAACTTGCCCAGATCTGAAAAAACGCCTTTATGCTCGCTTAATCACACGTCACTGTTTGTTCCATCTTCTCATGAGGCAGTGTGTGCCCTGCGCAGTGTTTGTCTTTTATCCGCCTGATTGTCTTGCTGTACCATCTGACTGGCGAGATGAAGCCAGCTGATACTGTATTGGCTGAATCGAAGTCTTTTTCCGCGCCATGTCTTCTTATCGTCTCAGTCACGAAGATGGCTACGTCACTGGTCAAGCTTGTATACTCAAGGCTTCCAATCCAATGGACACAATGTGAAGAGCCCTTTCATCTCTATCTCCTCCTCCGACCATCACCACACCCAGCCTCCGCAACGTCTGACTGGGAATGCCAGGCGCAACATCGACGATGGTGTTTCGCGTGGCACCTACAGTCAGAAAGCCACTGGTGGCTAGCTGGGAGCCCAACTTTCGACCGGCGGTACCTACCACCTTCTTCTGCTTAGCATGGATCTTTGTGCTGTGCTTGACCTTACCATCTCGTTCTCCAACATGGCGTCTCATACGACTGGCTTCGTTCCCGGCGATAGCCTCAATCTCGCTTCAGCTTACCTTCAATCGGACATATACGCTCGGCAACCCACTCCGTGACCTTGCCATGCCGACCATTACTTGGACCATCGTGTGCAAGGCGGTAGAGATCTGTCTGGTCTGTTCAAAAGGAGGTCCCCGTCAGATTCGACCTTTCCTGCCCAAAAGCAAGTTTCCAGTGTCGAAGATGGACCCAAGCGAATACGCACAATACGAGTGGAAGGAGATAGAGTTCCCGCAGCTGTTCTCATGGGCTCGTTTGATGTACGGCCTTGACACGCTCGGGCTAAGACGTGTTGGTACCAGTCCGATCCTTCCAAAGCAAGGGAGAGCGTTGGAATGGTCGAAGCGTGGGCTCAACGAGTGGTCGCGCTACCTCAAAGTCAACAAGTGCAAACCCGAGGATATACCAGCTCATTCGCCAGTAAGACGATTCGGACAGCCAGAGATGCCATTCCTTGCTGCTGCGCTACAGCTGCTCTTCATGCGCTTCTCCTTCCAATGGCTCTACGCTCTCGCAGCTGCAACCTCAGAGATGATCAGCGTCTTGGGCTTCTACATCCCAGTTGGGTCGCCCCAATCTCGCAAGCTGTGGTATTCGATTCTTCCATCAACCTTTACAAGCAAGCAGTTCACTCTGCTGGGTGTGCCAACATCTGCATTTGACCTACCTTTGCTCACCCGCCTCGGCATGGTCCTGAGTGTGGGCGGCGCTGTCTGCCTGTTGGGCGCTGTGGCTGAGGGAACCATGCTGCTGTTCTGGAATCCAAAGCCAGCCACATCCTTCCTGTCTACTTTCAACCGACCTGTCACTTCACCCGGCCTTGCACATCTTTGGGCACGAAGCTGGCACGCCGCTTCCCAGCGAGACTACCTCAACATAGCTTCCTTCATGCCTTTCTCTCGATACGAGCCATTGCAGTTGCTCTACGTATTCTTCTGGTCAGGTGTACAACACTCTTGGATGTTTTCAAGGCTCCGTACTTCTCCTACAGCTAAGATTACACTCCTCACGGTCTTGACAGGAATGCTCGATCAAGGTATGATCACCTTCTTCATCAGCCAAGGCGTCGGAATTTGGATTGAAAAAGCAGCACTTGATGCGATCCCAGCAGCTTGGAAGAAGCAACGTTTCCTCATCGGTCTAGCTAGAAGGTTGTGGATGTTCACAGTCCTCGTGTTTCCAGGCATGCTTTTCCTCGATAGCTTATTGCGATGCCAGCTGATGACGAAGGATATCTTGGACGGATTCGGGTTGCGGGCACTGGGGTTGATGGTTCAAGGCAAAAAGTACTAATTCGTTTCACTTTCATAGCATAGTCATGGTCAGGGACGATTCATAGATTGCACTTCACCTATCAGCGAGTATGTGTCTTGTGCTAGCTGCCTGAAGTCTACATTGAGTCGTGAACCTGTCGAGGATGTGAAGAATGAGACGGGCGGTGGCTAGCACATGGCAAACTTCGACCAAAACCCGCCATGCAGGTGAGCGAGAGCCGACTGCGCGATGTCGCGTTTCGCAACCGAGTAGTTAAAGATTGTTAGAGTAAAAGACACCACTACATTGGGGCTACAATCAAGCTCCTTTCAAACAGATGTATGCTAACTGCAATGCTTGAATGCATCAAATGAACTAGGACTACAAATGTGTGTATATATAGCTTCACATCATCCATGAGAATGTTGAGTATCCTTAGGCAAACCAAGTGTCTGTCCTGCTGTGCTCTTCAACTGTTTCTCCTGCAGATTCCCTGAGTTGTTTCTTCTACTACATCATGCTCTCTGCATCCCTGAGTCAGCTTGTGAGTAAGCAGCTTGTCCTTTCACATGGTTGTCAGAGGTCACGCACCTGAATCCTGAAATCTGTAGTAGAATTACAACTACTAATGATTCTATCAAGAACTGTGGTAAAAGGCCATTATTATGATTCCTGCTGAGATCTGTTGTAGAAGCCTTCTATGACTTTTCTCACTTGGATATGTGGTAGCTTGGTTGTTATTGCAGGTCTTGACTGACTGCTGTGGACACTCCATCCAGAGGTAGCTCAGCACAATCAATAACTGTAGATATGTTGCAATGACACCAAGGTCTGGTGCCAATGAGGTTGCTTCGACACAAGTGTCCAGTGTGTCAATAGAATGAGAGGTGATCCCTGGACCACAGCAGACAGCTGCCTTTGGTTCTATGATTGAGAGAGCTGGACTGCAGTGTGAACTGCCTTCAGTGTTGATTGTTATCTGGACCACAGTTAATACCACCTTCAGATGATGTCAATGAGCAGTGATACAACACATGTGCTATGTAGAAGCAATGCTCTGCAATTGCAACTGTTGATGGAATACTAATGTATACTTATGTGAAAGCTATAACTAGTAATGTATGGTGTAGAGTGGATGGAGCTCCACTCGACTACTATGATGAGAATGCAAGGTCATATATATAGACATTTCCCCAATGTCACCTGCGACACTGCTACTGCTCTAGGAGGTCCTCTCCGACACTGCTCCTCCTAGCCGTCCTGACTACCTTGTGATGTCGCTCTCTGGCACTGCTTCCTGTCCTTCCTGCAGATGGGAGTTGCTTCATCATTGATAGGGGCCACCCCCACTTCATCTGAGTGGTGACTCACCTCCTTCTTCATCTCTCCCATCCTCCTGCTCTGAGTTCATTGTCGAGTTGGCTCCTGTCATGGGCCTGGATGCTCAAGAAGCAGGAGGGTCACTGGTTCATATGGAAGGAGCACAGGTATCGAAGATCTAGTCGATACCAGTAGAGAGCATGGTCATAGTGCAGTCTCCATGGAGACCATGGACTCCTATGGACTCACATGCAAAGGAGGGCCAGGCACAGCCACGAGGAGGACCAAGCTCAAGGAGCAGGCACAGCCACAAAGAGGACCAAGCTCAGATGGTTACCACTCAGGGGCTCGAGAGACAAGAGTCAAAGGAACTGTCACTGGTCAAAGGAGAAGGAGCAGTGTATAGGACACTAGCAGGCAGGTCCTGAGGAAGAGGAGCAGTGTCGAAGGAGTCGACACCAGGTCATGAGGAAGAGGAGCAGTGTCGAAGGAGTCGACACCAGGTCATGAGGAGGAGGAGCAGTGTCAAAGGAAGTCGACACCACTCAAGAGGCACAGGGGTGCCAAGCAGGAGAGGCCCCTGAGCAGTACTCGATGAAGAAGGTACTCTCTGGAGAGAGAGCAGGAGCAGCATCGCTGGCGATGCTGTGAAGAGGTATATAACCATGCTTTCTCATCATCATAGGTCGAGTGGATCCTCATCCACTCTACTCACCATACAACTAGTCAATACTTTAGAAACATAAGTACTCATTAGTTACAGTCAGCATAGCAGCAATCTATCAAGGTTGCTCCTCATCGTAGTGTGTGTGTTGTATCACCACTACCTGACATCCGTAGGCGCCTCATAGCAGGTTAGCAGTCCGGATATAGATAGAACTGAAGGCAGTAGTCCACTGCGGTCTGGGGATCACTTCAAGCATCAAAGTCAACACACTGGACACTCGTGTTGATGCCACCAACCTTATCACCAACACCATCAACCTCATTCTCATCAACACCCACCAACCTTATCACCAACATCATCAACCTCATCATCATCAACACTCACACCAGACCTTGGTGTCATCATAACCGAAGCATTGATATTGATCATGCCGAGCTACCCCTGAACGGAGTGTCCACAGAGGTCAGCCGAAACCTACAATAGTATATACAATGAACGCCCCCTGCTGTCACTGCGCAACTTGATAGTCACTGATACTGAGACAACAGCTGTCGCACAGTTTGATAGTCACTGAGTATCCCGACAGACCGACCTGGGTTTCAGGCGCGAGACCCCTTGACAGCTCCCTGCTTCATCAGGGTGGCAAACCCAATGTCCTCAACATCTTGTCCTGCTGAGTGTAAGCGATCGCGCGCCTGAAACCAGGTTGGGTGTTGTAAGCGATCCGGTGCCAGAGACTAGCTGAGGTTGATTGAGTAAGGTCTACTCGATATGATTTGCCTAAATGTAACCAAGTGTCATCACCTAGTAAGTCTCGACTGACCACCTTGAACACTCCATTCAGAGGTTGTGTGGCACAGATGTTGTTTGTTGGTGAGTGGGTGATACACCCTCCCCTACAGTACGAGTGTTCATAGTACTGTTGATAATGCTCTTGGATGTCAACTGGACCGCGATATGCTAATTGCCTACAGAGGATGGGAGTTACTGGACTGCTGGTGTGAAACACCACCTGCAATAACTGACTGGACCGCTGGTGTTGAGCAACACTGCCTACAGCAAGGGACTGGACTGCTGGTGTTGAAGAACACTGCCTACAGTAATGAACTGGACCACTAGTGTGAAGAACACCACCTACAGTTGTCGACTAATGGTGATACAACACACACATTGAGAGTCATTGCAAGAGCACTGCTATTGCGATGATATGTAACCGAGTAAGTATAGAGTAAGTAAGTTGAGTTCAGAGTGGATGCCAATCCACTTGTATGCTATGTAGAATGAGAGTATTTATATGTCCAGTTGGTGTTTTTCCCTCAACACCTATCCTGCTCCTCTTGAGGGGCCTTTGTCCCCTGTTAGGCATTGCCTTGCCCTGCTGGCACCAACCCCTTCAATACTGCACTCCTACCATTTGCTTGGCATAAGGGTTATGCAACACTGCCCTCTCACCTACATGCTCTCCTTCTGTCTGATGTGTGATGCCCCCTTTCGGCACAGCTCCCTCTTGACTTAATCATGTGAATTCCCTTTGAACCTTGTGACCTTACCCCCTGGTCATGTGGTCACATCAGCACAGTTCTGTCTCGACTTGTTTGGATCGGCCAACTAGTTGAAGTGTGCTGATCCAACTGACTCCGACATCGGCACAGCTCCAAATACTTGTTCGGATCAGCTGACTAGTTGAAGCGTGCTGATCTGACCGACTCCGACATCAGCACAGCTCCAAATACTTGGTTGGATCAACTGACTAGTTGAGGCATGCTGATCCAGCTGACTCCAACATTGGCACAGCTCCAAGTACTTGTTCAGATTGGCCAACTAGTTGAGGCATGCTGATCCGGCTGACTCCGACATTGGCACAGCTCCGAGTACTTGTTCGGATCGGCTGACTAGTTGAAGCATGCTGATCTGGCTGACTCTGACTGATCCCATGAGATTGATCTGGATTCCCAGGGTTCGATCGATCTTGTAATTCATGTGTGCTGCCAACCCAATTAATCTCATTGATCCCTGATGGTTTTTGGCTCTGATCAATCTGGTGCACCCTTCATATGTTGATCTTCTGCACACCCTTCATATACTGCTCCGTTATGTGACATTACCATAGCTGCCGCTGATCATTTGGCGCACTCTCTTGCGCAGGCCAGCCGTCCCTGTGACAGGTGTTTCCATTTGGTGTCAGTGGGATCAATTGAGTAAGATCTACTCAGTATGTTTTGACTAAATGTAACCAGATGGCTTTGTACTGGTAGGTCTTGGCTGACTGCCTTGAACACTCCATTCAGAGGTTGCATGGCACATCTGTTATTCTCTGGGGGGAGAGTAGTACACTCTCCTTTACAGTACAAGTGTTTGTAGTACTGCTGCTAATGCTCTCTAATGTCATCTGGACTGTGATATGCCTATCACCTACAGAGGACAGGAGTTACTGGACTGCAGGTGTTGGACACTGCCTACAATAACTGACTGGACCACAGATGTCAAGCAACACCACCTACAGTAAGGAACTGGACCACAGGTGTTGAGGAACACTGCCTACAGTTGATGCCTAATGGTGATACAACACACACATTTGAGGTGTTGTTGCAAAGCTCTGCTATTGCAATGATATGTAACTATGAGTCAAGTAAGGAGTATGTAAAGTATAGAGTAGAGTGGATGAGGATTCACTCATATGCTATGGTAGAATGAGAGTATTTATGCATTTGCTTGGTGTTGCCTGTGACACCTCTCCTACTCCTCCTGAGAGGCCTTTGCCTCCTCTCTACACTCTCTCTTCTGCTGGTGTCAATCCCTTTGATGCTGCACCTCTACTGCTCACACAGCATATTGGTTTGTGCAATACTGCCCCTTTGCCTCCATGCTCTTCTTCACCTGGTGATGTGTGTTGACCCCTTCAACACAGTGTCACAGGGCCAGCGCAGAGGTCATAAGCAGCTGTGTTGCGCAGCCGCCGAGATGAGCTTGGCGCATCAGCAGCAGAACTGGTCAATACCCAGGGGTTCTGACCAGTCTCACTGAGAATGGTTGGAAAGTGAGGTGGGAGAGAAACTTCATCGAGATTGGTCAGGATGGTGGGTATGGAGAGGTTTCACTGAGACTGGCCCGAGATGAAGCAGATCAACCAGCCCCATGACCAGATGAAGGTGCCCCACTGAGATTGGAGGAATGGCTATTGAGAGTGGAGTACCAGAGACCTCGCCATCAGATGAGGTGGGAGGAGACCCCTGAGCATGATGAAGCTGACAAAGTAGGATTGGCACCTCAACAGGAAGTAGGGATAGGAAGGATAGGAGGGGCAGGATAGCTGTGGGAGTCAGATAGAACAGGAGAGATGGGGAGGCTGTACCCAATGGACAGGGACACCATACCCTGTGCAGAGGAGAGGGGAGGGGCCATGGTGATGAAGACACCATGGCAAGAGGAGATAAATACCCCCCACTGCCATAGTGAATGAGTGGATCTGGCATCCACTCTATTCTTAACTAAACTATACTCTACTGTAACATATACTTAGTTGTTTCCATCATATAGTGCAATTGCAGGCCATTGCTACTAATCTGAGTAGGTGTGTCATATCACCTCTCATTGACATTGTCTGTAGGCAGTTGTATTGTGGTCCAGATAATCACCTCTCCAAAGGCAGTATACATACTGCAATCTGGACTTCTCTTATTGATTCGCCATTTGATCATTGACACCTTGAACACTCATGTCAAAGTGGACAAACCTCATTCCTACACTAAGGGTTCTGCAACAAGCTGGAACTGACTGTGCCATGCTACCACTGAACAGAGTGTTCACAGTGGTTAGCCAAAACTTGTCAAACAAACAGCCTTCAAGCAGTTTCAGTGAAATTGGCCAATAGGTGCATCCTCAAGCATGCTCACTGAAATAGGCTGAAATCACCCAGACCGGTAGTTCTCGGGTTCCAGGTACACGACCGCTGACACACAGCTCCTCCTCCTCGTAGACAATCCCCGGTCTGCTTGACACAGCTCCTTCTTTCTTCACTGGCAACTACCTTCTTGACCTTATCTTGTGAATCCCTTAACCACCTGTCAAGCCCTGTTGCCAAGCCCTGTTGCCAAGCCCCCTTGATCATGTGGTTGCCCCTGTGCTTGGTCCCCTGTGGCTGTATGCACATACCCCTTGAGTGGTAACCATTCACATGATGCTGAGCTCAGTCCCTGCTCCTGCATGTGGTTATCTCCCATATGCTTCTCCTTCTAATGCTGGTATCCTCCTTCCTGAATCTCCCAATGCTTGCTCATGACAGCCAACTTGCTGAGACATGCTGATCAGGCTGATTCCAATCAATCCTTGTGAGATTAACCAGGATCCCAGAGTTTGGTTGATCTTGCAAATCATATGCACTACCAACCCAATTAGATTGTCAATTCCCAATGATTGCCACAGATCAATTTGGTGCACACTTCATATGCTGATCTGCTGACCCTGTGACACTGAGATGCCTGTGAAATCGGCACCCGCACGAGATCTATCCTACAATCAGGATACTACCAATTCTGGTGGGATTTGTGATACAGCCCCATTTGTGCCAATTTGGACAAGATCTGTCATAGAGCCTTTCTACTACAGATCTTGATGAACTCTGCCATAACCCTTATTTTGCCCGATCCTGCGACTCCTGCACTCCTCCTCATATGACATCTATTCTTCCTGCTCCTGCGCATCTGGCCCTATGACACCTGCTTCCTGTGCATCCGGTCCCATGACAGGTTGAAGAAGCTTCAGACTCTTGATCAGTTAAAGATTGTTAGAGTAAAAGAAACCACTACATTGGGGCTATGATCAAGCTCCTTTCAAACAGATGTATGCTAACTGCAATGCTTGAATGCATCAAATGAACTAGGACTACAAATGTGTGTATATATAGCTTCACATCATCCATGAGAATGTTGAGTATCCTTAGGCAAACCAAGTGTCTGTCCTGCTGTGCTCTTCAACCATTTCTCCTACAGATTCCCTGAGTTGTTTCTTCTACTACATCATGCTCTCTGCAGCCCTGAGTCAGCTTGTGAGTAAGCAGCTTGTCCTTTCACATGGTCTGGCAATTGCTAGCCTCAGCAATCACTAGCTTTGGCTATTGTGGGTTCCAGCAATTGCGAGCTTCGGCAATTGGATAAGCTCTAGAGATTTTCCGACATATCTTCAACTGAGTTCATTCCGGCACCTTAGCCTCACTTGCTCGTAGTTACCTCTCTACCTTGGGACTCACTTTCCTTCATCATCGTCGATGCGATCTGTGCCAAGCCCAATCCTCTAACTAAACCATCGCAAGGTCGAGCTTCATCATTGATAACGTAGAAAGGAAGGCGGGTTCGGCCAACCAGCAGCCGAGGGGCCACGCGAGCAACAATCACTCCCACCATGGCGGAGTTTGATACAATTATTCCGTCACTCGGCGTTGGGGCTTGGACCCTGTCACTTTTGCCTGGAGGCTGAATCACTTCATGGTGCGAAAGTTGCGTAACGGACTTGCACTTGGCAGCAGAGTTATCGAGTGTGCTTCTTTTTGTCCACTCACACCTGCATCGTTTCAGCTGGTTCGATTGTACAGATGAATGAAAAACAAACCCTTTGCGATACGGTGGATGGCCGCTTGGGCCAGCTTTCAAAGCCGATTTGGGACCGGAAGGGTTAGTGTGGGTTGAAATGATGTTATCTCGAGTGGCGTGGCCGTCTTGTGTGAATGATATGACTGTTCAGCTTCAGAGGACTAGGTTGATATCTTTCGTGAGCCGCTGATTAACGGGGGTCTGCATGATTGAAAGGGTTGAGGAGAAGAGATTGCTCTTTCCGTACTTATACGGACTCCCATCACCTATCTCTCATTCGTCTAACTCACCTCACGTTCTCCAAGATCAGCCCTTCGACGACGAACGTCCACCTTCTTGAGCATCGAAATGCACTTTAAGATCACAAGCAACCTCCTCTAATCGATCACAGACAAGATGATGATCCCAACCTCAATCCTAGCTCTGGCCCAGCTTTTAGCCTCATCACTCACACCGCAATCACAAATCCATGCCCCATCATCCAGTTTGGCCTCGCAACTAATCTCATACTCACCAAGAACATCCCCACCATCCTCATCGTTGGGAGCTTCATGGATCGGCGACCTGCCACCAGGAACACCCGGCACAACCGATCCAGAATCCAACATCCGTCTTGGAGCCTCTGTTTCATCCTGCACCTTCGTCCTCGGCCCTCCTGGTCCACCAGCTTCCGCTCTTTGTCCTGCTTTTATCTCCTTCTGCACCTCTTTCAAAGACGACTTACGCTCCAAACGAATCTCACAACTCAAAACCTCCCCACCTCTATCCCACAACACCAAAAGAGGGGACGACGACAATTCCAATCCGCTCAAAGATATAAAGTTCAGAACAGGCTGCGTTGGCGGATCAGGTCTCACAAACGACGGAAGCTTCCTCTCTGGTTACACCGCAACTTGTATCGTCGATGGAACAGATTGGATCCCTTTCGTATTCGATTCATTCATCCAAGCAGAGTTCGGCACGGGAGATCAGAATGCTCCGTTACCCATCTATAGTTCTTTTATTGGATGTCAAGTTCCAGCACATGTCTAAATCACGCACCTCTGTACTGCAGTATAATACCCACACACACATGCTTGAACAATGAAAAAAGTTCTATTTCCATCCATAAACAGGAAGACGGAGTTTAGGATCGACCATCAATAAGATCACGAGCACTTCTTCCAGCTTCTTTCCTCTGTCTGTTCCCTATAATTTCGACTTTGCGTTCGTGTAGATCCAGTAGGCTGGCTGCGTTTTTGTAGCGATCGAGTAGTTGAATGACTTTCTGTGTTTCTTTCATGTCTGCGAGACCTTGACTGATGGCTTCCATTGTGCCGAAGTGTGCGTACCAGGGTGAGAAGCGAACGGCCATGTTAGAGGAGAGTGCGTGGGTGAGTGAGGGTGAAGAAGGGTTCGAGTCGAGGTAGTATGCGCTTGGTTCGACAAATTCTTCCTCTGCATCGGCTGTGTTGCCCTCGCCTTCGAATACAGGCGAAGGTTCGGGACGATCAAAGGGTGGCTCGGTGTACGGGTCGTCGTCTGATCGCAATTGGTCGCGACGGCCAGGTGGGTTGGAAGGAGCACTGGTAGCGTCAGATCGATGTGACACGGCTGGATCCAGCTCGGTGTTGGGCGGTAACGGGTCGAATTCTTTCTGCCCCTCCCGCGCCTTGCCATCCGACTCAACAGCCTCGTCCGTGTTACTGTGACGAGCAAGATCAAGAGGATCGTCACCCTCAACCTCCTTATCAACGCTAATAGCAGTCCTGCTCAACTTGCGACCTTCTTCCCGAACACGCGAACGCATCCAAGCATTGGGTGGATCATGGTACAGCACGTACTCCACAACCGACAAAGCCTCCTCGAGCTGACCGGCCCTAGCCATCGACGCAGCCAAGTGGTTCCAGTTGTCCGAGTCAAATCCGAATCCATCGTTCTTAGCCCTAGCCCAGATCTTGGCGATTTCCTCGTGACGTCCAGCCTCGGAAAGCAGATCGATCATGATCGAAACGGGCAAGCAAAGCAAGTTGCGACTGCTTGCATCCTGTCTACGTGTTGCGGAGGTTGGTACGTTCGAAGCTGTCTCTGAGACTTCCTCCTTGCGCTTGGGTTGAGGGTATGCGTAAATACGGTGGCTTCTGCTGCTAACAGCTTCCAGCGCCGCCTCGTAGATCTGCTCGAAGGTTTCCAAAGCTGTCTCGACATCACCTGCTCTTCGGTACGCATCCAGTAACGGCGTCATTGTATACACAGAAAGAGCAGGCGTGCGACGAGACATCTGCTTCAACGTATTCTCCACTTTCTCTGGCTCGCCGCGTCTTGCTTGTGCAACCATGAGTGTCGTGTACAGCGACACCAATGGTGGGCTGTGCTTGGAACCAAGACCGTTCGGTGCCTTGCTCTTTATGGGTGAAAGGGTACCGTCCGAAAACGTTGGTCTGAAAGTCTTCTTGCTCTCATGAGCAACGAGTTGCGACACGAGCGTGCATGCTAGATCGTAGGTGGCCTCGTTTTCACTGTGTGCATAGCTGCGGACCATGATGTTCCATGTAATGGAGCTGGGCGTTAGCTTTCGACTTTGCATCTCGTCGAAATACTCCTTTGCCTCCGTGTGTTCGCCAAGACGCAAGTAGCCGTGGATCATGATGGTGAAGTGGTACAGATTTGCTCCCTGCTCGTAACCTACACCAGTGAGGCTGGGCAAAGCGCGTTCAGCTTCAGTAAAGATCTCTTCGGCAAGATGCATCAACCCCGCATCGCAGGCACTCTGCAGCATCAAGGCGTAGGTGTTGGTATTAGGGTTCAGACCCATCTCGCGAACCTTGCCTACGAGCTCCATCACTTTCTGCACTGGCATAGAGCTGAGCACGTATGCCTTCAAAATAATGTTACATATTTCGATGGTGGGCCGTAGGCGAACGTCACGATGGCTCTTCATCCAAGCGAACAGTCTGATAGCTGCATCGTACAAGCCCGACTCCACGTAGCAGTTCAGCAAGGCCGCATAGGTGATGCGATCTGGCGTGACACCTGCCGCAATCATCGCACGGAGTGCATGAGCAGCCGATTCGGGATCTCGGCGCAGTGCGAAGCCGTTGATGAGGATGGTGTAGGTATACTTGTCTGGCTGGACACCGAACTCTTTCATCTCGTCGAAGATGGCTAGAGCTGCATCGACGTTGGTTCTGCGAACATGCATGTCAACCAGCAGATTAAAGTCAGAGGTTCGTGGACGGATGCCTCTTTCGAGCGCCTGGGTCAAGTAGTGCTCTGCCAGATCGATGTCGCCTGCGCGGTTGCAAGCTTGAATCAGTTGACGGTATGCTTTGCCATTAAGAGGAGACTTGCCCTCCTCGCATTCCTCATGCGTGCGACCTTCGAAGTCGTGCAGCTCTGCCAGCTTTTCGTGAACCATCTGAACGTCACCACGGGCGGCAGCAAGTTCCGTGTAGATTGCTCGCGAGAATCCATCGCGATCTGTGAACCCGCGTCGCTTCAATACTGCAAGCAGTTTCTGGACGAGATCAATCCGGTTCCGGCTTGCCCAGCGCTGTGCGATGACACGCAGCAACTTGATCGAGACTTTCCTGCCCGGAGGTCCCGTAGAACGGTTAAGAATAGCCTCCATTCGCGCCGAGACGCCCTGACTCTTACTGCTTTGGATGATGCGAGAGATTAGCGAGTCGGACATAGGTACACCTCGAGACCATAGATCGTCGTATACCTCGAGCGCGGCTTCAGAGCCTTTGTTGACGAGTATCGAACGGAGCAGGAGTTCGCAGACCTCGGCAAATGCTGGGTCCTCGGCGTCATGATCTTGCGCCAGTTCTTCCAAGAGCTCATGCGGGTCCTCGACTTGAGACACGCAATGAAGAAACAAGATCCGACAGTTATTGAATACTTGGGCCGACGTATGCGAAAGCAAGAAAGCATGCGGAGAAGCCATGAACCATTCGAGGCTCGCTTTGATGGGATGGTCTGTCTCCGAAAAGTGAACACGGTGCTCCTTGAGGTCGTTCAGCAGCCCGGTGTCGTCTTCAAAAAATTGAGGCCGTGAGCTAATGCTGTCGGCTATTGTGGCGGGGCCGAATCGTCCTTGAATCTCAAAATTGAGCGAGTCCATGATGGTGTGCAGGGCAATATTGATAGGGGACATGTAGCCACCGGGGATTTCGTGCTCGTTCTTGTATGTGTAGATATCAGGTCGACAGCGAGCCAAGACTTCGTCCATGAGCTTCAGAGCTGAGATCGGCTGGGTCTGGAGCGCTACTGAGATGGGCTGCATCAGAGCAATGCCGAGGTTGGAGTGCGCGAGAATGGAAGATGATCGAGACTTGGAAGTATCTGCCTTCTCGAGCATGATATTGCAGTCTTGAAGAATGGCATTGATGCGTTGACCATAAAGGAAGCGAAGCGCTTTGTACGATGGCCAAATTGTCTTGTTTGTGGTTACCAAGTGAACGTTGGTCGCCAAAGATCTTGCTACTAAGACACGACTGGCCAGAGATAGCATCTCTTTGTGCGCATGCTGACGGTAAAGATGCCAGAGACGATGTCCGGCCAGTCTGCGAAGTGTAATGCCATTTATATCGTTGCGTTCCCTGTATCCTGGTCTGAACTCTGCTCTTTCTTCCGCGACAGCGCGATCGAATAGGCGATTCACGCCTGAATCTTCATTGTGAGCTCTTTGTGTCCGCCGCTTCCAAGGCGCAATCCAATGAGGAGGGAAAGAGCCGAATTTAGTCGCATTAGTGTCGAAATTGGCGACCACGTCCTGCGAGCGATGCAAAGGCAGGTCAGCCGTCGATGGGGAATGGTAAGGCGTGTAGGACTGAGGGTTGGCCTGGTGATCAACGTGCGTATCAAGCTGCTTAGTCGACGCTGTAGCCGTGGAGGCATGTCTACGTTGAGCGGTACTGTAAGACAAAGAAGATTGAGAACGGGTTGCAGTGTAGGCTTGAACTCTTATCTGTTGCTTCCACAAAGCCACGGGGCTGAGGCGACCAGAGGACGAGTGCAGCGAGCCAGCTGATACCCGTGAACAGAGGAAGTCGCATGCCAATGGTGCCACACTTGACACGTTCTGAGAGCTGGAAGATGAGCGAGACCTGGTTGAGCCGGCATTAAACGCTCTTGGTAGTGCTCGATCGATCGCCACGATGTCTGCAGCAAGACGACAGATCTTGGTTGCCAAGGCAAGCAGACTATCACACTGCGAAGGTCCTGCCCGCACAAGGGCCGAAAGTGATGGTGGTGGCCGCATCGAGGTAGTTTGCTTCTGGATCGAAGCGAGACAGGCCCTCGTGCATCAATAGCGAAGGCGGCCAGAAGAAGAAGCGGTGCGTTGTCCGAAAACTTTTGCCAAACGAGATAGATGCAAGTGCTCGAATTGAGGATAGTAGGTAGGCGATGATAAGCGAGTGCGGAGGTGCCAGTATTGCCAGACGACCTCGGTGTCGACAGGGCAGTTAGTTGAGGCTATATGAGCATGAAAGTTCGATCGCGTTCGAGCTAGCAAATGAGCGTGGCTAGTATGTTGGTTCTTATCCTCGATCCAGCACTATATCTACGCCTTTTAACGGCCGCAGTATAGGTAGGTTCGTGTGATGTAAACGGTATGGGTGAAAGCAAGGTATGGCTAAAGTGTTACAGAAGGGAAAGTGTTGTGTGTCACCAAAAGTAGTTGTGAGTGGCAACTGCTTCGGCTGAGCTACTTCCCAAAAAACCAGAATAACGTCAGCCGCAACTGCGAATCATGGAAAAAAAAAGAAGAAGAAGAAGAAAAAGGAAAAAAAGTCCTTCCTCTCAGCAGTCTCAATTTTGTCGATCCGAGGTCAGAACACCCGAACAGAAAGCCAATAATTCTCCACTTTTCCTCTTTCAGCCTTTCTCGCACGACAAGTTGCGTGAACTGACTCAACTTCGGATGTCGGAGAATTGGGAGAAAGAGGACCCTTTGAGAAGTTCTACATCGTCATCCTCGCAATTGTGCCTCTCGCCACTCCTCTCTGCACCAGGACAACCGACTGCACAATCAGTCACAGCATCACTCAGAACAAGACGCTGAGGATCACAAAAGGGCGCCACGTTCGAAGAAGAGGAACTCGCGGCAGGGCTGGAGACTCGTTGGCAAGCACAGCTAGTAGTGACTGGTCACCATGTCGAACAAACGCGTTCGTGGCCTCGCCATCCATCGGCCCATTCTCTACGGATCGACATCTACACCTCTAACACCCGCCGAGAAGCTTGCCGCGCCACCAGATCATACGCACAAGTGGACAGTCGCCGTTCGCAGCGCCGCCTCCAATCCACTTCCCTCGCTCTCCACCATCTCTGGCCTTCCTAACAATGCAGCTTTCGAACAAGGCTCCGAGCTAGCTGCTGTCAATGCTGCCAACCCTGCCGCCGCTACCGGCACTTCAACTCCAGGATCAGCAGCTGGAGCTACCATCTCCACACGCGGTCGCGACCAAGAGCACGACTACCACAAGATGGTTGGAGGCAAGGATGACCTCACACACTTCATCAAGCGTGTCCAGTTTAAGCTGCACGACACCTATCCTCAGCCAACAAGGAACATTGACAAACCACCATTTCAATGTACGGAAAGTGGGTGGGGAGAGTTTGAGATCCAGATCAAGATCTTCTTCGTGCCAGAAGCCAACGAGAAGCCAATCACGCTGTTCCACCATCTCAAGTTGCACCCGTGGCTGCAACAGGTTGCGGCAGTTGAAGCGGCAGAACCAGCTGCGACTGGTATCCCTGCGGCTATGCCGCCCGCTGACGCATCTGCTTCTGGCGAGGCGTCGGCCGCAGATGGGAAGACCGAAGAAGCGACAGGCGAACCAGAATCTGAGAAGGACGAGACAAAGAAGGAACCAGAAACGGATGGAATGGATGTCGATCCTGCACCATCGGACTCAGCAACTGAAGGAACGGCAATGAATGGATCCATTGACACTTTGTCAACAGCAGAAGCAGCAACCACGGCCGCTTCTACGTCTGCATCATCTGCGCCCAAACCCGCGCTTCCACCAGTCGTCCACTCGTGGCAATATGACGAGGTCGTCTTCCCGGAACCCATGGAACAGTTCTACGACATCCTATCTATGCATCCTCCAACACCGCAACCCTTTACTTCAGCACTAGCGTTTGCCGATCCAGCAGCCTATCGCTCGTACCAGTACCTTCGCGGCAAAGCGGACAAGGGCAAAGCACCACCCTCATCACAGCCGCTCATCCCACCACACCCTCTCCACACGCCCACGGGATACCTCTTCGATGCTCTCTCACAAGAAGCACAGCAGGCCGAAGCAGATCGCTTGGACATGGCAAGGATCGCAGCTATCAGAGATCTCGAGAACGGTAGAGAGCAGCTGATCAAGGCAGAGAAAGCCTTGAAAGATGCTAGGAATCGGATTGCGACTTTGAACAACAATGCGCTTGCTGCATCGAGGGGCTCAGCGCCTGGCTCCGGAGCTGCAGCACCAGTGCCCCCTGCTGCTTGAACGGATAAGCGGGATGTTGCAAATGTCATCTTGTCTACCAGATTTCTTCATGTATTTGTGTTGTTGTCACCAAGTCAAAGGAGTTTCGTCAATGTTGCGATTGTCTAGATGTCTCGCGTTGTCTGTCACTGGAGAATGATCTGTGAGCTGGCTTAGGCCTCTCGGCGGCACAAGTCCGCCAAGTGCTTCCGCTCAAGAATGCTGAGTGGGTTACGATTTGGCCAACCCTGGTCAACGACGGCAAGATCGGTCACACAAAGCTGTCGACACTGTGCGATCTTTGAGCTCTCACGCAGGCCAATGTGCTTGCGGTCACAAATTCGATTTCAGATTGAAGAGCATCTAGTGAAAATGAATTACGAGCCTGGCTGATGATGACGAGGACGACTTTGACGCGAGCAAGACCAAGCTCACGGATCACTGAAGCGATGGAAGCCGAGACTGAACGCATCGAGCCCTGAAGGTTGAGGTGGGAATTTAGGGAGCGTTATCAGGCGAGCCATCAATAAGCCTATCAAACCGATAGCACATGATACCTCTCCTCGGATGCATCACATCCCGAACCTTGACCTTCTCGAACATCCCATAGAAGTCAATCGTATCGTTCAAGCTCGCAGGCACGACCTTTGACGTTCCATCCTTCTCCCTGATCCTTCGATGACCTCCATAGGCGTACCATGCATTATGTTTGTGCTGCCACGACCTCCAGTATCTATCGATCTCCGCATGAAGTAACCAGAAAGCTGGCTCGCATGGAGCAGAGAAAAGCGCCATCTCTCCATAAATCGACCGATGGATCCAAGAATGAACAGTAGCTTCGAGCTTCTGACGAAGCAAAGTGTAGTTCGGTTCATTCAGGATGGTGTCATAGAGTTGCGGGTTGAATTGGGACGTGTACATGTCGCCACGGATCAAGGGCTTTCGTTCCCAGTCGGAGTTAAAGTGTCTAGTGACATAGTGAGGCTTGTAGAGACTGTAACCGGCCTTCTTGGTGTTTGGCAATATTCCACACTTCAGGTTGCGGAAGGGGCCGTTGGGGATAGGTCCACCTTTGCCATCGTCTCCACCGAAGCTTTTCCAGACGGCAGCGTTCTGAAGGCCTTTCTTGTAGTCATCAAAGATGTCCCAGTACGCTTCACGACCTTTGTAGCCAGATACTCGCATGAGAGAGTAGAAAGCACGAAGGAAGGCAGTGTGACAGGCAAGGAAGCAGGCGTTGTAGTGCATCTCTTGCTGCAGGGCAACGTGGACCATGGCAAGATCGTCCATGAAGGAGCCCCCACGAATAAAGATGGACTTGTTCGGAGTGTTCAAAGCTTTGAAGGAAGAGATCCAAGCTGACTGTTCTCGAGGGGTGAGAGTGTACCATGAGACGCGTGCAACAGGGTGTGTGCACTTCATCGATGATGAAGCTGGAGCAGCTGCGGACTTACGTCGTTCTAGCATAGGTGAAGATGCAGCAGAAGAGGAGAGGGAGGTATCTGCTGCTGCGAGCTGAGCTCGTTTCTCGATAACTTCGATGTGCGACCAAAACGACGTCTCCTTGGCCAGACACACCTGTAGCAGGGTCAAGACAATAACAGCTGCCAGCATCAGCTTGGTCCTCAACATTTCGACGAAAGATCATGCAGTGAGAGAGGAACGGATGGATGGAGTAGGAAAGAAAGGGTTGTAGCTAATAGAGGGTCCTCGCTTGAGCCGGGACCTGTGTGTGCACACGCATCCCTGGAGATGAGAAGGCGCGGACACCACCAACTTCATTGATGCAACCTACCCACCACCGGTAGAAATGGCACCAGAGTGGCTGCAATCCTGTACCCCGTCGACTCCCATGGCCGAATAGCAACGTCGGCGTATCAACCCACCACCGGATGAAGCAGTCATCTCTAGCCGTCAACACTCCATCAAACTGCTTCCCGCCCGGATCTTAAAGGTGTGCCACAGATCGAAGCTCGACTCGTTCATCAGTCCTCACAGCGAATGCAGCGGGTTTTACTGTCAGCTTTTTACTTCGAGACTGATTTGTATCGAGCAAAAACGTTGTCAGAATGTGAATTGCACGCAACCATGAACGCGAGCGACGTTTGTGATATGTAATCGTGACCGTCACCCCACCTCACGGTATCCAATCGAGGTCTCCTTGCCAACGTTGCAAAACCCACCTACAGCGCGAGATATTGTGGCGTGTGCTGCGCTACCATCAATCGAAACCATCCCAAAATGGCTGATGCCGATTAGTAGCCTCTTTCGCTTCTTTGAAGAAGAACCGCAGTTGCTTGGTTCCATCGGCAGTTCGTCAGGCTTGATTTTGCGTCGTGCAGGAACTGTAGCTACAGGCTCCTGCGACTGTTCACGAACTTGCTCGGTGCCATCTACTTCTCCAGCATCCATGGCGATTCCTTCACGATGGCGTTCAAGCTTGACTCCATTTGCTTCCAAACTGCGTATGTAGATGCGACGGAGTTGTGAGACTGCAGCTTGATATATCTTCTCTACTCGTTCTTCGTCCGAAAGGTTCGAGAAGAAGATGTCTTCGTAGCTGGGAAACCATGAAGAAGTCGGAATAACCGACATGCGGCCCTTCTCGTCGACGACGGCAATACCAAAGAGGATCTCCTATTGAGCTCAATGGCTTGTGTCCTGCAAGGACCAATGTGACAGCCAGCCTTCTCCTGCTTCTTGGAACAGCTGCCCCCATGCTTGACGAATCACGGTATTGACGAGCTTTCTGTGCTGTCCAGCTCCACGCTGACGAATGTCCTGTTTTTCCCATGCAGCAGATGTAGAGGTCTGAACAGCATCCACGGTGGCGGGATTCCAATGAGGCTTGAGCTTGATGAGATTCGCGATCGAGTTGTAGAAGTGTTCAGGAGGATTCATCCAGTCTTGGAGGAACGGATGGGTCTGTAAAGCTCATGAAGCTTTGACCAGTTTGTTGGGCTCGATTGATGAGAATTTCGAGATCAATACAGTATCGCCGGCTACAGTAAGCTTGCAGGCCAACAAGGCAGTGAAGGATACTCTGAAGCTCGCTTCCACTTGCTTGATTTGATGCGGGAAGAAGCCCATAGACTTGATAAGCGAAAAAGAATCTCTCCTTGCTCGCATTCATACCTTTCTTGCCCTTCTATACGGCCACGGTCAAAGCATGGCGAAAGACATAAAGCAACTTTGCATCAACAAAGCCATAGGGCCAAGCGGTCTTGAGGAACTCGAAGTCAGGCTTGGCTTCTTCAGCGAGCAACCGACCCATTGACTTGTTGAGCAACCGCTTCGGAACGGCGCCCATACTTGGGCGAGACGCAACGTCCTCAGCAATTGATGTCAAGGTCGCCTGATCGGCTTTGTCGCAAATACGATCTGTGATGGTAGTATCAGGCAGCTTGGACGTGGCTGAAGATATCTTGAAAGAGGAGAGAATGATGCAGTGCTTGCGGAGAAGAATGCCGACACCAGATGGTGATACTGATGTCCTGAGGTGTAGAGTTCCAACTGCAAAAGACTTGACGGAAGGACACACTCTTGGCGATTCGCTGATCAGAATCTCTCCACATGTTGCCAGCGGTTGAATCTTCGGCAAGACCGTAGTGCAAAGGCCTCACTGCGTTAAGCTTCGCTGCTGAGCATAGATCAGGGTCCTGCTCGAGTCGAAGCTTTGTTCGTAGTGATAGCCATCGATGAGAGCAAGACTCTGGTGAACCTTACTTACGCGGAAAGTTTATTCTGGCTCTCATCCTCCAGATAAGTTAAAGAGCGTCGTCGAGATCAATCGGAAGTGCGTCGAAGTCAATGATCACAAGTGTCGATTGCAATGATAAATCATTTCTAAGTACATAGTGAATCGTGTGCTTATATATGTGCCAATGCTCTTCCATGCATGTATGGTACTAGGGGTCAATAGAGTGGGAGCATGAATGAGAGACTAAAGGGGAGGAAAACACCAGCTGCTGTTGACTGGCATCTTGAGGTTCAGCAGTCAGCCCAGGCATTGCATCAAGTCCAAGGGAGCAAGGTTGGTGATTGGATGTGGGCTCAGCAAAGGCTGCATATGCATGCTTCAGTCGCTGAGGCACCACATGCTTCAACTCTCCTCCTCGCCAACAGAGCAATCATATGGTCCTGCATTGACAATTCCAAGACAAGTACAGGTGTGTGACAGGAGTTTCCCCAAAACTGGCTTTGTAAGGAAATCAGTGATATTATCTTCAGTTTTAACATACCTGATCACAATATCCCCTTCTTGTACATGATCTCAGATGAGATGGTATTTCATATTGATGTGTTTAAGTTTGGAATGCATGGCTTGGTCTTTTGCCACTTGAATACAGCCTGTTGTCATGGGCCTGAATGCTCAAGAAGCAGGAGGGTCACTGGTTCATATGGAAGGAGCACAGGTATCAAAGATCTAGTTGATACCATTAGAGAGCATGGCCATAGTGCAGTCTCCATGGAGACCATGGACTCCTATGGACTCACATGCAAAGGAGGACCAAGCCCATATGCGAGGAGGGCCAGGCACAGCCACAAAGAGGACCAAGCTCAAGGAGCATGCAGATGGTTACTGTCATGGGCCTGGATGCTCAAGAAGCAGGAGGGTCACTGGTTCATATGGAAGGAGCACAGGTATCGAAGATCTAGTCGATACCAGTAGAGAGCATGGTCGTAGTGCAGTCTCCATGGAGACCATGGACTTCTATGGACTCACATGCAAAGGAGGACCGAGCCATATGCGAGGAGGGTCAAGCACAGCCACGAGGAGGACCAAGCTCAAGGAGCAGGCACAGCCACGAAGAGGACCAAGCTCAAGGAGCATGCAGATGGTTACCACTCAGGGGCTCGAGAGACAAGAGTCGAAGGAGTCGACACCAGGTCCTGAGGAGGAGGAGCAGTGTCGAAGGAGTCGACACCAGGTCTGGAGGAGGAGGAGCAGTGTCAAAGGAGTCGACACCACTCAGGAGGCACAAGGGTGCCAAGCAAGCAGGATAGCAAGGAGGAGGAGCAGTGTCGAAGGAGTCAACACAGCTCAAGAGGCATAGGGGTGCCAAGCAAGCATGAGAGGCCTCCTGAACAGTACTCAATGAAGAAGGTACTCTCTGGAGAGAGAGCAGGAGCAGCATTGCTGGTGATGCTGTGAAGAGGTATATAACCATGCTTTCTCATCATCAAAGGTCGAGTGGATCCTCATCCACTCTACACACCCATCATAACTAGTTATCACTTCAGCATAAGTATATATTAGTTTCAGTCAGCATAGCAGCAATCTATCAAGGTTGCTCCTCATCATAGTGTGTGTGTTGTATCACCACTACCTGATGTCCGAAGGCAGTTCATAGTAAACCAGCGGTCTGGATATAGATAGAACCAAAGGCAGTAGTCCACTGTGGTCCAGGGATCACCTCAAGCATCAGTCAACACACTGGACACTTGTGTTGATGCCACCAACCCTATCACCCACACCACCAACCTTATCACCAACACCATCAACCTCATCATCATCAACACCCACACCAGACCTTGGTGTCATCATAACCTATGCATTGATATTGATTGTGCCGAGCTACCCCTGAATGGAGTGTCCACAGAGGTCAGCCAAAACCTATGACAGTATATACAACAAATGTCACCTGCTGTCATCGCACAACTTGATAGTCACCAAGCAACTAGCTCATCAAGACCGATACTGAGACAATAGCTGTCACACAGTTTGATAGTCACCGAGTATCTCGACAGACCGACCTGGGTTTCAGGCGCGAGACCCCTGACACCTGTGTTGTCCATAAAGATGGTGGGAGTGTGGTCTCCAAATCCTAGTCCACAGAGAAGATGTCTGTGGAACAGAGCTTCCCTGATGGCTGCTGATCCTGCAACATATTCAGCTTTGACTGCTGAGCTAGCCACACACTTCTGTATATGGGAGTTCCATGTGACAATATTTCTGAAAACTTTCACAATCAAACCCAAAGTGCTTTTCCTATCAGCATTGGGATCCAAAGCCCAGTTCGCATCCATGTAGGTTTCGATAGCATTGCCTGTAACATCCATCCCACCAATGTGTAGTACATTATCTTGAGTCTGGTTCAAATATTTGATGATGCATAGTGCCACTAGCATCATTTCTTCAGTTGGTCAAGACATGTGTCATGTGAGTGTATTGACTGCATAGCAGATATCTGGGCAGACAGTATTTGATACCCAGAGCAACTTACCTATGAGTGCAGGGTAAGTTTCCCTTAGTTTGTTGTCATATGTGAGTTCGTTAGCTGCCTTCATGGGAGTGGTCATCATTGGTATCCAGGTTTTATCATTAGGTTTTATCCATTCCTTAACGATTTCCTTGATATATGCCTGTTGATCCAGATCCATGGTCCACTTTGTTTGGTCCCTTGTAATCTTAATCTTCAAGAACTCTGTCACTGGACCATTGTCTTCAATTTTCCATTTGTTGAGGATTGCTTGTTTCACTTCATCTACCTGTGACCTATGTGGAGCCATAATGAGCATGTCATCCATGTACACCACAATGATGACTTGTTCCTGTCCTGCTCCTCTTGAATATACACATGGTGCTCCCTGGACTGGAAAGAATCCCATATGTCACAGGTGAGAATCCATTTCCTTATACCATTCTTGTCCAGATTGCTTGAGGCCATAGAGGCTCTTGAGCAGTTTGTACACCTTTCCAGGGGGGGCATTTGTACCTTCAGGTGGTTTGAGGTAGATGTTATGCTCTAGCCTTGCATTGATGTATGCTTGTTTAATGTCTATTGAATCCAGTTCCCAATCAAGTTTAGCTGCTATTACCAGTATCATCTGGATTGTGTCTCTAGGTACCACCAGCACAAAGATTTCCATATAGTCCAAACCCTCCCTCTGTGAGAACCCTCATGCACAGAGTTGTGCTTTGAATTTGTATGGTACCCTGTTCACATCCATTTTAACATTAAGCACTAGCTTTGAGTCAATGAGGTGGGCTTTTGGTGGCATGTTGATGACCTCCGAGATGTTCATACTTTTGAGACCCTCCAGCTCAGCACAGATCGCTTCACACCAATGAGATTGATCTGGCCCAGCGAGAGCCTCCTTCACAGTTGGTTTCAGGTTTACTGCACTGGCTGAGTTTGCACTCATGTTATCACATGCGATGTGTGGCAATTCTGGTATTTTACCTTGGCATCAAAGTTTCTGTTGGAACCAATACAGTTCCCCTGGTGGAGGTAACTGTGATTGGTATGTCCTGAGAGCTGCCATAACTGTTGTTGGATGCAGCCATGGATGCACTTGCTCAATCATACGAGTGCTATCCTTGTTTACCGTTTCCATTGATGCCATGGTCATTACGAGTGTGTGTTGGTCTTCCTGTTGATATATATCTTCAATTGGTCCTCATTGCTCCTCATCATGAATGTCTTGTTCAGTGTATCATATGTCTTCAATATCCTCCATGTGATACTCAGGGTCCATGTCATAACCCAGTGTCACTTCTGTACATTCATCCCATGACTTGTTCTCCAGGAATTTAGCTGCATTGGACCAAAAAACTGTTGGATTGTGTTTTGGGGATATGAACTTCCACCCCTTGTGCTCCTCATTGTATCCAACGAATATGGCAGGTATAGCTGGGTCATCAAGCTTTTTCCTTTTCATCTTAGGCACATGTACCCAGGCAAGACACCCAAAAGTTTGAAGCATGCTAAATGGTTTCTTGGGGTCTCTATCATAGAATACATGATATGGAATGCAACCCTGGACATTTGGTATCAAGTTCTTTGTAAAGACTGCTGCTTCGACTGCAAATGGCCAGAAAGTCTGGGGTAAACTATGTGATCACATCATTGCCATCATCATGTTTCTGATTGTCCTTATGGTCCATTCTGCCTTTCCATTTTGTTCACTGTTGTATGTCAATGTCTTCTGCCATCAAAAGCCTGCATCATTCTGCCATGCGATTGTGTTTGCATTGATCCATTCCATTCCATTGTCTGACCAGAGAGCCTTGAGTTTGTGTCCAGTTTGAGTTTCGGCATAGTTGACCCATTCTTTCAATACTTGTAATGCATCAGCCTTTGAACATAGAGGCTTGATGTAAGTGAAACTGGATGCATCATCTACTGCCACCAATATGGAGGTGAATTCTGTTTTTGTTGAGAAGTGTGTTGCCAAGTCAATGTGTAGAAGCTCTAATGGATACTTGGCACATTCACCACTACCTTGTCCCATTTGTGCTTTCATTGACTTGCTCACCATGCAGTCTTGACATTTGTATGGTCTGATCTTGATGTTGTATGTGTTTTCTATCATTCTGCTTTTGTCACAGCTGGGGTGACCACATCGTTCATGAATGAAATCCCTAGTGAAACTTTGTGGTTTTGGTGGGTCATTGGTATTGAGTTGTTCTGGTAGATCATTCATTTCATCATCTATTGTTGATATGAGGGCTTCTGCCTTTGTTGGGTGGATTTCCCAATGCCTCATATGGATATTAGTATATCCTTTTACTTCATGGCTGTTGGGCCACTTAAGGTGTGCATTCTCTGGAATAAATATCACATGTACACTGTTGTTTGTTAGAGCTTGCACTGACATTAGATTTACACTTGCTTCTGGAACATAAAGTACATTGTTGAGATATACCTTGTGTCCATCAACATTGACAATGACTTGGCCTCTAGCCTTGATTTTAATTCTCATTCCACCAGCAGTTTTCACAAATCTGGTGCATGGAGATGGTGAAATGAGAGTTGTATTGTCATTTGTAATATGGTCAGTCACCCCTGAGTCTATAACCCATGAGTTGGGTTGTTGTTCCAAGGGAGTGTGATATGCTGATGTGATGGTGCACCAGATTTCCTAGGTGGATGTCTGATTGTCCTTTGATCCAGTGGCTGGGTCAGTGACATTGTTAGCTTGGTATTCACCATTTGGATTCTTAGGGCAGAAATGACTAATGTGGTTTTCTCCCTGACAGTAATAACATCTTTGATGGCCATTGGGACCTGGTTTTCCCATGCTGTAGGTGTCCTGGTTTGTGATTTTCCCATTAGCAACAAAAGCTTGTGTGGTCTTGCCTTCAGTTCTGTGACTTGGTTTCATTGCCATGTCATCCTGTCATTTGAATAGGGCTGCACAAATTGCATTGTAGTCCATTCCTCAGCCATTGTCTTGCAAGTTCATGATGCATGTGTTGTAGGCCATCACAAACCTTGCCTGATTGATAAGAGTCTTGATCTTGAGGACTCTTGTCAGATTGAAGCCCATGGCTTTGGCCTTGGCCCAATGCTCATTTAGGTCAGCAGTGAATTTATGGACATCTGCATTAAGCATGCAGATCCTTCTGGCCTTGTAGAGAAGAGTTGATTTGGCAATGTGTTCCATCTTGGTGAGGTCTTTCTTGAGTCAGGCATACAATTCATGGGTCCTCCATGATTCAGTATTTGCAGGTTGTATGAACAGATAGTTCATGTTGTCTTGACCAATGAGTTTTGCATTGCTCTGGATGATCATATGGAGTTTCACATCCAATTTCTGGTTGTACTTCTTATCACCTGGTTTGGTGGTGCCATCAAGGTGCTTGAGAGCTGGGGACCATGAGGCCAGTATGTCCCAGAAATGAGGGTTCCAAGCATACCAGTTCTTCATGGTTAGTTTGGGAGTATCCTTTAATGCTTTGTTGAGTTGGGTCACCTCATGGAGGAAACCTCAGCATTTGGAAGGTAGCTTGTATGAAGAGGTCTTGGCTTGTTTGCATAGGGTGGATTGTGTGATGATAGTCCAGAGGGTGTTAATATTCATCTTGTTGATGTCATTGAGGTCAAGCAGGGGTTCACTTAGTTTGCTGTCATTGCTGTTGGAGTCATTGGAGGAGTTGGAATCAGATTTGGTGATTCTTTGATGTTCTGCAGGTGCCAGAATCATTTCAGCCTGATTGTCAGATGGTTCCTCATGTGAGGGGTCATTGGTGGGATGTGGATCATTGGGTTGTGAGGGCATGGTGTCAAGGATCATATGGCAAGAGCATTCAGACTCTTAATCAGTTAAAGAGCATCATTGAGATCAATTGGAGGTGCATCAAAGTCAATGATCACAAGTGTCGATTGCAATGATAAATCATTTCTAAGTACATAGTGAATCATGTGCTTATATATGCATCAATGCTCTTCCATGTGTGTATGGTACTAGGGGTCAATAGAGTAGGAGTGTGAATGAGAGACTAAAGGGGAGGAAAACACCAGCTGCTGTTGACTGGCATCTTGAGGTTCAGCAGTCAGCCCAGGCATTGCATCAAGTCTGAGGGAGCAAGGTTGGTGATTGGACATGGGCTTGGCGAAGGCTGCATATGCATGCTTCAGTCGCCGAGGCACCACGTGCTTCAACTAGATAAATGCTTTATGCTGGCAAAGGTCGAATGCGTTGATGAGATCGACGGTCCATGTTTACTGCCGACAAGCGGATCAGGATAGGCTCCATTGTCAGACGACAAGCTTTCGTGTACCAGCGGACACAATTCGTTATCTGCGCATTAGGCTCCGCGATCAGACGGAGGAGTCTCACGCAGATCCTTTGGAGTCACTTGCCTGCGACTACACTGATTTACCCAAAAATCAATGACAGTCACAGCGATCTCACTCGTCATTCGGCGTGCTCATCCGTCATCCTTCGGAAGACGTTCTCGCCTCATGCTGCGATGCTCGAACATTCACCTCTAGCTTCGTTCCACCTCATCACGGAGCTGAGCTGTCGCTTGAATCATTCGATCAGCACAAGCCGAGCTCTTCACTCTACGGTGCTATGACATGCAGCACTTCTGAGTTTCACCGAGGAAATGTTTTCGCACCAAAGTCACGATGGAGAACAGGATGAACGCCGAGAGTGACCACATGCATTGCAAGAGACAACCACTATAGAAAAGATTACTGGGAAACTGAGTCTCTGACTGTGTAGAGTGAAGTGTATACTGAATGCAGCGACAGTATAGCTTAGGTCAGGATCATTCACTTTGATCCACGACGCCAGCTTGTCTCCAGATCGGCTTTTGAGAGTGTATTCGTGCCGTTGGAGTTGCCGCCGTTAACGTTTCCGTTTCCATGCCCGTTGCCGTGTCCATTACCTCCTCCGTGACTAGCGCCTCTTGTTGAGAGAAGATCGGAATAACCATTTGTCAACGTTGAATACGCGCCCAAATTGGAACTTGGGTCATTGTAAGAGCCGGAGCCAGAGGAGCCACCGTTACCACCATTGCCACCGGTACGACGCACCCTGCCGTTCGGCATGTCGATCGAAGAAGCAGTGCCTGTCCTCCCTGGACCAAAATCAAAAGCGTTACCCGGTGCGCGACCTACCAATGCTGGCAAGTCGGGTGTCCCTGTACTGCCACCTGTTGGTGGACGAGCGTACTTGTTCATGCCGCCAGAGTTGTGCCCAGCTGGCGAAGTGCCAAATGGCGAACCGCTGCGTTCTGAGCCGCTCGAGATGTTGAGCGCACCGACATTAGGAAAGTACTGATTAGGACGAGCGCTGTACGACTGCCCGATAAACCCAGATGCGCCTTGCAATGGTGGGATGACATTTCGGGACGCACTGCCACCCTCAGCTTGGTGGTGGTTGCCTAATGTGCCGGCAGAGGCCGAAAGCTGGTCGAAGTGATTGCCGTCCGACAAGGCGCCATACGTGGCAGGCTGTACACGATAGCTAGGTCGATGACGTCGAGGTACCTTGCCGTCCTTGATTTTCTCTTGTGGATTGCCGTGCATCTTGGAGCCAACGCCTTGTTTGCGCTCGTAGTGTCGGTGCCATCCCTCATCTTCAAACAGAGGCTCGGCGGGGTATCCGTCAATGGTGACGTCCATCTTGGTCGTCTTGAGGCCGTAACGCCGACGCTCCTCGGCAGTGAGCAACCATGGTGTGTGAACGTAGTCGGCATGCAGGTTACGGAGCGCTGGGATCCACATTTTGACGTAATCACCGTGCGAGTCGTAGTCCTTGGCCTGTTTGATGATGTTGAACTGTCGCGAAGCTCTTGGATCGTTACCGACACCAGCGACATACTGCCAGTTGCCGTAGTTCGAAGTTGGGTCGTAGTCGATGAGATGGGATTGAAAGAACTCGGCACCGATACGCCAATCGTAGCCCAGGTCCTTGGATAAGAAACTTGCAACGTTTTGACGGCCACGATTTGACATAAAGCCAGACTCTCTGAGCTCGATAATGTTGGCATCGACGAATGGAATACCGGTGCGACCTTCGAGAAGACGGGTCATCTCATGCTCGGCGCCGTCCTTGATAGGTTCCCACTTTCGCCACCAACCTTCTTCCATCTTCTTGGCGGCTTGGCGAGGATCGGTAGCTCGCTCGAAGCCGCCAAGATCATAAACGAGGTGACCAAACTTCTCTGCAACAAAGAAGAAGTAGTCTCGCCACAAGAGCTCGAAGCGGACCCAGTAGGTGTTCTGATCTTCTCCGAACTTCGTTTCGTGGTCATCGAGCGCTTCCCAGATCTGTCGTGGCGAGATACTACCATAGGCAAGGAACGGCGACATCTTGCTACTGTAGGCATGACCGATGAGGTTGTTTCGAGTCTGCTTGTAGCGTGCTACCGGTGGTGGATCCGCCTTGCCCCAGCGAGACGAGTCAGCGGACTTGCCACGAACGAAGTACCAATCAAGTCGATCCAACGCAGAAGACTCGCCACCTCGCAATGGGAAGGCGGACGCGGGATGTCTTTGTTGTAGCAACGCGCTTGCCTCGAGTGTTGGCGGAAGTTGCGAGTCATTGAGAGGTGCCAGAAGGAATCGAAGGATGTCATGGAACGAGACCTCGCCTTCTTGCTTAGCCTTGGTCTCTGATGCGCGTGGTGCAAGACCGTCCACATCGACTTCGTAGGATACGTCGAGAGCATAGTCGGAAGTCTTGGGCACGACAGGTGGGAACGGTTTGAACTTGGCGGGTGGTTGCTTGACAGCACGAACCATGTTGGGACCGAGGGCCTCGACCTTCTTACGGAAGGGAGTGAAGACGTCAGGAGTCTCGCTGCTGTCGAAGGGCAGATCCGAGGGATGAATAAGAGTCTTGCCATAAACGAACCGAAAGGGTACGCTACTGCCCTGAAGCTTCTCGACGATGGCGTTCTCGACGTTGATCTCGGGGTAGGTCATCTCTTTCTGCATCCATACACCTTCTACATGCGTGCCATCAGCTTGGAAAGCCTGTACAAGGTTGTAGATCACATCTTCGGGGATACCGAAGCGGATGAGCAAGTCGGAGCCAACATTACGAAGGCGTGAACGCACATCGTAGACCGACTCGGAGATGAAACGAGTTCGAAAACCCCCAGTCTTCCAGAAGCCGTACACCTTTGTTCGCGCTTCGGGACCCTTGCGCTGAAAGCCCGGCAAGCCGCTGAGCTCCATCTCGCGCTCGTCAAAGACAAAGACGGGAAGAAGGTAATCAGCGGTGGAGCCAAGAAGCGCCTCATTTTCAAGTTTGCTAAGGTCTACAGTCTTTTCTACGGTGCTGAGGATAGGTTTAGGTGTTTGGTGAGCGTAGTGGAAGAGTGGGTTGTCGTGAATGCGCAAATCGAGACGAAGCAAGCAAATGAGTACACTGCGATCGGCGTCAGAGCCAGCAGTAGTTGCGCTGCCGCCATCAGAGGCGCTAGGCGAAGACGAAGAAGCGGATCCGTCCATGAAAGGCCAAGTCTCGCTCAATGACGCCGGACGAGGATGGTAGCTTCAGTATGGTGTTGTTGAGATAGATGGTTGGGTCGACTGAGTAGGTCGGTGCCGATAAAGTGCTAAGTCAGGTTTGTGAGATGCAGAAGTGGCAAGGCGGTAGCAAGGTAGCAACAGTGTAAACTCCTGGCCGGACGAGCGCAATATAGTCAATGTCAATAGAAGGCAATGTGGAAGGCCTGAGCGAGCAGGTGCGCAGAGGTATTGAGGCTGCACGAATCTGCGTTGATGTTGGAGTCTGTGATGCCAACCGGAACTGAGACCGGATAAACTCTTGTCGATCCAAGGAAAGATCAGCGAAACTGGCTGAGGCTCCAATGTAGAATTTAAAGTGAACTTTTACAAGGACGAGGCGAGGCGAGTCGACGAGAAGGTGGCGGTGGGAGCAAGTCTATGTGGTTGCGAATGTTTCTGCGAGAGGCGATGCGATGTGTGTGTTGAAAGAAGGCTGAATCAAGCCGAGAAGCGAAGAGGACGGTAGATAGGGGTCCACGAAAGAGTAGACAAACGAAGAGATGTGCAGAGAGGACTGCTATAGTATGAAGATTAACCCGAGAGCGTCGATGGTGTTGAGAGAGGGGATTAGGCGACGGTGTTGACGAGAAGGGACCATGATGGCAGTATCGTTTAACTGACTTAGCTGGCGTGGCGCTGATGCGCAGTCGTCAAGGTTAGGCTACAGTCGCAATTGAGATCAAATTTCAAGGCAGCAAAGCAGCAGAGTCAATTGGCAGACAGCAAAAACGGGCTCAGGATGGATACGACGATTGCACAGTCTGCACTGACAGACATGCAATTTTTCCCTTTTTTCTTTTTTTCCCTTTTTTCTTTTTTTCCCTTTTTTCTTTTTTTCCCTTTTCTTTCCCCCTTTCTAACGCTAAATCGAACATCTTCTACGCTTCTTTACTCTTGTCAACAAGAAGACTTTGGCACTTGGCAGCCCAGGGTTCCATCGTTGCCGGAGGTGCGCCCGTGGCTGTGGAGGAAAGAGCCTCAGCCAGATGAGGAAAGGCGATAGCTCCGTTGTGCACAAGCCGTGGAAACAGTTCTTGGAGACAGAATCGAGTGACGCAGAGAACTCTTTGACAGGTAGAAGAGCCAAGTTAAGACAATAAGTGCAAGCCTTGCCCATCGAGCATTTCAAGCGAGCAAAGCAGTGACAAAGTGACAAAGTGCATCTGCAACAAACCGAAGAATAGGAGAGCTGCAAGCAAACCACAACATGTCAAAGGCAGGAACAAAAGTCTAGGATTCCCTTCACAACAGTACAAGGCAGCCTACCGACCTGTCCAGTGAAGTTGACCACATACTTGGGACCTCATGGGCCGTCCTTTCTCACTTAACTAGTCTTCCTTGTCTTGTCCCGTCCTGACAAAAAGTGATCGATAGCCAATAATGCCTCCGTTTCCGCATCAACGTGTTTGGTATCGGCCGCATAGCGCTGAGCCCCCGTCGTTGACGTTGAGGGACGTTGCTCTTTCTTCTGCTGCGACTGATTGGCACACAGGGGATGCCAATGTCAGAGGTGCACCGCTATGGGTGTGACAAGCTCCACAGATGCTCAACCAAGAGTTTGGAACACCCGGAGTCCGATACAAGTCGTTTTTCTTTGCTGCTTCTGTGGCGAACAAGCCATCGTAAGGTCACTGAACTGTGCGACAAGCGATACAACATGTCCAGCATGCCGAAACCGGAGAACAGCTTGCCTCACTACAGGGCCTGCTGGTGCCGATGAGGCTCGCCGATCGAGACAGGACAGTGGAGTTGAAGATTGAAGTAAAAGACACCACTTTGTCCGGGCTACGATCTAGCTCCTTTCGCACAGGTGTATGCTAACTACAATGCTTATTCTTATTTCTCGAGGAGGATGAAGCTACATGTGTATATATACCCTGCTATCGTCTCTAGGAACGCTACACTACCTCAAGCCAATCGTGTGTCTCCTGTTGAGCCCCTTTGGTTGTCTTCTTATGTATAGCTCCTGAGTCGTTGCCGTATCAACCAATCATGCAATTCACATGCATCTTGTTCCCTCACCATCCTCGGTCTTCCTGCATCTCGGGTAAGCCTAAACGAGCTCTATTTTCGGATCCCGACGCCTCCACAAACGAGGCAGAAAAAAACTCATTGTCTGCATCGGGCATTCTAACATTGATCAGATCTTCCAATTCCCCATGTCCGACCGACTGTTGACGGTCCTGGAGCTTTGAGCGATGAGTTCAACAGGTTGACTTCCTCAGCTTGACTCACTACCAATTGAGATGTTGTATTCGAAAGCCAAAAGAGAATGTTAAACGGAAACAGAAAAAAAGATGGAAGGAAATCTTATTCTAAGGCGAAACCCCAAAGCTCATCTTGATACCCATCGCTGCCAACTCTGCCACCAGATACTTGAGCACGTATGGCACGGCAACAACATCCAAATCACCGCCAGTGACGTTGTTGATCACGTTCGATTGCGAGATACCAATGTAGCCCTCGACACCACCCACAGGCATTCTTTTGCCTCGCAAAGGCTCAAGACCTTGCTGACGACGAACTTCATCTTCAGCCCTGCAGACACGACAATACTCTCCGTTGGGACCCAAGATCGGTGTTGTGCCCTGAGTGGTAATGTCGATGGTCGTGATGGCTCCGCCGCCGTTGGACTGAGATTGGCTGTTGTCGAACCCGACAGAGAGCAATGAACCGCAGGTTCGGCAGACGTAGGAGGTTGAGTAGTCCGAACAATTCATGAGTCGGTCTTGCAGCATGTAGGATGTTCCGTGTGCCAGCAAAGCATCACGTTCCATCTCACCGAAACGAATACCACCGGCTCGTTTCCTACCCTTGATGGGCTGTCTTGTCAATGCGTGAACGGGACCAGTGGTTCGCACCTGGAACTTGTCATTGACCATGTGCCTCAATCGCTGGTAGTAGACAACGCCGAGGTAAATGTCTGCACGCAGCTCTTGACCTGTGATACCCGAGTACATAGGTTCGTTGCCGACGTGGTTGTAGCCGGCTGCCTTGAGTTGCTCGCCAAAGAACTCGGTGGGGGTGTAGTCTTCGCTAAAGGTGAAAGGCGTTGAGTCCTGGGCGATACCATGCATGGCACCCGCTTTGCCCGCAATCGACTCGATTAACATGCCGATCGTCATACGCGAAGGGAAAGCGTGTGGGTTGATAATCACATCGGGCTGCATACCACTCTCGGAGAATGGCATGTCAACAGCAGGCCACTTCTGCGAACAGACACCCTTCTGACCGTGTCGCGAGGAGAACTTATCACCGATCACAGGCGAACGTGTAATTCGCAACATGATCTGAACCTTCTGGCACTCACCGTCGCCTCCACCCATACCAGCGTCCGAGCCAAGCAAACGGACAGTGTCGACGTAGGCGTATTCGTCACCCTTGAACTTCTTGAACTGAGTTTTGCCGCTGACTTCGTCCCAGTATGCGCAGATTGGTTCACCTGCAAGCACCTTCTGGCCGACATAAGGCAAGCCATCCTGATCGAGAATGTTGCGCTGCGCTTCGGAGGCCTTGTAATTGGGTGCGAAACCAAAGTGTAAGGTGGGCACGCTCGAGCTCGACTTGCCCTTGAGATCGCGAAGGTCGATCGTCTCGGACTTGTAGACGGTACCGTAACCGAAACCACGCTCGTGAGCGCTCTTGTTCAAGATCATGGCATCTTCCATATCGTAGCCTGTGTAGGAGATAACGGCGACGATGGCGTTGGTACCGTTAGGGTAGTCGTCGAAAGCGTACTTGTTGTAGAGCTCTGGCCTGACAACGGGTGTCTGCGGCGTCTGGATACGGTACAGCTTGTTGTCCGTCCTCCTGCCGACTGCGGTCGAGGCGGTACCCATGGTCTGCTTCATCATCTGTGCTTGGTAACAGTTACGTGGCGACTGGTTGTAGTCAGAAAACGGTGTCAAGTTGGCAAGTACTGAAAGAATCGATGTGGGAGCCAACTCGACGTGAGTCGACACACCAGGCACGATCTCGGCAGGGTCACAGGCAATGTCAAGGTAGACCTGCTCGAAAGGACCAACCATGTCGATCTTATTGTTGTGAAGCAATCGTACGGGACGCATCATACGTGCCCGGCTCGAGAAGAGGTAGAGACCCGGGTACTGACCAGCACGCGAGGTGGGGACGAAGCCGATCTCGAGATCAAGAGGCACGTGGTGTAAGCCCTCGGTCTTCCAGATACGGAGAGCAGTAGCCATGTGCTTGGCAAGCGCAGGCGTGGTGTAACCGAGGACGGCACCATCGAGCTGAACGACGACGATGTTGTCGCGCACGCCAGCATGCTTCTGGCCTACAGCGCCAACAGCACCGACAGCGAACGCAGCCTCAGTCATGCCGAGACCCGAAAGCAAGGCGTGGATATGCGAGACACCTGGCTGGCGCGTTGTCATTCTGCAAGTGTGCGAAAAGTGGTTCAACAGACCACATGGCGAACCATCTGGTGTGTGTACTGGGCAAAGGAAACCCCATGCTTCAGGCAGCAGCTTTCGCACTGATGTTGTCTTGAGCTCGGCGAAGAAAGCTCCACGGTGAACGGAACGGAAATGGGCGAGGTAACGCGCAAAGTTGAGCTTCTCGGCCATGATAGTGAAACCAGAGGTCTGTTGCAAATCGAGACCCGACGGTGATGACAAGTTACCAGTGGCAAGAAACGATGCGATCTTGACACCGATGTCGATGTTGACCTTGGCGATGGTCTTCTTGATGTACCTTGAGTCGTAGAAGTCGACACCCTTAAGCTTCATGCGAACATCGCGGGCGATTTGAGAGCGGATGTTGCCAACGGCCTCGTCGATGCGCTCCTTGATGATCTGACCGACGAGGAAACCAGGCATGAGGATCTCGTGGTGTTGGGGAGAATCAGCGTTGTCGGCGCACGATTCGCCAGCAACGAGCGAGTAGAGTTTTTGAACCATGAAGATGAGCATCTTGTACTTTTCGCGTGGACTGTCAAGGTGGACGAGGAAGATGCGGTGGATGAGCTCGCTTCCGACCTGCGCATCGGTCCAGTCCTCGGGGCAGCCGAGCACGACACGGAACTTGGAGCCGAGGTACTCGAGACATTGGTGCCCAGACCAAAGACTGTACTGCTTGAAGTTGCGGAGAAGCAACTCGACACGGTCTGTGAGGAAAGTGTTCTCGAAGTCGCCCTGAACGATGGAGGCGAAGATCTCCTTGTCGGTAGCGTCAACTAGCGCCTTGAGCACCATGACGACGGGTACCATGTATTCTTGCTTTCTCCAACTGAATCGTAATGTGAGACCACCGTTGTGCAGGTAGTGGACGGCGTTGGTGACGCTGATCAAGTCCTCCTTGTGCAGACATCGGATCACGATAGCTTTGTTCGAGTAGCTTGGGCCGCGCTTTTCGAAACTGGGTCGCTCGATTGCTTGAGGACTGTTGGCCTTGGCTACGATGAGATATCGAATGAGCCTCTCGTTACCGTTGACAAGGAAGTAACCACCGAACTCGTTGGCCTCTTCATGATGCGCAACGAGCTCGCGTGACGACATGCCTCTCAGGTTGCAACGATTCGACCTGACGAGTACGGGACAGTTGCCAAGCGCTACGATCTCGCTCTGTTCGGGATCACCGTTGACACTCCAACAGAGGCGTGCAGTAAGCTTTCCGGTATATGTAAAGAGACGCTCTCTTGCCTCGGTGGGAAAGACTCTGCGCTCTCGGACCCCCTTGGCGCGGTCGTTGACGAGAGGCTTTGAGAGGTTGACGCTGTCCATGCGAAGTGTGATGCGGTTGCCGAGGCCGTGGTTGGCATCACCTTGACCATCAAAGACGATACGTGGTGGCAAGCGTCCCAACGACTTTTCGAGCAATCCTGTACCTTCATTGTGGAAGCCAGCAATGGTTGCACCTTGTGGTGGGTCAAGAGATGGGTCTTCGGCCCAGAGTGCATTGAACGACTCGATGTTGGGTGCGACAAGCTCGGTCAACTCTGGTGCAACGAAGCCCTTATCGGTGGGTGCAGAGTAGCGCTCCTGTCGTTCAAGAGGAAAGAAGGTGTGTCGCTTCTTCCACAATGGCTGCTCGGCATCTATACCAGCTTCTTGTCGGGCGGCTTTCAGCGAGTTGGGCAGTGAGTGCACTGTGTCAGGTGGAGTTGACGGGCCGTCAAAAGAGGAGCGAGAGCTTGACGAGCTCGCTGATGACATTGAGCTCGACATCTTGTGAGTACGTGTGTATGATGCAGATCTACTTGAATGCAGATATGCGATGGGTGAACAGAGGAAACGTGGATGGCACGCGAGCGCCTTGAAAAGAGGTGATCGTCGGTCTAGCTTAAAACAGCTGCGCCAGAGAGTAGGCGTCCTGTCAGCTGACAAGAGACGAGACTGTATTCGGAAAGGTGTAAGGTGTAAGGACGTAAGGGTTACGATGACAAGAGAAAGGAGTTCAGAAGGGCTGGCCTCGTAAGTTGAGATCAGGGTTCGGTCAGGATGAGAGACAGACGACACAAGAGCACGTCTGAGCTTCGAGACTGAACATCAAGAAAGCGAAAAATTGGTCTGAGCCAAAAAAAACAAAAAAAAAAAAAAAAAAAAAAAAAAAAAACTCAAATTTTTCTTCTGTGAAGCTGCAGCGCAAGTTACGACTTCCGCGATCCGGCAAAGCAAAGCTTCTCAGCGTCACGTGGTTTTGCCTCCACACAGACGCGGTCTAACAAAGTACGGAAGTGTTGCTTTTGCACTACACTACACTAAGATCGACCTGTTCCGGGCAGTCAGAGTTACACACGATCTGTAGGGGTGCAAGATCATGAATGGTATCATTGGAATGCTGAACGATCTTTGATGACAAGAGCTCACACCTCCCAAGCCTTAGGCTGTCCATCGTCACGCGGAACACCACGACGATCCATCTCCAGTGGATCGCAGGATGCATCGGCTGCACCACCTGTACCTGTCGCATGTGTATTGCGCAACTTCACCAGCTCCGCGTTGAGACTGATCTCGGCTTGACCACGCATCCAGCCATCTCTTGACTTCTTGAGGGCATTGAGATCGCCAGATTCTGCCGCACCGGCCACACCGTTCGTGACAGTGATGGCGTTGGTCAAGCCGCCTGGTAATCCTAGTGCTTTACGTTTCCGTGCCTCCTCTCTTCTACGTCGGTCAGCCTCTTCTGCCATCTTGCGGTGTCTCTCGACCTCTTCGAGGATGGCGCGAGCACCTCTCTTATTCGCCAGCTCGTTGGCCAGGTGAACACCCAGCTCGCGCGCATCTTCGGCCGTCTTGCAATGCTTGGAAGCAGAGTAGCGCGATTCCTGGCTGCCATCAAGTGAAACAACGATGGCGTCGAGGTGGAGCATGCGACCCTCCGAAGCAGGTGTGGAGCGATCAACGATGCTGTACGATGTCGAGACGATCTTGTCGGCAATGGTGGCGGCATTGCTGGCGTCTGTGGACTTGGCCTGTGCTTTAGCGGCTTCCATCTCCTGGACGCCAGTGGCGAGCGACTCGAGCGTTGGACGTTGAGGCGTAGACGGCATCTTTTCTTCCTCTGATGTCGAGAGCTGACAAGCAGGAATGGTATGACCATCCTTGACAAGTGGAATGCCGCTGTTTGGCAATTCAGCCTTGGCGCCAGCATCCCCATTCGTGACAAAGTCATCTACAAGAGCGATGGCCTCGCTGCGCTGACCCTCAACTTGGTCGTGATCTTCGAAGCGTGTTTCGACGCCGACGGGGATGGAACAACCACCCTCGAGCTCCTTCAACAGCGCACGCTCCGCTTCAGCACGGAACGTGGCACGCCAATCACCGATGGATCGGACGAGATCGCGAATGCGAGCATCTCGATTGGTGGTGGGATCGGCACCTTCAGGTGGTGTGCGGACCTCGATTGCGAGCGATCCCTGCCCGACCGAGTGGAGCAGGACAGGCGAGCTGAGGAAAGCAGTGATACGAGAGTGGAAGTTGAGACGGACCAGTCCAGCAGCAGCGAGGATCAAAGCTGTGTACGGACCGTTGGGGGCGTCGAGTTTGGCGAGACGGGTGTTGATGTTGCCGCGAACATCGCTGAACACGAGGTGAGGGTATCTTCGGCGAAGTTGAGCAACACGACGTACGGAGGAGGTACCGATGACGGAGCCCACAGGCAGCTCGTCGAGCACCTTGTACGGTAGACCCGCCTTGACCACAAGGGCGTCGCGTGGATCCTCTCGCTCGAGGACAGCTGCCAGTTCAAGACCCTTTGGTAAAGCAGTGGGGACATCCTTGAGACAGTGGACGATAGCATCGACCGCGCCCTGTTCGAGAGCGACTTCGAGCTCCTTGGTCCAGATAGCCTTGCCCTCTCCACCGATGACGTAAAGCGGGGAACGCAAATTTTGATCACCAGCGGTAGACATGGATGTAATGGGAAAAGCATGTGGGTGAAGCGGTGTTTGTGGTGCGACGTGGAAGCGCTCAAGCAAGTTGCGAAGAAATGCAACATCGTCCTCTGAATGCTCGTCTGCCACCTTTTGCAGGCGTGTGGTTGCTGTCGATGGAGACTGTCGTGGCGAGGATAGGTCACGGCTACTACGGCTGCTGCTACTGCTGCCGGCTTCGAGCGCACTAGTGGCTTGCTCGACCTGCGATCGGAAGAGCGGTGATGATCGACCGTAACGAGCTTCGAGCATGGCGCTGACATGTGAGCTCTGAACGAGAGCAAGCTGACTATTTCGACTGGCAAGGACGAGTGTGCAAGATGGATCGAGTCCAAGCTGACCTTCGCGGTCAATGGGTAACGGATTGATGTTGGCCTCTTTGCGTTGCTGATCGAGCTTCTGAGCGCGGTCAAACTCGTATGCGGATGCACTGTGCGTCACAGCAAGCTCGTGTAATGATGGCAGCGTTGTTGTGGATGAGAGCATCGTTGACGAAGCTGAGCGAGAGAGTGGCGGTGTTTGTGCCAAATCCTCTGGCGACCGGAAGAAGATACATCGTGAGTCTGTAGGAGGAAACAATGTAGATGCTGGTGCGTCAGGCACAGGAGGATGGCCAGGAGGCAATGGTTGCGACTTGGCGTGTGGCACAGGACATGACGAGCCATCGCTCCATGATGGTGCCGACTGCTGTTGCTGTTGTTGTTGCTGTTGCTGTTGTTGTTGCTGTTGCTCTCTAGATCCTGGGCTGGGAGAATACGACCCAGCCGCGTCTGAGTGTGCTTGCTGAGCGGAAGACATGATGGCTAGATCCCGGATGATTCAGTCGATCCTTGATGTTGTGTTCTATGCGTTGCCTTGAGGAGCCACAGTGGTGAGAGGGGACGCGTGCAGACAGATACGCTGGTGGCTATCAAGCAGTGTATTGCGAGTCGAGTGCGAAAAGGAGTGCTCGAGGACTCAGAGTGGATTTCGCTGAAAGGAGCTGGTGGTGGTGGCAATGTTCGAAACTAAGTCAACGGAAGTGTCTGGTGACGGGAAGCTCCGGCTAATTTGATCCACGATTGTCAATATTAATCATGAGTTTTGAGTATGAGAAGCGAGCTCACGAGACACTTTCCTCACTCTCTCACTTTTTTTCTTGAACCGATCTGACCTCACGAAGAGGGTCTCAGATTTGACTATTCCTGACTCACCGTTAGCGATTGGCTGCAGCCGACGGTCACTCCTCTCGTGCTCGCTCTGGTGAGCTGAAAAGTGTTTGCGTGGAGTTGTTGCCTGCTGTTGCCAAACTTTGGCTTGCTCTCGCGTATTCCATCCCCGCTTGAGAATGGGCATTGAAAACAAAAAATGAGAATTTTCGGTACAGCCAGTCGGTCATCGCCGGCCCTGAAGATTTGTGGCAGGCTGAGAGGCTCATTTCGAGTTTCCTATTTCTAATCAAAAAGCCGCGATAGAAACCGCTTTCTTCTTCTAACATTTCCCAAAATCGCCAGATTGAAGGGTTTGTCATCCTCACCTAATCCAAAAGTTGACAGGAAACCTGAGAAGAAGTCGAAAGTTTTGGCAACTTTTTGAGATTTTTGCAAGTTCTGTGGCCCGCAAGCACAACAAGTGGAGCTTGACACTCCTTCACACCAAGTCATGCCAAACCCTTAGCACCTTCTCTACTCAACCAACAACAACAGTAGTACTTTATTGGGCCGCACACGACAAGCTTGCAGGCCCAATATTGCTGCGTAAGTATGGTTAAGTCACGCAAGAGGTCGAGAAACGATGTCAACGCATCACAACCCACAACCAATGATGCTGACCTGCATCAAGGGCAAGTAGTGCTCGGCGACAATGCTAATGCTCTGTCCGGCAGTCGCAAGAAGCGTTCACCACCACCGCCCGCCGATAACGAGCTCGACCTCGAAAAGCTCATCTTTGGTGGCTCCTCCTCCCTTCTTTCGCAGCCTTCGGCATCAACGAGCCGTGCAACAGGCGAAGATGCTGTCGATGCTAACAGCGATGACGATGATGACGACGACGCCTCGCTAGGCACCAACGTGGTGGCAAATGACGACCTCTTCATGGTAGACACAGCAGGAGGTGAAAACGATGAACAGCTCCAAGAAGGTCAGTCGGAACGCCATGGCAGCGAGGCTGACAGCGACAACAGTGATGATGATGATATTCTCATCGATCGCAATGCTGCAGCTAGCTCGAGCACATCACAAGTCAAGAAACCGAAGCGCACAAAACGCTGCGTCTGGTCCGACCCAGACGATGCCGCCCTCACCATCGATCTCACTCGCAATAATAACCTCGCTGCCAACGGCTCTCGTGTCGGTGTCGCTCGCTTGCGGCGCTTGCGTGAAGAAGTGGGTGAGACCAAGATCAGCGGTCTTGAATACGAGCTCCGACTCCGCGCTCAGTTTGAGAAGCTACATCCTCGACCAGGATGGGCTTCATTCCGTCTCACATCCCTTTCCGACCAACCAGCAGACGAGTTCGGAGACGGCAGCAACGAGGCTGTCATCATCAACGAGGACGCCAACAAGGGCATTCACGACTTCTTGCGCAGCGATACCGGTCTTGTGGAGGGCTACGGAAGCAGAGACCAGGATTCATCTTTGCCGTCTGTCAAGGCACGCGGCAAGCTCAAAGCAGGTGAGATCGAGCTCGATCGACTCCGCAATGCCAACGATGCACAGAACGTCAACGCTATTGCCGCAGAAGAATCATTGCCAGGCATCGAGATGGTTCGCTTCCACCCAAGCCCACGTGCCAGCGTGCTCATGACTGCATCTCGCGACAGGCGTGTTCGTCTCTTCCAGATCGACGGCAAGACCAATCCGCTCGTCCAGACCATCCACGTTCCCGACCTCCCTATACAGCACGCTTCTTTCCATCCCTCTGGGTCATCAGCGCTCATCTCAGGTCTGCGACCTTTCTTGTACGCTTACGACTTGCAAGCCGGTCGTGTCGTGCGTTCGATCCCATGGCGTGGGTCTGGATCGCTTCATTCGCAGTCGTCAGCTGAGGACGATGGTGCCGAGCTCAAGCTCTCTGATGCAAAGTTTCAGCCCAACACCGCCGAAGAGGGCAACAGATTGCTCGCGATCGGTGGCCGGAGAGGTGTTGTGCATCTACTCGACTGGGGCCGCTCGGGTGCTGCAGGAGGTACACGCATTGGGGCCGTGCGCATGAATTCGGCCCTTTCAGGTTTCACTTGGGACGCAGCTTCCGTCCTTGGCGATCAAGGCACTGGCATTGGTGTCACTGGCACCGGCAAGGACGTCGAGCTGCTCACAATGTCGACTGAGGGCAGTGTCCATCTCTGGGATATACGTAACACAGGCATGGAAGTTGGCTGCACATCTATCTGGAAAGACCCAGGCTCATTCGGTGCCAAGGGACTAGAAGTGTCGCCAAATGGCAAGTTTTGGACTGTCGGCAGCGAAGGTGGTATCGTCAACGTTTACAAGCGCCCTGCTGAGTCGTATCCCTCGTATCTTCCTGCTGGGGGCGCTTCTACATTCATGCTCTCTGCACGTGCAGTGGATGACGCGACATCGGCAGCTGTGTTCGGCAAGGTACCAGGAGGAAACATCGACCCAATCAAGACACTTGAGAACCTGGTCACAGCGACAACAACAATGCGCTGGAATGGCGACGGCCAGATGCTGGCGATTGCTTCGAGGTTTAAGAAGGATGCATTGAGGTTGGTTCACTTCCCATCGATGAGGGTGTTCAGTAATTGGCCCACCTCCAGCACACCGTTGGGCAGCGTCTCGTCGGTCGATTTCAGCCCGGCTAGTCAGTACGTCGCCATCGGTAACACAAGAGGAAAGGTCTTGCTGTATTCTCTGCGACACTATCTCTGATTCAGTCATATGTCAGCAATGTAATCCTCATGCAATTCATTACAAACATCATCATTTGCAATCAGTACTGGTGCTGTGGGAATTGTGTCTATTCTGTATCCTTCTATTGAGTGAGAAGATGAAATATTGGCTAAGCATCAACATGAAAGTACCTGACCTCAGCAACGATAATCGCAATCCCGATCACCGTACTTGGCACAATCACCACAGCACACCATCTCAAGAATTGTCCTGCTCCTACACTGATCCCTCCCTGTCTCAACCCTCCCAACCAAAGCAACCCTGCCAAACTTGCCGCGAACGTACCACCCAGCGCACCGACGTTCGAGCCGAAAGCAATCGAATACTGTGCCACCTTCAACACTAGCTCTTGGTCTCTCGATGACAGATTCGCAATCTTGCCCGAGAAGTACGGCGAGCGAACAGACTTGGTGAGCAGGATTGTGGCGCCGATGTTTGTGCCTCCAATGTTGCAGAGTAGGATGCCGAGGAAGGAGATGAAGAAAGCGGTGGGAACGTAGCCCGCGGCGCAGACACGACCTAGGCCGGCGGCGAGGATGTTGATGAAACCAACATGAGCGAGGGCTTGGACCAGGATGAACATCGAAAATGCGAAGGGCAGGAGGGGAAAGGGTAGACGGGAGAGGACGATGCTGACGGTGGGGAAGACTTCAGTGAGATGGCGGTATAAACGAATGCCTTGGCGGATGAGGTTGCGGCTACGGGCCGGAGCAGGAGAAGTGGTTATGTTGGATGATCCAGCTTCTTCAGTGGCGGAGGGAGGAGCGACACTGGCTTTGGTACCAGTCAACTCAACAGGAGCCAGATCGGGTCGAGTACCGGTGGCGGGCATCGCTGTCATCTCGAGCTCTTCGACTTGCTCCGCTGCCTTCTTGGAAGCCTCGTCTCCATTCGTCTTCTGCTCACCATCTCCCTCTTTCGTCTTCTCCAGCATCAAGCTACGCCATCGCAACCAATCAGCCACACCATCCCTAACAAAGCACAACACTGCACCCGGCACCGCAATCTGAAAGACCTTGACTCCACCCACCACAGATGTTCCAACCAGTGTTGCAAGAGTGGCTGCCATGACGATACTGCCAAAAATGGCACCGAACTTGTCAACAAGCGCTGCACGAGGGTCTACGTCGGGTCGAATGATCCTTTCAGGGATGTAGATGAGCGGAGGCCTCGTCTTGGATTTTTGCTCTGATGAAGTGATGGGGGCGGTTGAGGCTTTTCCTGAAGCTGGATCTGCGGGGGGCGCTCCAACCCCTTTGGCCGAGGGTGCTTTGCGGGTGGTGTTTGTGTGGGGATGCTCCGCGCCAGGCGTGGCGTTGCCGTCAGCAGCCGGTACGTTAGAGCGTTGTCGGATGTTACTTTCGCTCCGCTCGCCGCGCAATCGGTCACCGAGCACGGGTACTTTCTCGACGAACCTGCGGATGGTTGACTTGTCCTCCGCCTCATCTTCTGTTTTCCTACCGCCGTCTCTGTTCCTGAAGTACACCATCATAGCCAGCAGTCCTCCCATTGCAGATCCGAACGCAGGCAGAACCATGTACGCCGTGTATGTAATGAAGTTGACGTCGAAACCTGTTGCGATAACCAAATTCGTCGGATTTGAAGACACCAGCACGGCCGATGAGATGTTGGCAGCAACGAACTCGGCCCAGATCCAAGCATCTGGTGGTGAGATACCAGCCACACGTGTGAAGTAGACCAAGAAAGCAGTCCCGGACAGGATGACTGGATCATTTCCGACCAGCACGCCTGCGGACCAGAAGAAGAAGTACAGCAGAAAGTAAAGTGTCTTTCCCTTTGCCTCACGACCCTGACGACCGGCTTTGAGACAGATAAGGAACGCAAGGAAGCGAAGCAGTCCAGTCGCATCGAGGCTGATCGCGATGTAAGCTAGCGAGATGAAGAGTGCAAGCACGTCATATGGCTCGATGCCGTCCTCGCCTACAATGCCTTGGCGCACTTGTTCACCGCCGATTGTGGTGGTCGCGAGCAAGACAAGAACGCCGATGAGAGGTGCAGAGACGTGGTCGATGGTAACGTACATCGGTTCCTCCTCATGCGAGGCATGCACTGATGAGCCAAGTTGCTCTTCTACAGCATCTTGCTCTTGCTGCTCTGGGTTGGGATCGGATGGCCCAGCGAGGAAGAGCCACGTCTTGCGGCCAGCACGGCGAAGAGGGATCGAGACAAGGCGGGGTATACGGATGCGGAGAGGATTAATGACGATGAGGGAAACCGAGGCAAAAACGATGATTGCGAATACGCCGAAGCCGTTGAGTGATGTACGGGTGGTGTCGACGGTCACCGTGCCTTCACCGCCAGACCGCTTGTCGAGGATAACTGTCATCGTTTAGGTCCCGGGCATCCACGTAAAGTGAAAGAAGGGTCCTGCTCGATCGAAAAACTGCCGTGTGGTAGAGAAAAAAGTTGCGTATTCTCTTCACAAACTAGTGATGAAGGGACATGATTTGAGAAGGCTTGTGATGAGTTGCTGTCAAGAAAGGTGCGTGTAGCAACGCACGAGGGGTTGCGTATCGATTCGAAGAAGCGCTGTACATCCATGTGCAGGCGACAGAGTTGGCCGGCGGTTGACGAAAAACCTTGTTTTCAGCAACTTTTTGATAAAAGATGAGGAGGATGGGTCCCGATGATCAACGATCGGTGATAGTCGGAGCACAGTATCGCTGCTGTTTTTAGGACAGAAACGAATATACTCAATTGACTGACTGAACATGGTGTGAGCCTAGAGCCATCAGCTCGATATATATACATCTGGGTGGCACAAGCCTAATGTGGGTGTATCCTCCTTAATGACGAAGTCTGACAATAAGCGGGACTGGGTTGTACCCGATCTCTAGTGGGATCGGCTCTGCCCGATCTCTGATCAGATCGACTCTGCCCGATCCCTCCCGTATCGTCTCATGTCAGCTTACATCATCATATTGGATTGTTACTTTCAGCACTTTTCGGCGTCGATTTTGGCCAACCGAAATCAACAAACGAAGGCCGCTAACTTATGATCATTCCACAAACCAGTATCGACGTTTGACAGGCATGCGAGGGGCGGTCGGATTCAGCACGCTCTTCAGCGGTGCCCCTTGGTATTCAACGCAGGCTCGAAGCCTCTCAACGAGACCGGTGTCAAGATGTAGTATAGCAGCACCCGCCCTTGTGCGATGGTCTAGCTCGAAAGGCAAAGGATCGAGTAGCAGATACATGCAGCGTCAAAAGAACGATGTTTACGTCAAGCAGCGTCTCCAACCCAAGGCGACATCCTCCTCCCAGCTCGAACAAGACTTTGATAAAGTAGTCGGCAGAGGGTACGTGTCAAGATCAGCCTTCAAAATTCTACAACTGGATAATCGGTACAGGTTCTTGCGAGCGGGGAGGGTGATTGTTGACCTCGGTGCTGCTCCAGGAGGGTGGAGTCAGGCTATGTTGGAGCGAGCAAGCAAAGACCGAAACAAGTTGGGAGATTGCAGCATGACGGGAAGGATGACCAGGGTGTTTGCGTTGGACCTCCTGCCTGTGATTGGAATCGAAGGTGTTCAGTCTATCCAAGGCGACTTTCTCGATCCAGCGGTACAAGGCAAGCTTAGACAGATGGTCCAAGATGCAACGGTGACAGGAGAATGCAAAGAAGGCGAGACAGGCGGAAATCAAGGCTTCGTCGACATCGTTGTGAGCGACATGATGGGTGAGTGTTCACTGAAGGTCCGGGGCCGGCAAGACGTAGTCCAGCTGCTGACGCTTTCACTTGTCCACATCTGCTTGCTGATAGCCAACACCACAGGAAACCCAGTCACAGACACAGAAGCATCTCTCGAGCTGTGCCGGGCAGCAGCGGTAAGTTGACAAACAGTGATCCCAAATCCCATTCACCTATGATGCTTGACGCTGACGACCTTTATACCTCTTCTTCTGCAGAGGTTCGCATTTCAAACACTAAAACGTGACTATCATCTCTCCAAACAAGTGGAAGGGGATACGCGCAAGCCTCGGTCACTGAAAGCGCTAGCGGCGAAGTCATCTGTACTAGTGTTGAAGCACTTCATGTCGCACGAAGCTGATGTGTTTCGCAAAGAGGTGCTTCAAAAGCATTTCCATCTTGTCAAAGCGGAAAAGATGAACGCGAGTCGGAAGGAGTCCAGAGAGCAATTCTGGGTTTGTATAGGCTACAAAGGCCCTCTTTCGCCAAGAAGTAAGCAATGATACTATATATAGTGACTGTGTGACGGCGAGCGAGTAGTCGGTTGGACCCTGCGCAAACAAATGGTTGAGCGCGATGTTCCGATTTTGCGGCGTGCGTGTGTGTGTGTGTGTGTGTGTGTGTGTGTGTGTGTAGCTGTTGCCGAACATAGAGCCTCGTGTTGGCGAGCAAGAAGCCCCTGAACGTGCAGAACGACACCATCCCTTTGCCTTATCCCTACACCATACCTTGACCCCAGCAGCACGACCTCCTTGCACAAACAACAAACAGACGATGCCTTCTCGATAGCGCAACCACAGCATGCCAGCATGGCCGTCTTAGCCTAGACTTTTATCGGAACCACCACCACCCCATCAAACTTACCACCTCGTCTTTAAGAACGATGTCATCATCACAAGAACGACCATCCCCTCCGAGGGCCGGCTCTTACATTCTGGTCTCCTCTTTGTCCCCACAGGACGACTCTACATCGGCACCTGATGACGAGACGGGCCCGATATACCGATCCGTCAGACCGAGGTTCTTCTTCCTTCTGCCCATAGTTGCTTTCCTGGACTCTGCGTTTGCGGTCATGCTTGGCATCCTCATTCTTCAGCAGGAAGCTAAGCACACTCCATATGGATCGACGAGCCCACCACCATCGCTCGATCCCATCCTTCTCAGCCCTTTGTCCGGCAAGCTTCCTGACACCAGTCCGACACCAATAGATGATGCAGCATGGGAGCGTCAGAAGATAGTGCTCACAGTCATTGCCTTCTCTGTCACCCGCGCTTGCGCCTACGCCATCATTGGCATCAGCAAACGCATTCGAGAGCTAGGAGTCACTGTTGCGGCTATCAGTATCCTCAGCACCCTCTTCTACGTTTCCATCGCCAATCTCTTGCTCCAAGCACGACCGAAACCCAATGACAACCTCGGTCTTCACAGCTTTTTGACGGTGCTGAAGGACTGGCACTGGCCAGATGCATTCAAAAACACTGAGCCAACAATGCCGATCCTAGTTGGCGCGCAGATGGCGTTGACACTGTTCGAGTGGGTGCTGTACATCGCAGTAGTCGGGGTCAAGATCCCTCCAGGAGGCAATTCAGCGGAAGCAAAGAGGTGGGCAAGAGGTTTAGCAGAGGACGCCGGTTATCAACGTGGGATGGAGGCTCGTAGCTTGTATCCCTCTGATGGAGAGGACGAGGATGAGGAAGAACACCTCGAAGAGGGCGAAGAGGAGAGAGAGAGATGCAGCTCCACTGGTACTAGCAGATGTAACAGCAGGCAGACCAACACCCAGGAAGAAGGTGATCTGGAGCAGGCTAGGGTGTCACTCGCTTCTCCCATCTCCAACATCTCTAGGAATCATGTGACCACCTCGACTGTGGCTGGTGAGGCCGATGGCAGCAATCAACCTTTGCTCGGCGCCAGCCCGGCTCGTGGATATGGTAGCACCTTGGCGAGCCCGCGAACACCACGCGGCCCCTCTCATTCCAGCTCAACATCCCAATCTCACGGTAGCGTCCGAAGCAAGCGCTCAGCACATGCCATGAGTCGAAGCGCCTCCAACCGCTCCGGCATGTTTTCTCGCTCGCCTGGTGCCGCCGAACTTGGCGTTGCTTCCCCGCATACTCTCCAAGACGGCGAAGATCATGATGGACGCGACGAAGACGGAGAAGAGGAAGCAGAAGGAAGTGACCCGGACGACATCATCGATATCACGCCCAACCGCGCCGTGGCACGAAAAGAAGCTCGCCTTCGCTTAGCCCGGGCAGCTCTTCCTGAGCGCAGAGCTTCTGGTGGCTCCCTGTCAACGCTCAATATTTTTGGCGCTGACGGTCCGCCGTCGGCATCGAAAGGAGCTAGAGGTCCTGGTGTGTTCTCGGATGAAGCGGGTAGTCCACTTGGTAGACGTAACAGCAAAGATCATGACGAGAGGACAGCGACATTGACGACCGTAGCTACCACCACAGCGGCAGCTCCTGTAGTGCCCAATGCGGCCAATCTGAGCAGATCTTTGTCGACCTCGAGGCATCCATCTTCGCTGCTGCCGTCTTCCAGTAGCACTCGCACGATGTCATCTTCGACGACGAGAGGCTCCAAAGAAGGTCGCAAGTTCAAATTGCCTAAATGGCTGAAACCTGGTGGCAGCAAGAATCGGTCATGAACACAGCCTGTATTCACAAACAGCAGCATCACCCGAAATGATACCCACCCATGTGGCCGGACAGCAGCGAGTGATGTATACGGCGCATCGTGAAGTGTGACACCTTGACGGTTGCAAATCCGAGGTCGCTTCGGCGAGCACAGCAGGGTCTTTTGTGCGACGGACAACCGAGAGACGCTAGATGGGGAGTGCACAAGTATCCACTGTATAAGCGAAGACAAAGAGTTTATTGCCGTGGTGTGGAATGATCGCTCAGCTCAGCTGCAGCGTATCTCCGCTGAGAAGAAGAAAAGAAGACTTCAGCCTGGTAAAAGATGAGGAAGACGGGTCCCGATGATCAACGATCGGTGATAGTCGGATTACAGTATCGCTGCTGTTTTTAGGACAGAAACGAATGTACTCAATTGACTGACTGAACATGATGTGAGCCTAGAGCCATCAGTTCGATATATATACATCTGGGTGGCACAAGCCTAATGTGGGTGTATCCTCCTTAATGACGAAGTCTGACAATAAGCGGGACTGGGTTGTACCCGATCTCTGATCAGATCGACTCTGCCCGATCCCTCCCGTATCGTCTCATGTCAGCTTACATCATCATATTGGATCGTCATCTTCAGTACAGCACAAGGTGTCTTTGCTCAGTCACCATCCGCTGTCTGTTTGTGTAATTTCCGGTGCTTCGGCTACTTTGTAGAGGATTTTCAGTTGCGTGTTTGTTGTAGGGTGTACAGCAAATAGCGATGATCACAAGTATCGATTGCGATAATATGTAAGAACTAAGTACAAGATAATGACTAGTATATATATGTTCCAGCGTTCTGTGCATACGTGTATGATACAGAGATGTGCTGCCCAGTATATGATGCTGAAACATGACGGGGGCAACTATGTCGAGTAATTCTCTCTGTCAACCGGCATGATACATATCCGAGTGAGCGAAGTTGGCGTCAGTGTGAGATCGGACCAGAAGTCACATACTTTCACAGTGATCCGTGCCTCATTCGATCTTCGACGCTATTATTATTATCCAATGACCCTCTTCTTGCCAACTCCACCCTGCTCTTCTTCGTAAAATTCTGCACAACCTTTCATCGTAGAAGCTCGCTATCTGTTCTCCATCACACACTCTCGAGTCTCTTGCGTATTCTCTCTGGCCAGCCTGTTTGCACCAATGCGATCAGGCGAAGACCTTCACTCCAAAAGTCTTTCAAGATACTCCACTTCGTCGCAAACAGATCTCAGCCGCTGCGGCTGCTGCGTGCCGTAGCCACAACCTCTTTCACTCGTCTCGCTAGCACAAGCACCATCGCAAAAGGAGCTTCTGCATCTGCTTTCAAGCTGTCTTCGTCTTTGAAACACATCGCTGCTGCAAGCCGTCTTCAGCAGACCACCACTCATTTCTCCTCTGCCTTTTTCTCCACATCAACAAAAGCAGCCATGCCACCTGTTGCCAAGCCCACACACGAGCACTATCACATGATTGTCATTGGCGGCGGTTCTGGCGCTATGGGTGTTTCGCGCCGTGCCGCTGCCTATGGCAAGAAGGTCTGCGTCATCGAAGAAGATGGTCGTCTCGGCGGTACTTGTGTCAACGTCGGTTGCGTTCCTAAGAAGCTCATGTGGCACGCGGCTGATATGGCCGAGCACCTCAAGGAGGCACCCGAGTACGGTTTCGGTGATGTCGTCAATAAGCCCAAGGTGCCTGGCTTCGCGTGGCGGTACTTCGCTGAGAAGCGTGACGCCTACGTCCGCAGACTCAACGGAATCTACGACCGTAACCTTGACAAGGACGGCGTCGAGTACTTCTCTGGTCACGGGAAGGTGACTGGCAAGAACGAGGTCGAGATCACCATGCGTGGTGAGGACGGTAGCTTCAACGCTGGTAGCTTCAAGGTCAAAGGTGACCGAATCGTGATTGCTACCGGTGGACGCCCTATCATCCCTTCGGACGACAAGATTCCAGGAGCCTCGTTGGGTATCAACTCGGACGGCTTCTTCGAGCTTCGTGAGCAGCCCAAGCGTGTTGTTGTCGTTGGTGCCGGCTACATCTCTGTCGAACTTGCTGGTGTCTTCAACACTCTTGGATCCGAGACCCACCTTCTCATTCGTCACGACACCTTCCTCCGTCCCTTCGACCCCATCATCTCCGAGACCCTGCAAGACTACATGTCTAAGACCGGCCTCAATGTTCATAAGCAGACCAACATCACCAAGGTCGAAAGCACCAAGGGTGGTCCTCTCACCATTCACACCGACAAGGGCGAGACCATCGAAGCCGACTGTTTGCTCTGGGCTATCGGTCGACGACCCAACACCGACAATCTCGGTCTCGAGTCTGTCGGCGTAGAGCTCGACAAGGGAGGCAACATCGTCGTTGACAAGTACCAGACCACCAGCGTCGACAACATCTTTGCTATCGGAGATATTCAGGGTAAAGCCTTGCTCACTCCTGTCGCTATCGCTGCCGGTAGGAAGCTCTCGAATCGCCTCTACGGTCATCCAGACTTGCGAGATGATCACATGGACTATGATAACGTCCCCACTGTCATCTTCTCCCACCCTACTTCGGGTACGGTAGGTCTCTCAGAACCCGAAGCGATCGAGAAATTTGGCAAGGACAACGTCAAGATTCACACCAGCAAGTTCGTTAGCATGTACTACGGTATGCTCGAACACAAGGCTCCTAGTGCATTCAAAATGGTCGTCGGTCCAGGAGACAAGGTTGTCGGATTGCACATTGTGGGTTTGGGAGCTGATGAGATGTTGCAAGGTTTCGCAGTAGCTGTGAAGATGGGTGCAACAGTGAAGGACTTCCAAGAGACTTGCGCTATTCACCCTACCAGTGCTGAGGAGGTGGTCACTATGGTGCCATCTATCAAGAAGGCTTAAGGATAAACCCAGTGATCCTAGCCTCACTTGGAGCATTGTCATCAGTCGAAGATAGTTTTACACACATAATTATTCCTGTGTGTGACTTTGTGACATTGTGAAATTTCGTTAGAGTACATGAGTGCGTCCGTGATGTGTGTTTAGTCGTCGCGATTGACCGGATCACCCGTGATGAAGACTCTCGACAGCGGCCTCCTCGTCGTGTTCTGCTTCACCCTCAACGACTTCCTACCGCTCAATGTTTCATTCGGGTTGCCCGAAAGCGTTCCATAGATGGAATCGCAGTTACGAAGGGTCGAAGGTGAAGCAGAGAATCGCGCGTTGCGTCCAATAGTTCCTCCTTCCGGTAGCACCTGCTCCTCTGCAAACGAATCTTCGTTCTCCTCTTCGCTCGCATCGAATTGCGGACGGGCAAAGAGGCGAGACTTGCTAGGAGAAGGAGAAGCATGGTTGCTCTCTCCGCCGTTAGCCCTTGCAAAGACGTTGGCGAGTTTGCGACCAGCCGCGCCGGCACGAAGCTCTTTGATCGCTTCATCCAGCTGACCTCGTCCACGGTAGGATCTGCGCCCAGCATCGGCGTGGGCGGCAGATGCGGGTGACTTCTCCGCTTTGAGAGTTCCACTGTCCACGGGCGAGGTAGACTCTGCACGGCTGCGGAAACGCGATGCAGTGGGAGTGGCGAGTTCGCTGACCGGTGTGAGTTGATCCGTTGCCTCGAGCTGCTCTTCCGCGCTCGAATGTTCGGTTTTTCCTGTACCGCCTAGTTCACTCCCCGCTGAAGGTATTGAGACGGCAGTCGCAGCAGAACCGGCAAGAGGACCGCGCACCTCGGGCCCGAACTGAGGAATACGTATACCGCCGAACACCTTCCTGCCCAGATCCTTCTTCTTCTGCTCTTCGAGCTCTGCCTTCCTGTCAGCCTGCAGGGTGTCTTCCTCGGCGCGCATCAAGGCCTGGCCGAAGCTGCTGACAAGGCCAAAGAAGTCCTCCGGTTTGGTCTGTGTAGGATCTTCTCCAAAGTAGCTCACAAGCTTGGTGAGGCTAGTCTGCACGGTAGTCCCCGCAAGCTGCAGCGCTTTGATCTGTGGACCAGATTGGCGAAGGAAGGTGGCGGTGACGTCGACGAAACGGTCGCTCTGGGAGGAGATACCGATCCGTTGGAGAGTCGCCATTTCTTGCTGCACTGCTTCATATCCCGTGATGAGCGCGGTGATGGACTGCATGATCGATTGAGTAGACAATCGCGCAGCAGCTTCCACGTACGAACAGTCATCCAGGAACCCGACGAGTGTCTTGTCCGTCTTATTGAGTACCCTCACCAAGTAGTGCAGCAAGCTAGGCGTAGCCGGGCTCGGATTCGAAGGCTTCGTATCCTTTAGCTTTAGCAAATCTCCCAACTGGAAGCCTGCCGCCTCACCTCGGAACGTCGACGAGTTCAACACATTGCCAATCGTCAACACAGTATGCAACACCGCTTTGAACTTTGCACTGCCGTTGATCTCGTCCACTGCATGTTTCAAGATTCTGAGATCCGGCTTGAGCTCCTCCAGATCCAGCTCGAACTTGCGCATGTACACCATGCATGCCAAACGCTCCGCCAATCTCGGAATACCAAGCATTTCCTTGAAGAATTGGTCAGCTTTGCTGAGCGCGCCGACATCGCCATCATAGTCACGGACGAGTTCGAGCTCTTCGGTGGTCGGCAGACAATTCTTGACACTCTTGAGATGGTCAATGGTCAATTTGTCCTCATCGCACTGAAGAATCGCTGTGCGGAGCTCTGGAAAGGAAACTTTGATGCGGGTAAGTACGATCGAGACGTTTTGGGCGCGCGTGAGATCGAGCAGCGTTGTGGGGTTTGCTTTACGGTCGTTTTGCTTAGCTTCAAGGACAGGTGCTATGGGCTTTACGCCAACTGCGAAGAGCTCGTCAAGGCGATCGATCTCGCCTGTAACATCGACAGACGTCGCAGGCAGATCGCTCCACACGGTTCGCGCAAGAGAATGAGCTGGAAGCTTATTCCAGAAGAGAGCCTTTCGCTTCTTCTTCGGGATCAGCGGCAGCGAGGGCGGCTTGGGTATACCAGACACTGCCGGTGTGCCAGGTGCACCTGGAGGAGCCGGTGGCACCATTCCGCCGGGAGGAGGTGGTGGGGGAGGGGGCGCTCCACCTGCAGCACCTGATGGTCGGGCTGGAGGAGGCGGCGGCGGCGGAGGCGGCAGCCCTCCTGACGCACTCGAGGATGGTCCTGGAGGCGGTGGTGTCATACCGAAGCCGGTAGCGGGCGGCGTACTTGCAGCAGGCGGTGGCGGCGGAGGCGGTGGTGGTGGTGGTCCAGCAGCACTGGAGTTGGCCTGTGGACCAGGACTGGCTGCAGATGCTGTCGTTCCTGCATTCGCGGTGGCGACCTGCGAAGGAAGCGTCGGTGCGGCCCTGACGACCGGACCTGCACCACCTGGCAGAGCAGGTGCACCAGGCGGACGGGGCGCTTGTCTATGAACCGGTGCAGCACCCGATGCTCCAGCCGCACTTGATCCGACTGGCTGCAACTGCAGCTGTAACAACAATGCTTGTAGCTTTGACATCTCGCTCCTGAGTTTTGCGATTTGCTTGTCCTTCTCATCGAGCTGGCTCTGCAGTGCTGCCATTTGCTCTGTCGACTCGGTCACTTCCATCGACTTGAGTGCTTTCTCCTGCAACTTTGCCATGTCGGCGCGAAGCTCGGAGATTTCGGCGTCTTTCCTGCTAAGCGCTTCGATAGTGCGGCGTGCCATCATGTCTGCCTCCATCTCAGAGTTTGCGGCAGACGACGGGCCTGTTCTGGCTTCTTGCTCCTTGTCCTTCGCCTCTGCCTCTTCTTGTGCCTGAGCGATGCCGTTCTGGAAACGGCCGTACACGGCTTCGAGTGCACGCTTCAAGTACTTGATCTCGCGCTCCTTGGCTTCGACATTGGCTTCGGCGCCGGCGAGCTGCTCCTTGTGACGTGCGATCTCGTCCATAAGATTGGTCCACTGTCGATTCCGCTCGAGGCGATCCTTTTTGGCGCCATCATCGCCTGCGGTGCGCTCGTTGGAACGAGCAGCGGAGGAAAGGCGATCCAACTCTGCTTGAAGCTCAATGACCTGCTTCTCTTTGGCCACCAAGCGTTGGATGACACCTGCAAAGCTTTCTTTGTCGCCACGTTTGGGAAGCGTCGAAGGTGCGCCCGCAGGAGCGCTGTCAGAGTCACCAGAGTCCTTGCGTAGCGCCGCTGCACCGGGCAGACTTCGTAGCGTGATGACCTCGGCTGTTTGCTCATTTAGCTTGGTCCTGAGTTTGGCCTTGTCGTCGCTGAGCTCCTCGACCTTGGCACGTAGACCTTCGAGCTCTTCAATGAAGCTGCTTGGGACTGTACTTGTGTCGCTCATCCTGTTGGCCTTGATCATGGCCTGCTTGCCGACGAGGTGCTGGATGTTGGCAAGGTAGGATCGCATGAAGCTTCGCCAACCCTCATCGAAGTCAGCAACATGGACCGACTGCTCTAAGTACTTTTCCACGACGAACAACAGATCCGTCTTGAACTGGTGGTCGATGTCGCGATCGAGAATACTGGAGGTATGGCGCAAAATTGAGATCATGATCGGGTATAGGTCCTCGTGGGCGTCCTGTGACCTACGAAGGATTTCGCCTGCTTCGCCCAGGTCCGACATGCCATCGTGGCTGCGCTCGCGGTTGCGATCTGACAGGTGCAGCGCTCGATCATGCAGTTCATCCTGATCCTCCTGCTTCTCCTCGACGTAGACCTGGATCTGAGTTGCAAGGCTTTCGGGTGGGTCGATGTATCGCAGAGACACAAGCACTTCGTTGAGACCACGACGAGCGAGCTCGTCGCGGAGCGAAACTCTTTCCTCGAGATCCTCAGGACTGTTTGTGATTGCGTTGACGAGCACCATAGCTGCTGCCTTGTACTCCCACTCGATAGCCTCGTTTGCATCAGCGTCGTCAACATCGACCGAAGTGTCCCACGCTTCACTGAGCGATTCGCTTGAAGCGTTTGGCTTCAGATCATCGACGAGGAAGGCAAAGCGGAAACGCTCGCCAGTCACGACCTTGAGCTCCGACAGCGCTCCACACACCATCCGGTGTCCATCTTCAAGCGACAGCACGCACAACGCCGCTAGGACGTCGGCGACTTGGAGGCGCAGCTTGTAAGAGGATGAACGGAGAGCGAAAGCAATACAATTGACCAAGTTGGGTTGTTCTAGCACCTTTTCGAAGCCAAGCTCGATGTTCATCAGTGTGCGCAAGCACTTGACCGCTTCGAGTAGAATTGCATCGGACATCTCTTTGCGTTCGGCCTGCTTACCTTGCTTGTTGCTGTTGAGGCTGTTGACGATGCCATCTGCTTCTATCTGCATAATCTGCTCTAGCGCTCCAAGGCCATCGCATTGAAGGAAGCTGTCGATCCATGAGAGCTTGGCACTGCTGAGTGTGACACGTAACGAGAGCAGATGCTTGAAGAGATCTTTGCGGCTCCGCTTGCCGTCCTTCAATTTGGAGATGTGGCCCAAAGCTGCGTTCTGTTCATTGCCAACGCCTGCTTCGTTGGAGCCACCGGTTGCCGAAAGGGTACTGCCTCCACCCCACCAGCTGCTCCATAAGCTTGCGGTGATGCCAGTACTGCTTCCGGTGTGATTGGCCCTGATGGTGTTGGTGTGTTCGCCGTTGTGGTGCACCTTTGAATCCATCGATCCGAGCGACCCAGTCTCAGACAACACAGTAGTAGGGCGTGTGCTGCTGCTGCCTTGGCTCGACACATCGCCAGAGAGACTCGCTCGAGGACTAGCTCCGCCATCGACATCCTTTGCAGTTCCAGGACCGAAGCCCTGTGTCTCGTGTGTTGCCCACGTAGCGATGCTGGAGATACTGAAACGGTTTGACCAGCCAGAAGGGAGGACCGAACTGCGACCCATCGTCTCTGAATTGTTGCTGAGCGTCGGTGACACAGGCTTGTCGACTTGTTGAGACATGGAACTGCGTGGCTTGGAGGGCGTCGATGTTCTGGCGGCCTCATTCTGGCTGATCAGGAAACGCTTGCGATCGTCTGGCAGAGCCAGCATGGCCGAGCGGCTCGTGCCCTTGATGCCGAGATCCTGCATCAGCTTTTCAAACCGGTTTGCAAGATCTTGTGGACTATCGAGGTCGTCTGGTGCCGGAGAAAGTTGGTGTAGAGATCCCAGGGAAGGCGATCGAGAAACGATGCTGCCGTCAGTTTCCAGTTCCAGAGGTCCGCTGACGCTGAAGGTCTTGCCGCTTCTTCCCACGGTGCCTGGTATCCGGCGGACATTCTGGTTCGTCGGTGTTTCCGGCATGTCTGCGATGCCGTTACCCACGCCTTGGGTTGTGGGGGACGAGGGCTCGCCATTTCCACCAATCCAGCCTTCAAACATCCTGCTGAGTCGTGCTGTGGCCGAAGGGGTCTGATGACGGCGCCCCTTCGGAAGGTTGATGGTCGATTCTTTACCCTTTGGCGAACCGATACCCAGATCTTCCTGTCCCTGGCCGTTTCCAGGCAGGGAGACGTCCGGTCGAGAGGGTGTTGCCGGTTTGCTGCCCTTGAGTGTGCCCTCTGCTTCTTTCTCGTTATCCTCACCTGAGAAGTGGGTGGAGGAAAGCTCCATAGAGAGAGCGTCAAGATCTGCGTCGCCTGTGGTGCGTGATGCCTTCGCTGAGTTCTTTGGCGCGGGAGAGAAGGCAGCTGGGAGCAGAGCAGCAGTGGCTTTGCTGACACTCGCCGATCCCCACAAGCCAAGCATGCCGGATTTGGCGCCGGACTGCTTCGTCGGAGATGTAGACAATGCTGGTTGACTGGAATCGGAGCCCATACCTGGAGCTGGTGTGGTTCCGCTTGAGCCTTGACGACGAGCATGCTTGGAGAATCCTTGAGCCACGGTACCGAGCTTGGACAGCCAGCTGGCACTGATGGTGAACATTAGCACTGGATCCGGCGAGTCCAGATTGCGCAGCAGCTGAGGCAAGGGGCTGGACTCTGGGAGCGGAGCAGGAGGGGGCACGGGAGCCGGTGCCGAAGCAGGAGTGGAAGGAAGCGGCGCCAGAGCGTAGACGACACGAGCCGACTTGCTACCTTGGAGTACTACCCTACGAATGCCGAGCTCTTCGCAAACGGCCTCCACCACCTCCGCTACAGACGAGCCATGACCGCTTGCTCCTGGAATTGTGGCATCGGCTGGCAGGAACCAAGTCCTCTGGTCCCAACCATCGTAGATTTCGGGAACATGACCGAAGCGAAGGCGCACTTTGAGCCCGGGCGCTCCGCACACGAGCCGAAGACGTGGTGTATGGAGGTGGGAGGAGAGCAGGAAGTCGGAGAAGGCCGTTGAAGATGACAAATCAGCGACCGGATTGTCTTGGTCTTCTTGGTCTGCGTGCTTGGCACCGTTGGCGAGATTTCGTAGAAAGGCAAATACACCACTTTGTAAGGGGACTAAGCCTGAGGATCATTGCAAAAGGAAAGGATAGGAAAAGAGACGAAAGCACCTGACTGTCAGTCAGATGAAGACCACAGGCGCATCAAAAGGGTTGTTGTCACCGCACTTACCATCATCAATAGTCCTTAGTTGTTCCTCCGTCCATTCGCGGTTTGGCTCTGACACTTGGACGGCTTGGATACCCCATAGTTGCCCCTGGTGGTCTATGAGCCACTTTTCCGAGCTCTCGAAATCGTTCGAGGCCGCGGAAGACCAGAGCCGAAAATATGATCCAAAAGCCGCTGTAAGATGTCTAGCGTTAGTCAAATCTGTTAGAAGTGCGACGATGAGGTCCTGCACGGTGGTCGCGGCTGAGGAAGGTACGGAAGCGGAGAGAATGGCAGCATTGCCCGGTAACAGGACCTGTAGCAGCTCGCGGCCCGCCATCGTACCAGAACACTGTCGGCAGCGTTCGTCTAAGTTGAAAGTCGAGTTAAGTGAGTGTGCCTGATGTATCGAGAAGGTCTAGACGTCGTAAGGACTAGAGATCTCGCAGAGCGACGGTGTCTTGGTCAGGACTTCAAGATGCTTGTTAGAGATGAGTTGCTCGTCGCTCTGAAGGTGAAAATGAAGTCGTCCCGCAGCTGGCCGACGGGGGCTGTAGGTATGATCGTAAGGAAGGCTTTCGGTAGAGTCGTGGTGTCCCAAGCTGCCGGTGGCAGTCGTAGGTGGTCGAGTCGGTCGTGAGGATGGTGGAGTCAAGACGCTGACATGCTGATCTAGATTGTAATCTCGAGCAGAACTCTGACCCTTGACCCTTGGATAGCAATCTAGCTTCTTGCCTGGCTCGGTGTTGCCGTGAAGCATAAAATAATTCAGAAAAGCAGGGCTCGGCCAGCTGAAACATACACGCTCGCTTCCATCAGCCTTTGCGACAATCATGTTCAAGTTTTCGTCGGCTGTTCTTCGTTCAGAATGGCTGAGGATCACATTCTCGTGCTCAAGCCACGACTATTCGATGTCGTGAGCATGATAGTAGCAGCGCATCATAGTAGTAGCAGCAAACCTTTCAATGACAGTGTATGTCAAAATGATCAACTGCAGGTACAAAGAAATTGTTCTGGTACATTTCTAGTCGTTTCGAGACCTTAATAATTTAAGAAGTAGTCACTTGTCCATCACCGGCTCGATGTCAACCTTTCAACAGCATCCGATTGACATCGCTACATTGCTAGCCCTTTCGATGACCTCCAGCCACATCAATGACTTGCTTGAGCATAGCGGGATAGAGTGACAGAGCGGGTTGATGGAAAGGAAATGACCTGAACAGGGCAAACGAGAAAAGCCACAAACCTCCACTAACTTATCGACCTTCAGGCGGCACACCAGTCTCGGAAGCAGTGTTGCTTTCTTTTCCAGGGTTCAGCTGTGTGTTTTTTTTGTTTTTTTTTTTTTTTTTTTTTTTTTTTTTCCACAAAGCCCCTGTCTCGCACTCGCGTTACAGCTCTCTCACGCGTAAAATAACCTTTCTCGTACGAGTCATTTCTGAACGTTGCCATCACGTGAAGAGAGGCTTAGAAGAAAGGTCAGGTTTAGTCAGTCAATCGAGCGAGCTTGCTTCGAGACTTTTTGCAGTGGCAGACAGACACTTCCGAGATCTTGTAGCTGACAGTCTGACGATCCTCTTCATCACCTCAACCCGAAACGATCTACCACCTACTCCTCCACGTTCAGGACGGTCTCGTAACGGCAACTAGCACAGAGCTGCTAACTTCGCATCATGCCGCGACGAATCTCATCACAAGTTCCACAGACCGTCTCTAGGTTACTCGAGTCGGGCTTCCTCAAGCAACCTCCCGTATGGTTCGAGGCCGTCATCAACCACCCTCCCGTCACGGTGCCTGCTCGTCACCCCATCAAGCGACCCGACGAAGATCTCCCGCCTCGCTTGCGCTCTTCTGCGCAAACTGCGATCGCAAAGGTCGGCTCCTCGTCTAAAGCTGCCTCCAAGTCGCAGCAGATTTACGGCCGCGATACTACTAACTCGAAGAAAAAGTCACGCGCATTGACACCAAAGCTCACACCAAAGGCTATCGTCTACGATGAAGACAAGATTCGACAGCGATTCTTCCATGACCACCCATGGGAAGCTTACAGACCCAAAACACTTGTCGAGATGAGCGATGAGGTAGGAAGTGAAGCAAGAGTACACGGCGACCCGAAGAGATTGCGTTCGTACGGTCGCAATCCCAGTGTCGAGGATTTTGTCGCATGCACAATGGTCGCGCACCGTCAAGGTGGTCTTTCATTGTCACAGGCGTACCACAACACGCTTTCATCTTATCACGGATTGAAGGCCGAGCACGAACACGCAACACGCTATGCTGCTCTAGAGGCCAAGTACTACGGTGCTGATCTTGGCAAGTCCGAGACACAGCGAGGATTCGAGAAGGAGGACAAGGCACTCGAGACGTGGGCAGCATGGGCTGCTGGAGGAATGGCAACGGGTGATGCCGCCAACGCAGCAGCTGATTGGCAACAGACAAAAGCGGTAAGAGTCAAGCGTACCGACCAGACTTTCACTTCGGGAGATGCTTATCTCGAGGCTGCCAAGGCATTCAAGGAAGGAAAGATCAGCTCGGATCGATTGGCAAGCAGTGCGGAGGCCGCAATCAACAGACGAGTGTTACTAGCAACTGGCAACGGTGTCAACTTTGCACCTGAGCCAGCCGATGATTTCTTGGGCCTGGCACGTTCAACCATCCGCACATCAGAAACTCCAACAAGTGAAGCGCAGTGATATCGTCGTCGAAAGTACTGCAATACATACATATGCAATGCTTTGACAGTACTTCTTGCTCGGTTCGTCGTTTATACTATGTAATGTTTCGTGGATCTACAACAGCAAGCTCGCTTTCAATACTCCTGTCTGAGGCTCACATACGTCCTGAGCTCAAAATGAGACTTCATGCTTCCACCTCGTGCCGCTCACAAGACTCCAACTGTCAGCGGATTGTGACCTGGGAAGGACAGAGATAGATAGTGTTGTGAGATCTCATTTGAAGATCGATTTGCAAAAGTTGATATGATTCGGCAAAAAAAACATTCAAAAATGCAGGCCAAAGAATATGAAAGAAAAAAAAAAAAAAAAAAAAAAAAAGAAAAAAAGGAAAGAAAAACTGCAGCACCTAGGATTCCCGCGTGGTCCCCCACCGCAGTACTGACTAGGCGATACCTTGCTTAACTTCGCAGATCGGACGGGATGCGGTGCTTTCAAGGTTCTATGGCCGCAGATGTTGAGGATAACTCATTAAAAATGGATAACTCATCAAAAATAGATAACCTATCAAAAATAGATAACCTGTTTCCAAGAATCACTATTCATGCACTGGACTGTTCATTGGCCTTCCGATCATGTTGCTCTGAGCAGTGGGATGGAGATGCGTATACTATTCAAACCTGATTGGATCGACATATCAAGTAGCTCCAAGTGAAGAGCGTCAAGGTGTTCCGATGTTTTGGATGCGGGAACAAGATGCTTCTTTCGGGAAGGCAAGGACAAGTCTTGGCTAGATAGAATTTGCGAACAAGCGGATCAGCGTGGAGACGGGGCTTGTCGTCAGGGTCCCACTACCGGCTAGATCCTTGCCAATCCTCTGGAACATCCTGCTACCGTACATCTGTCCCATTATCAACGTGCCAGTGTTGATCGGGAAGCCTAAGAGGACTTACAAGGCTCGAAATGTAGCGAGAGGCGAGCTCGGCGTTGATCCTGCTCGGAGTTGGAGGGAAGCAAACCGTTCTTGACGAAGCCGAGGCTGCTCGGTCTCCGTGCCGAAAGCAATGAACGAGCCAAGACTGACTCCATCAGTCAGAGCGGAAAACAGTGTGGACCACACAACCTGAGACGCAGTCGGCCTTCTCGATGCGATGCACCACCAGGACTTGTGGTTGCTTGAAGGTTGTGCAGCCATCGAGCAGAAAAGAGGAGCTCGCAAGCTGCATTGCACCGCACTGTTCGCGAAACTTACCTTCTGCTACGTCATCACAAGCAAAGCAGCCTTCTCGTCTTGACTGGCCTCTTTCCTGTAACCAGGGAGGGGCCTCATTCTCAAAGAAGGAGGGCAAAGCGAAAAGAAAGCTCGAAACTACCAGAGTGAGGTGTCTACGGAATTCCGTTGGGCTTGGCCTTGCTGCGAGAAACTCGAGAAATAAAAGTTTAGCAGAAGGGCGGTGTTGGTCTCTGGAAAGGTGAGCCGGCACACAGGCGTGGAACGGTTGAAATGAAGATAACAATTAATATACGGCGTTATCGGGGTCACGATCAGACTCCCTTTACCACAGCCGTATGTTCTATGTAATGCTTAGTTTTCATGATGTGAGACTGAATGACAAACACATATATATACTCCATTCACTGCTCTGGTCCTATTCGAGGCAGGATGTGTCTCTTCATTTGTACTCCTGTGTTGCTATGATACCGGGTGCCACTGTGCTGTCACCATGACAACAATTACGTACCTCATTGTACTTCTCGCTTACGTGAGCCTCCCGTGTCTCAATGTCTCGGCCGTAACATGTGCATCTTACTTGAGATGCCGACGCATCTTCAACTCCCCCCTTCGGCGGGATCTCCAGTCCTATCATCCTAGCCAATCGTGAGGTGTTAAGACCCTGTAAGGGTTTTGTCAAGACATCTGCAACGTTGTTTGCCGTTCCGACATATTTGATTTCCACATCGCCCTCTTGTACGTGATCGCGAACGAAATGATACCGTGTGTCGATGTGCTTTAACTTCCAATGTTTGGCTGGATCTTTACTCACCTGTATGCACCCCTGGCTATCTGTGTATAGTACGGGCCGAACGTCCGTGGTCTCCAAATCCCGGAGCAAATATGAGAAGAATAAGGTTTCTCGTACCGCTTCGGAAGCGGCGACAAACTCTGCTTCGACTGCCGACAATGCCACACACTTCTGAACGTGTGATTTCCAACTCACTGGACACCCATATACATATGTTATCGACCCCGAGGTGCTTCTTCGTCCATTTGTGGGGTCGGATGCCCAGTTTGCGTCGGTATACTCGTTACCGGTGTATCCGAGTGCTCGTTTGTCTCCCCTCCTAGGTGCAACTGATATTCGTTCGTTTGGTTCAGGTACTTTACCACGTGGATGGCTGCCTTCCATGCACTGTCGATCGGGATCGACATATATCGCGCCAATACGCCGACGGCAAAGGCAATATCTGGTCGGGCTGTGTTGGAGACCCATAATAGTTGGCCGACCAATTCTTGATACTTCTTTGCTCGCTGAGGTTCACATCTCTCGCCTCCGGCAACGTTCGCTACACTCAGCATGGGTACCCAAGATTTCTCGTTTGCTCCTCCTAACCATTTGTTCACCATTTCCTTGATGTATGCCGTTAGACCCAGAGATATCCTCCTCCGTCTTCTATCACGTGTGATCTTGATACCCAGAAATTCTTTGACCCTTCCATTGTCTTGCGTCTCCCATTTGTCCATGATCTCTCGCTTTGCGCGATCTACTTCATCACGACTGGGTGATGTTATTAGCATGTCGTCCACGTATGCTGTGATGATCGTGATCTTGTCGCCTGTCCCTCTTGAGTATAGGCATGGTGCGCTCGGCATGCAATGGAATCCGATCGTCCGGAGATGTGAGTCTAACTCAATGTTCCATTCTCGGCCCGATTGTTTCAGACCGTACAGTCCTTTCACTACCTTCAACACTTTTCCGGGTGGCATTTCGATTCCTACTGGGGGCTTGAGGTATACATCATGGTGTATAGTGGAGTTCAGGTACGCTTGCTTTACATCGATAGAATCCATTTCCCAATCTCGTACTGCTGCGACAGCGATCACCCCTCGAATGGATTGGATGGGTGCTACTGGTGCGAAGACCTCTGTATAGTCGATGCCCTCGCGTTGAGTGAAACCTCGTGCCACGAGCCGGGCTTTGAACTTTGTCGGCACGAGGTTTGCATCGGTTTTGATCTTGAGTACCCAACGTGTGTCGACAGTATTTGCACCCTTTGGGAGGTCGACTATCTCCCATGTGCCCATCGCCTCCAATCCATCCAGCTCCTTTCGCATGGCCTCCTCCCAGTGTTTTCTGTCCTTTCCACTCATTGCTTCATGTATGGTTGGGTCCAGGTTCTTTCTCCATTCCGGTCGCGTCGCTACGAGTCCATAGAATTCGCTGTCAATTTGAGTTTCGGCGATTGGTCCTTGTTCCATCACCTCCGCTGTTCCTTCGCTTAATCTTTCTTCCGAATCTGTCTCCATATCCATGTATTCTCGTAGTGGCTCTTCATCTGTTTCGTCGAATATATTTTCTTTATTGTATCCTAGATCTTCGAAATTTTCCTCTGTCATCATCATTGGGGGTGCCTTTGTGTCAACCGGTCGCCACTCTGTTCTGTCTGACCAGCACTTTGATTCCATGAATTTTGCTGAGTTGCTCCAGAAGATGTTCGGATTGTAGTCCGGGCTGTAGAAGAGCCAGCCCTTCCTTTCTAGACTGTACCCTAAGAAAATGGATGCGACGGCTCGCTGGTCCAGTTTCTTGTTGTCCCGTTTAACTTTGGGTACGTTTACCCATGCCAGACAACCAAACACTCGTAGGAGCTTTAAAGCTCGTTCCGGCGACTTGCCAAACATCGCTTGATAAGGGAATTCATTATCAACGCTCGGAGTGAGGTTTATTTTGAACGCCGCAGCTCTGATCGCGTATGGCCAGAACTTCTTCGGTAGTCTCCTCTGCATTAGCAACGTTCTCATCTTCTCTCCAAGGGTCCTGTTCATTCTTTCTACCTGTCCATTTTGTTTGCTGTTGTACCCTACGGTGGTTTGCCACTCTATGCCCTTTTCTAACGACCATTCTAATGCATCATTGCTTTTCCATTCCGTTCCTTGATCGGATCGGATCGCTTTTAGCTTCCGATCCGTCTGTGTCTCCAGGAACGAAACAATCCTTTTGAGTTGCATAAAGGCATGACTCTTTCGTGTCAATGGCTGTGCATACACATACTTGCTATGATCGTCGACCAGCACCAACGTGCATGTGTACTCCGTCACGTGGGACGAGTCTATTATTAGATCGACGTGGATAAGATCCAGGGGCCCTACGGCTCTTTCGCCGCTACCTTTCCCCATCCGAGCGCTTGTGCTCTTGGATCGTACGCACTGCTCACACGTCAGAGCGGTGTTTGGATCCAATTTCATGGTATGCTTATCCTTTAACTTGGTTGTGATCGCCTTAGCTTTATCTCTTCCTGGGTGCCCGAGACGCTCATGCCATAGTTGTTGTTTTGAAACTTTCGGCTCATTCTCAATATGCTCGAACTCCTCATCAACACCTTCAAACAATGGTGCTGATGTGGCCATCGCGCTTTCTTGCCATGTGTCGCCTCGGAACTCCAGAAGTCCTCGCTCGCGATTCTTTGCAATCTTAAGTGTCATGCCGTTTGTTAGAAAAATTTGGCCGCCGGTTGTGTCCAATATCACTCGTGCTCCTTCATCCGTTAATGAATTTGTTGACAGAAGGTTAACATTAAGGTGCTTTACATACAATACATTTTGCAGAGAGATTTCCCCGTAATCTGTTGATATGCTTGCATCTCCTATAGCTGCCGCTTCCAAGACCTCGCTTCCGGCGGTAATTATCCGCTTTCGGCAAGTTCTCGGGTGGATGAGCATGCTGTAGTCGTTCACCATATGGTAACTCGCCCCCGAGTCCAAGATCCAATGAGCTGTTTCTTTTGTGTTCGAGGGGTCCTGCCATTTCATTGGGAGGGTGAGGGAGCACCACGCTTCCTATTTAGGTTCAGCGAGGGGGGAGTCCTTGGGAATGGTAACCAAGGCGTCGCATTGACTGATACCATGTCCCGGTCGCTTGCAGACCCAGCATCGGATTCGGCGTGACTTGCTTGCGTTCCTCGAGCTCGCGTGGCTGTTGTCGGCTTCGGCTTCGGTCTCTCCGGCCCGTTCGTTTTGATCGTCGTTGCCGGCGGTTCTAGCACTGGCTTGTCGAGGGTCGATCCTTTGTGCGGGGACGCTCTCGACAGCGGTCTGCCGGATGCTTAGTGCGGTGGCAAGGGCGTTGAAATCGATTTGATGGACGGTGGCAACCGTCTCCTTGTACACCGGATGCCGGATCGTGCATTTCTGCAGAGCCGAGAACAATGTATCATCGGCGAATGGTTTGCCGAGGAGGCTGCTTTCGGTTTGTATGGACCGGATCTCTTGAATTAGCTTTCTGGCGTCCGAGTTAAACATCTTTGTATCGTTGAGTTGCGAGATAAGCGCAAGTCTGTGAGACGTCTTGGTGGCTTCATTCGTGAGACCGTTTTCGATCTTTCTCCACACTTGGTTGAAAGTAAGGTACTCCTTGATTACATCTAGAACGAGGTAATTTACATTGTGTTCTCCGGTAGTGTCGATTGTTCCACGCAGGGCGTTGATTAAAGCATCGTCGAGGGAGCGGCTCCATTTCGGGTGTTTCTTGTCGTACGTTCCCTCGAGATGTTTCATCGCATGAGGCACGGATCGGAGGAAAGATTTCACGTGGGCGCTCCAGCTATGATAGTTTCGTGACGTGAGCTTTGGCACGGGTTCGAGGAGCTTTGCTAGGGTGCGAAAGTTATATCGCTTGTCACCATCATCAAAGTCGGAGTCGGAATCGGTGTCTTCGTCGGCTTCATCATTGATGGCCTCCGGCTCGTTCTCGCTCGTGGCATTATTATCGACCCGAACCTGGGTGTTCTTGCCTTTTCTGCCTCCTTTGGTCCTCGTTTCGGTGTCTTCTACCATGGTTGTCGGCGAGTTTCGGTTAGCTCGGTGATAGCTTCTTCAGACTCTTAATCAAATGAAGATAACAATTAATATACGGCGTTATCGGGGTCACGATCAGACTCCCTTTACCACAGCCGTATGTTCTATGTAATGCTTAGTTTTCATGATGTGAGACTGAATGACAAACACATATATATACTCCATTCACTGCTCTGGTCCTATTCGAGGCAGGATGTGTCTCTTCATTTGTACTCCTGTGTTGCTATGATACCGGGTGCCACTGTGCTGTCACCATGACAACAATTACGTACCTCATTGTACTTCTCGCTTACGTGAGCCTCCCGTGTCTCAATGTCTCGGCCGTAACATGTGCATCTTACTTGAGATGCCGACGCATCTTCAACTGGTTGCCTGGGTGCAGCTGAGAAGCAAACACGCGTTTGGGCTTGCGCGGCTGCATGCAAACATGCCAGCACACCACGATTTTGGCATCTTTGCTGTAGGCTGCTTATTCGACACACTTCTGGCTGGTCAGAGTATGTTACCAGTCATCCCCTTGAGCCCATGCAAGTGCATGTGTGTTGCGTTCTGAGAAGGACTTGGCAAGACTTGATATCCAAACAGGTCACCTTCCACTCCTCTTTGCCCTGCTTTGGCTGGTGCAAAGCAACACTGTGGGAGACTCTGCTCACGCCTCTCTGCCTCTCTGCCTCTCTGCCTCTCTGCCTCTCTGCCTCTCTGCCTCTCTGCCTCTCTGCCTCCCTGCCTCTCTCTCTCACACACTCTCTCTAGCGCCGTGCATATGCTGTTCCCCCCTTTTGTCCAATCGTGGGTCGCTTGGCTACCCCCTGAACTCGACAGAGATGAAGCGGAGGCCTCTTCGCCCACCATCAGCCACGCTCGTTTTCAGTTGCTTCACTAAAGGCGTCCACGGCGTCTTTGCGGGTCGAGATGGGAGCAGTCTGAAGCTGCGTTCAAGTCTTGTTCTCGGATCTCCCCTTCATCGCGGTTCTGCGTTTGAATCCCTTTTATCGCTTCATCCGAACAGCTCTCCCTGCCCTTGTTTCCTTTCTTTCTTCATCCCCCATCCCCCCATCTTCCTTCTCTTCCCCCGTCTCACCCCTTGTCTCGGTTCTCCGTCTCATAACATTCACCGACAGGCCCAATTGCAGTCGAGACATTGCGACTCGCTGCCACCCACAGTCTTTACTGCCTTTCCCTTTCGATTTCCCCCTTAAAGGCCTCCGTCTCTTGACGTTTCAGATTCTCTTCCCCTCTCTTTGTCCCTTTGCGTATCACGACCACCCGCATAGAACTTCGCGATGCGTCTCACCGCCCTCACTGTTGGAGCCATGGCTCTTGCCGCTCCTCTGGTCTCCGCCGCCGTTCGCCACGAGCGAGGACTTGTCGACCCTGCTGAGCACCCCGCTGGTCACCTTTTCAACAAGCGCGCTGAGCGTCACAGCATCACCAAGCGTCAGCTCGCCAACGTCTCCAAGAACGGCATGCCTTACCCCCCCGCTGGCGCCGATCCTCCCCCTGCCAGCTCGCTTCCCAAAGCTTGGGTTGACCGTTACAACGAGAAGAAGGCCGCTGGTCTCGTCCCCAACATTCCTCCCTCCATCACTGACCCCAACACCCGCGCCACTGTCTACCCTGCCGGCACCGACATGACCAATGTCTGCTCCTGGACCGTGCAAAAGTGTGACACTGGCGATATTTGGTTGGCCCCGGACAACTACGTCTCCATCACTTTCGACGACGGTCCCACTCCTCAGTCGTCTGAGCTCATCAGCTACCTTCAGGCTCAGCGTCAGAGCGCCACTCACTTCCTCATCGGCAGTGCCATCGTCTGGAACCCCACCGCCATGGACGAGTACGTCAAAGCCGACCCACCCATGCATCTTGGTATTCATACCTGGTCACACACCCTTCAGACTGGTAAGACCGACCTCGAAATCCTTGGTGACCTTGGCTGGACCATGCAGATCATCTACGATCTGACTGGATCCGTCCCCATGTACTGGCGCCCTCCCGAGGGTGACGTCGACGCCCGTGTCCGTGCCATTGCCACCCAGGTCCTCGGTCTCCAGACCGTCATGTGGAACAAGGACGCCGACGACTGGTGTCTCCGCCAGGGTAACGGCACTGCTCAGCTGGAGACCTGCACCACTGGTGTTGGTGCTACCAAACAGGGTGTCATCCGCGAGATGACCAGCTGGGCTACTGACAGCAACCGTACTGGTTTCATCTCGCTCGAGCACGAGACCACCGACCAGGCCATCGATGCCTTCAAGTCCTACCACCGCGCTCTTAAGGCCAACAACTGGAACGTCGGCGCTGTTCCCGAACTCCAGGGCTTGCCTTACTACCAGAACCAGTGGAACCTCACCTCGAAGAAGGAGCCCGTCGACAGTATTCTCCCCACTCGTGAGCCAATCAACGTTGTTCACTCTGACGCTCCTCGTGGCAGCTCCCGTGCTCCTGACACCGGTGCCTTCGCCAACCTCGACGGCAGCGGTGCCAGCGCTCAGGCTTCTTCTTCTGCCGCTGCCTCTGCTTCCACTGGCTCCAGTGGCTCCAGCGGATCCCGCGGCTCCAGCGGCTCCAGCGGCTCCAGTGGCTCTAAGGCTTCCAGCTCCGGAAGCTCTGGTAGCTCCTCCGGCAGCAGCAGCAGCACTTCCTCTCAGTCTTCCAAGTCGGGTGCTTCCAACCTCATCGCTGGTGCTTCCACTGTTGCTTTCGGAGCCGTCGCTGCTGCCGTTGCTCTCCTTCTCTAAATTCGCATTTTGCATCTTTCACTTCCTAAAGACCGCCATTACCGGGATTTTGCTCTCCATGAATTGCATCCATTTGTTGTTGTCTGTAGACACATACATGCTTCGTGTCCCTGAACCGGCTTTCTCTTTCTAACTCTTATCGTCGCTCATTTAGTTGTGGCTGCAATTTGATTGTCCCTCTCCTCTCCGCCTTCCTCACCCTCTCACAGTTGGACGAGAGGAAGAGACAGATTGAGGAGTAGACCTTTTTTATTCACAGTGACCCAATGTGTGGTCTTTTGTCTGCACCTTCATTTGCGATTCGCTGTGCTTTGCGATGATGCTGAATGCCTTGCGTTGACCAGATTGAAAGAGTAGACTACAAATACAAGTGGGATGATGGGGTGATTGAGTTCAAAAGTCAATGGTGGGCCTAGCCTTATATTTCCGAGTAGCTCTAGATGGCAGAGTGTGCATCATATGATTGCCATGCAATTCAAAGCGTAGATGACCTGCATCTCCACCGTCTTCTCCTGTGGTTGCTAGAGGGATGTTGACAGCAAACACGGCGTTCTTCTTGGGTATAGTGCGTGTTGCATTGCCCGCTCTCGCTGCTGTCTTTTTTGGTGGGATGGCGAGAACGATGGTATGTTCCGTCTCCTTGACAACCAACCCAGACTGAGATACTAGAGAAGGGTTGGCAGCGCGTACGACCTCCACTTCTGCTCCGCATAGATCGGCTTTGATGAGTGAAGCTTGCATGGCACTGACAGTGCCAGAGGACATGGTGGTAAGGTGTTTGGGGTCAAATTGTGGGTTGGAGACGAGCTGACCTTTGCTATTCATGGCGACGATGTTGAGAAGCTGTTGAATGTAGGTTTGCCACATTTCGTGAAGAGGCTGGACAAGCTCATAGCTCATGTTGGTATCGACTTGTTCGAGACCCATACGTTTGCGTTGAGATCGGCTGAGAGGTTTCCGTGCGGTCGTGTCGACCTTTTTGGCTTGGTTTGTACGTTGTCGTGGAACCGAACGCAGACGTTTCAATTGCTTGTTCGCATCTGCTAGAAGCCGTTGCTTGCTACAAACAACTTCTTTCGTTGCCTCGTCCTCTTCGTCTGATTGCTCTGCTATTGGTCGATGTGTTGCGGGAATTACGTTTGCGGATGATGGGTACTTGGTGGAACGACCAACAGCAATCCGTAGCCTTTTGAGCTCAGACAACTCGCTCTTGACCCTTCTGCGGCGCTTGACAAGCTTCTTCTCGGCTTTTGCGCGGGCATAATCATCTGTACCACCCGTCTTGGGGCGTGCGCGGTCGAGGTTTGTAATCTGAATGCGACGATCTTGCAGTCGCTCGCGGAAGTACTGTGAAACTTGAGAGTCGGATACTTTGCTCGAGTCGAGCGTCTGACGCAGCAGTTGATGAGCTGCGCTCGAGGAGCCAGAGATAGAGCCGGAGCCGCTTGCCTCTGCGTAGTTGCTGTCCATCTGCGACGTAGACGCCAAGCCGGCACGCGGTGGTTTGATGTTCTGAAAGAAGGTGTACAATCCCATGATAGAATAAGAGGGTTCATGAAATGTCAAAAAGTCCATGACAGGGGCCGATCCAAAACTGGTTCTTGATCGCTTTCCGAGATCCGAGTTACTTCAAGGGGTCGATTCCTTCTAAACGATCTACTCGATCTTGTAAAGAAAATCCTAAAACTTTCTGAACTGATCCATAATGTTGCGGAGTGGCCGACAAGGCTGAAAGCGCCACAGAGTCCTAGATTTATCTGCATCAGAGAAAGAAGCTGTTGGAATCTGTCATTTTGAACGCAGCAAAGGAAAGTTTGTGGCAACAGCTCCATGAACAGTACTGCAGTACTCTTGTCTCAGCCAACGTGGCTATATTTGGTTACCCATCGTGATCAGAATGCCAGTTTTTCATTGTTTCTTGCTGACATATTTGAGGAGCGAACGGAAATCAATGTGACGACACCCTTCCCAGATTCGCTGTTGAATTCTTGCGTACTGCGCATTGCCCTCTGTCCATTTCCATTTTTGTTTTTGAGCTTTGTCTTCTAGACCCTCAGACCCTTGAACCCGGTCATGACTGCCCAAGCTTGGGATTCGCTCGAGTTCTGGACCCAACGTGAGAACACACCAAATGGTTCCAGATTTTCTTGAAATTGCTCTTTTCCCATGATCAGCCCTAGCGGTCAATGATAACGTTGTTATAAATTAGCAATCCAACATGATGATGCGAGGTAACATGAGACGATACAGGAGGGATCGGGCAAAGCCGATCTGGTCAAAGATCGGACAGAGCCAATCTCATCAGAGATCAGATACAACATGGTCCCACTCATTGTCAGGCATCATCATGAAGGAGGTTACACCCACATCCAGCATGTACCATCTAGATGTATATACAGTACACATGTAAACTGTCCCAAGATTTTACATGTCACCATACATCACTCTAATGCTCAATAGCTATAAGTTGTATTGCCACACTGTCTGATATTGTCTGAAAGCACTGCTTCTTCTCTCCAAGACTGTGGAATTGATATTGACATTGACTAAAAAAATTGTGCTATGAAGAAGAGCTGAAATTTTTTTATTGTGGGACAGTTTATGGAGCATGCTCCCAAATAGCAACACCACTCCATTCCTGACTTTGTGGGCTTTTGACTACAATGAAACTTGTAATGTAACTTGGTGGGCACCTTCATACACATTGAAAGTAGTGATGTGGAAAGTTTCAGCTCAATCAGATGACTGTGAGTGATCCAGCAGCACTTCCAGTCTGACACCATCATATCTATACCATCATGATGAAAACCACTCCCAAGAAGTGCCAATCAGCACTCTTTCACCTCCAAAATGGAGAATCTACCCATTCAGTTGCTGAGAAACTCAGTCTGAGCAAGTCTATGGTGTCTCACATCAGCAAAAGTGCCTCTGCTGATGCTCCAAAGTCAAAGGGGGGCCAGCTGAGAAAACTCCAGCCTCATCATGTTCACTTCCTGGACCACTATTTTGAGCTCAATTCAACGTCCATGGCCAGGAAAGCATGTCATGCACTGCAGGAGACATTTCACATCAAAGCATGCCCAATGACAGTAAGAAAAGCACTTCATTACTGTCATTACAAAGCACAAAGGTTAGTGAATAAACCAAAGCTACTCAAGAGGCATTACAAAGCACATCTCAAATTTGTGAATGAGCACAAGGACATGACTGTTGAGGATTGGAAGAATGTGGTATGGTCTGATGAGACAAAGATCAACTTCTTTGGACCAGATGGGAAGCAGTTCTGTTGGATTAAGAATGCTGGCTTCAACAGCAAGCTTGTCAGGCTGACAGTCAAGTTTGGCAGCAGCTCCATCATGTTCTGGGGCTGTATGACATGGGAAGGGGTGGGAGGTATGTGCTTGGTGCTGGGTTCAATGAATTCAGACCAATACATTGATATCTTGAATGACAAGCTTGTGAAAACAATCTCAGATTTGTGGCTTCAGCATGCATACACCAACATCACATTTCAGCAAGACAATGACCCAAAACACATGTCAAAGAAGACAACAATGTGGTTGGAAAGCAATAGCATTAAGGTTATGCAATGGCCAGTGCAGTTGCCAGACTTAAACTCGATTGAACACCTCTGGCACCATCTCAAAATGTGACTTTCATGGTATAGTACAATTGCAAAGTCCAGGGATGAACTGCTCAAGAGATGTGAAGCTGAATGGACAGCAATCACTCCAGAGACATGTAGGACCCTAATAGAGAGTATGCCAAACCACATCAAGGCAGTTCTGAAGGCCAAAGGAGGGAATATGAAGTACTAAGGTGTTCTTGAGGAGTGCTCCATAAACTGTCCCACAATAAAAAAAAATCGGCTCTTCTTCATAGCACAATTTTCTTAGTCAATGTCAATATCATTTACACAGTCTTGGAGAGAAGAAGCAGGGCTTTCAGACAATATCAGACAGTGTGGCAATACAACTTATGGCTATTGAGCATTAGAGTGATGTATGGTGACATGTAAATTTATGGGACAGTTTATGCACGAGCTGTACTTATGTTTTGTAGCCTCCATGTCATAGGAGCCGGATGCGCAGGAGGTAGGAAGAAGTTGAAGTCATATGAAGGAGCACAGAAATCACAGGATCGGGTTAAGCGAGAGCTTAAGGAAGAGTTTGCTGAGATCAGCAGTAGAAACAATCCTATGGCATATCTCATCAGGATCTGTGGGAACAATGTCATTACTACAGAGTTCAGTGGGAATCATAATATCATGCTGGGTACTGCAGATCTCACAAGGTTTGATCAGAGAGGCACCCCATCTCCAATACAGTGAGAAGAGGTCACTGAGCAAGGAGAGGACACCATCAGATGAGGCAGGGGCACTACAAGGATGAAGCCAACAAAAGAAGGTGGGTGCCAAAGACAAAGAAAGGTTGAAAGGGTGCAAGTTGCCACCCAGATGAGGTGGGACTGGCCCCTGACAGAGATGAAGCAGCCAGAGGCCACCCATCCAGAGGAGGCAAGGAGGCAGTGCCAATGAGTGGCATCACAAGGTGGATGGGGAGCATAGGAGGGACAAGGAGGATGAGCAGTGTCACAGGCAACATTGCAAGAAAGGTATATAACCATGTTCTCTGTCCTAGCAAGAGAGTGGATTGCCATCCACTCTACACCATACATAACTAGTTATCACTTTAGCATAAGTATACATTAGTTTTCAGTCAGTGTAGTTGCAATCAAGTAGATTGCTTCCATTGTAGCATGTGTGTTGTATCACCACTCACTGACATCCGAAGGCAGTTCATAGCAAACCAGTGGTCCAGATAAAGATAGAACCAAAGGCAGTTGTCCACTGCAGTCCAGGGATCACCTCAAGCATTCAGTCGACACACTCTGAATTGTTCTGGCCAACACTACCCTCCCTTTGTTGGCTTCGAAAATTAACCCTCTAAAAACACAGCTTACATTTGGGGGCATCAATTTTCTGAGCTTTTTTGAGTATTGGAAGACTCTAATTTTCGAGGGCAAAAAAAAAAAAACCTGAAACCCCCTGCTTGACACTTGTGTCGAAGCAATCACTGTAGCACCAGACCCTGGTGCTGCCTCAGACAAAGTAACTATTGGAATTTGATTGTGCCAAGCTACCTCTAGATGGAGTGTCCCCAGTGGTCAGTTGAAATCTGTGATAGATGTTGGTTACAACATATTCAAGCAAGAACAGTCATAGAAGGCTTCTACAGCAGGTTCCAGTGAGAACAATAATAAAAGGCCTACTACAGATCTTGCCGAGATTAATCGTAGTTGCCTTTTACTACAGATTTCGGGTTTCAGGTGTGTGACCGCTGACAGGTGGCTCAGGTGTCTGAGACAGATCCACTAAACCTTCTCCAATGGTAAGAACCATCTCCAAGAGGTATGGATTCACATAGCTGGTGTTGTTGTGATGATTGGTGGACATGTGACAATTGGTGGACATGATTAAGTTGAGGGTGGAGAGAGAGGTTGTAAGGTGGTGGCTAAAAAAAAAGAGACTTCTACTCTGTGCAGAAAGGGACAAGGAGAGGAGTCAAGTGAAAGAGTTTTGCTCAGAAGAAAGGGTTCACACAAAGAAAGCTGTGCAGGAAATGTGGAGGTATTTGTGCAAGTAGATCATGTGCAACTTCACATGCAACATCACATGAGTGAAAACTCAGGTCCAATTCTGAAAACACTGCTGCAACTGTCCAGCTGAAGCAGTGTTTTCAAAAATTAGAGTATTTTCCAAAATGGCAGAGCTTACGTAAGAAATGAATATTCGACACAAGTGAAAACTCAAAAAAAACATGAGTTTTCGAAAAATAAATAAATTGAAACCCCCTAAAGGTGGCAACTGGTTTGATATAATATGTATGTTATCAAATCCATTTTTGTTTTTGTTTAGAAGTCATGTCTCGTCTGATGGCGTGGCCGTAGCGCCACCCGAAGTGATGTTGTGCCTCAAGGCCTCGCTCTGCCGCTCTGTGTTACCTCGCTTGCATGCTCTACGAAGAGCCCTTCCGATATTTCGCACCATATAGGCGACTCTTCCAGAAAGCGAAACACGCCCTGACGCCCAGCAAAGTGCGGCGGCCAACGAGGCTTTGGCAAGAGTCTCAAGAAGCCTTCAAACGGGATGGACAAAGAGCACAACCAACACAAGGCAGAAGAGCAGGAGCAGGAGCAGGAGCAGGAGCAGGAGCAGGAGCAGGAGCAGGAGCAGGAGCAGGAGCAGGAGCAGGAGCAGGAGCAGGAGCAGGAGCAGGAGCAGGAGCAGGAGCATGAGCGTCAACAAGCAGCATGAGGGATAAGGCTTCCTTTTGGCCTTCAAAGTCCCCTTTCTCCTGTCGATCCTGCTCATTCCCCTTTGTTGTTGTTGCCTTTCCTGCGTTGCCTGGTCCCTAGTCAGGACTCTGAATCCCTTTCCCTGTTCCTTGTGTCACCCGTAGTCACGCTACTCTGCCCGCCCCGCGGAAAACCAGAACCTGCTGCTCAAATGCACACCACCTCCTCATGCCAGAATGCCGGTGCAGCTTCGGCGTCTGTACGTCTCAGTGTTCCGCTCCGATTAATGATAGAACACAGGCGAATGGCCAGTCCTCATGCCTCTTTCTCGTCGTCAGGAGTGACCTTGTATTCCGATCAGCCGGCTGACATGGTCAGGGACAAAGCTTGTGCACCTTTTTTTTTGGGCTAGCTAACTGTCGGCGTAGATTTCGATGGTCTTTCGGCCTTGTTTGGATGTCGTCCCGCGCCTTTCGCTTTGTTTTGCTCGGCCTCCACGCTCAGCCTTCTCTTCCACACTCTCGGAGCTGCTCCTCGCTACCAACGCGGCTCGTTCCTTTTCAGCCACCATAACCTACGTCCCTCTCCGCCTCCGCGACACTTCCCGGCCACCGTCTTTTCCCTTTCGACCTCTGTTGACTGCCATCTTGGTTTCAACCCGCACTCGCGTTGCTTTCCCACTTGCCGCTCTCTGTAGCCTCAGCCACTCAAACGCTTCGGACTGATCTTCTCACCGCATCTGGACGATCATCGAAACATCCAATACCGCTTCATTAGGTCTCCGGATCGCCGCAGCAATCCCAGTCAAGGAAGAGCCTCAGACGTTGTCGCCGGCTTCCCACAGTGTATACGCCATCTGACCACACCACTTCTGACACGACAGGACTGAGGCAGTGCTCAAGGCTCCAGTTACAACGACTATCGCTCAGCAGCCACTTTTCCCGCAATTGTGTTTGCCCGCCGCGCAAGAATCAGAGCAATACCCTATCCGTTTCAGCTGACTAGACCGAACGAAACGACTTGATAGTACAGAGCTAGCTAAAGCTTGTTCAGTCTCACGAATTACGTCTTTACGGTGAGTGTTCACTATGTCTCGAATGCTGCTCTGCCGCATCACTATAGTGTCAAGGTTTTGCCGCAAGGCAGATGGACGATTGCTGGCCGGCCAAAGGCTTTGGCTGCCTTGTTCCTTGAGGATCATATTGCTTTCGGCTGTTGCTTCCAGGTGGCTCGTACATTGATAGCGATGACCATGAACCCGCCCATGTCCGAATCGTGATGACCAAGAGCGGGTCCTGAGCCCACACTCATCCCCACCCGAAGCAGCCGTCGATACGCAGGCATCGTTCGCTTCGGAAGCAGAAGCGGTCTTCCCCCTTTGATCAATGGCGCTGCCTACGAATCCGACTTTGAGAGCCGTTCCCGACCTTATGCACAGGATCCCGACTGACTGACAAATCCCGCTTCATTGCATCCCGCTTCTCCTTCTTCAATGCAGTCCGGCCCCCATTTCCGGCCTTGTCCCACCGAACACATCATTGTTCGGTTTCGACGCTCCGTTACAGGTCCGAGCATTATCTATTCTACGCAACTCTCCTTGTCTCATTGGAGCGCTTACACTGTTGACGGGCGAATCCGCCGATTGGAAAGCAACTCTTGTCTAACGTTCACAATAACCAAACTGCTTACAATGTCTCGCTCCGAGGACAACGAACGTGACACTGCATTTGCAAGCGGAAGTGGCGCCGGTCCATCGCAGACCTCCGACTATCCTTCACAGCGCCGCGACCGAATAGATACTAGGCCGCCGCCTGATTACGGCTATCCTTCTAGCGAAGCGCAACGGCCTCAGATGCCTCAGGAACGTTACGCTGATCCACGCGGCCAGCACGCAGCCTACGATCAATATGCTCGAGATTTTGAACGCCGGCAACATCCGAGAGGAGGTCCTTGCAGCCCTTCCCAGGAGAGATCGTATCAGCGCGAGCTCGAGATGATGAAGGCTCGCGAGGATGAAGAAGGATCTTTCGGCGGCGCTCCCTCTCGTCCCAGTCGACCAACAAAGTACGAACCCACATATAGCGGTGTGCCCGCCGCTGCACGTGGTGGCATGGACCAGTTTGGGCTTCGAGCTACCTCTGACGAACGCCCAAATCTAGAAGGCTTCTCGAGAGTCGAGGACGGAAAGCGCTATCGCCTTGTGGTGGTCCAGCATCCAAGTCGTGCAAGAATGTGCGGTTTTGGTGACAAGGATCGACGCCCCCTAAGCCCAACACTGATAGTCAAGCTGGTGATCACCGATGAGGCGACAGATGATGAGATCAGTCCCTTGGAGGTAAACACCTCGCTTTTCTTGCTCGCCACAGATCTTTGTCACCCAGACGATCTCATGCTTGCACCCAGAAATATTCTCGTTCACCACCACGCAGCATCTCTTCCGGTTCATCCCATGCAGCAGGGCGGATCTGGTGGGTACCGATCCGATGAGTACGCGCACCGTTCGGGTCCAAGCTACGGTAACTTTGCTGAAGGCCCTTCCGAGGGTGATTATCTCTCAGACAGCGGCGCACAAGGCTCGGGCTCTCCAGGTTCGGGTGGACCTTCCTCGATGAATCCCTTCAACCGACCCTCTCCGAACTCGATGGCGTTTGGCGGTGGCAACTTTTTGCAAGGTCAAGCAGAGTCGTACACGAGGAATTTGGTGGGCGCAGCGGTGGCAAGCGCTTCGGTGCTCAAGGATGAACAAGACAAGTGGTGCATCTTTTTCGTTTTCCAGGACATTTCGGTGCGCACCGAAGGTGTCTATCGCATCAAGCTCATGTTCGTCAACCTCGAGGTGAGGGGCCGCGTTGGCACTGGTGTTGCCGAAGCACTTGCTGAAACTTACACCGAGCCTTTCACAGTCTACTCGCCCAGACGGTTCCCAGGCATGCTTGACCCAACACCATTGTCACGCAAATTGGCTTCTCAGGGTATTAAGATTCCTGTACGAAATGACAAGAAGAAGCAGCGAAGGCGAAATGACGGCGATGACAATGGTGGAGATGGTATGGGCGACTACGATGGAGGTTCAGGCGGAGATGATGACGACGATTGACGTGCATGAATTCATCCATATCAACACCTTGTCCGAGCCATTCAAAGTCCTCTTCCATCGCGAGTGGTCCCAACCGTGATACCCATGTCCTTCTTACAGGCACGGTCGAAGTGTCGACACAAATCGTACTTCTCACTCATACACGTACCGAATCAATTGTTGACTTTGTTTGTTTGCTCCCTTCATGTGTTCTCACCTGTGCTTGTGACGAAAAGCGGTGCTGTCACTTGTGTTTGACGGGTCTCTAAGGTTAAGCTCAGAGTTTGGCATGCATCTGCCGCGGCCAATCTCATATCCGCCTTTACGCACTATTCGACCCTGTTACGTCTGTGGAATATCACAATTGAAGGAAAAAGACGCTTCATCACTTGCACGGGAATAGCCGGCACACTGTTGATCTGCCTCAAACGAACCATCCTGCCTAATCGGAGCCGGATCAGCGTTTGGAAATTCTCGCTTCCGAAATCGAGCGTTCGCGCGCTATTCAACTCATCGCAGTCACACTGTCTCCGCACGCACTCTTTCCTTATTGATCGCTTCGAAACCTCCATCTTATCGTATCACCACCACACATCCTAATCAATCTAAAGATGGCATCTCGATTCTCAGCTGGCCTCTTTGGCCGTAACATGACCTTGGCTGTTGCTCGTGTTCAACAGCAGAGCGTTCGTCGCCTTGCAACCGCAGCTGGCGAGAACGAGTTCGTTGCCGCGCGTGTCCACCACAAGGAGCACGCTGGAAGTAAGTATTGTCTCGACAGGAAGATGCGGAGGAATGAGGCAGAGTAGAATTGGGATCGATAGGAGCAGGAGGGGAAGAGTTCGCATTGTACGGGAAGACAAAGTGCACGAATGGCCTCACTTCGATTGCTTCATGCCAGCTGCGATGAACAAGGAGGGCAAATGGTAATGGGTCAGCCGTGATGTAGACAGACATCTCGACAATTACAGCATGACAGGAGAGGCAACAGCAAAGGCATAGCAGGATTTATAAAAGAGGATATCAATCCGCACCGCAGCCCATTCCCCCGCATTCCGTTCCAACATCTCTACATCTGAAACCTCATACTGACCCCTTCAACCTCCTCCTTTTCCATCTTTCCCGGATCACAGAGTCTGCTGACCTCTGGCGCAAGGTTTCTATGTACGTCTGCATCCCAGGTTCCATCGTTCTAGGCGTTTACATCTACGGTATCGAAAAGCACCACTACGACCACATGGTTCACGAATACCACGAGAACGGCAACCAGCCTCCTGAGCGCACTTTCTACGAATACAACAACATTCGCAAAAAGGCTTTCCCTTGGGGTGACGGCTCTAAGTCTTTCTTTCACAACGAGAAGATCAACTACGCTGTCAACCCTTAAATCTCCTCACTCAGGAGTAAGGATGTTTCGCAGCTTTTTGCTTCAACTTCGAATCTACAGGTCCTTCCCCATGTTGATGCCGGAGTGATTTGAGGCTTGATGCCCAGCGTGCACTGTGATCTTTGAGCCAGCATGCTTTTACGCGGACAGCCCGCAGCACCTGGGATGTCCTATTCTTGAAGTTGGACGCTCTCCGCTTCTCCTTGAGCACACGAACGCTGCCAGTCAGACAATAGGTTCAGGAAACGCACCAGTCCGAGCGGTTGAGTCAGATTTGTGTTCGATCGAACAAGTCATCGAGCACACAGATCGAAGATCCCTCAATCACACTGACGCAAACGCAGATACAAGCATAGGGAAAAGAACGTAAAGATAGCAGATTGACAAAAAAAAAAAACATAACGAGAAATGGAAGAAGAGCAAGGGATGAAATGTCTGAACCATGAGAACAAAATTCAAGACGGAGGAAGAGCTCGATTCAGATGTTCAGTGCCGTAAAAGTGTACCTCGAGTATCGATGAGTTACAATAAGGCTGGGGTATGCGATGACGATAATGGATGGTGAGGAAGCTTAGTAATGAAAGGAATGAATTTCTTCCTGTCTTACTGCTGCGGCTCATTGATCATCTCCTGAATGCGTCTGGCAAGGGAAGAAATCTCGCCTTCTGCCGATGCACCGTCATCGGAGCCCTCAGTCCTGACGTCCTCCGCGCTGTGGTCAGCCGACAGCGAGGCAAGGTGCTGGATGAGTGGCAACAATTGCTCTGAACTCCTTATGTGCTCCTCGAGCTGTGCATCACCGCTCTCCAACAACTGCACGATGGTCCATACTGCAATGTGCTGGAAAGTGGAATCCTGCGACTCGAGGAATCGGATCAAATAGCCATGCAGACCACCCTCGGGCTGCGACCAGACAGCGTTGAAAGGACCGTAGTCGTCTGACTTGGATGAAAGGTTGCCGAGCGCTGCTGCCGAGTTGCCCTGAACTTCAACCGAAGACGAAGCAGTCAAGGGGATGAGCACCTCGCAAATACCCATCTCGAGGAGCTGTGGCTTGAGGTCTTCGGAAAGCGCGAGGACGGCAGCACATGCAGTCATCTCGCTCTGTACGCTGAGAGGAACGTTCAGCACGAGCTCCTTGATGCGCTCGACAGCACCTGCCTCGACAATGGCGGTCTTGTTGCGTTCACTGGAAGCAGCAAGGTTGCGGAGTGTGCTGATGGCGTGGCATTGGATTTCTTCGTTGTCTTCGTGGCTGAGCAGGTCGATGAGCGGGTGGAGGAAACCGGCGTCAATGATGGGCGACTCGTTGGCAGGGTGGATCGAAACGTTGCGGACACAAGCAGCAGCGGAGAGGATGAGAGGCAGGAACGAGGATCGCAGCAATCGGAGTAGAGGAGGCAAGCCGTTCGAGCGAACAATCTCGATTTGGTACTTTTCGTCCGATGCAAGGTTACGAAGGGCAAGGGCAGACTGGCACTGCACCTTGAGCGAGCTGCTCTCCATGAGGCCGATGAGGTTCTGGACAAGGCGGGGTTCGGTCTGAGCGAGCTTCTTACGGTTGGCGGCGTCGACGGCAATGTTGCTGAGGGCGGTGGTGCAGTAATACTGAACGTCAGTGTCGGAGCTTCCGAGCAGACCAACAAGGACGGGGATGGCACCAGCATTGACAAGCTGCTGACGGTTCTCGTCGCTGTGTGTCATGTTGAGAAGAGCACCGGTTGCGTTACGCTGCACACGCATGTCCTTGGAACGAGCGAGACGGGTGAGCGGCACCAATGCGCCGGACTTTGCAATCTTGGTCTTGTTGTCGTCGTGAGTGGCAAGGTTGGTGATGCAGCCGACGGCGTTGCACTGCACTTCGACGTTGGGGCTGAGCATCTGGCGGATCAGAGGTTCGAGACCACCGAGCTTGACGATGAGGAGCTTGTTCTCGGCATTAACAGCAAGGTTGCCCAGAGCGGCGCTAGCAGCTCGTTGGACTTCGACGTCGTGGCTTTGCAGAAGGAACATGATGGGCTCGAGTGTGTCGCGTCCGACCTCGCGAACCTCCTTTTCTGTGATCTCGGCAAAGGCGAGGGCGGCGCTTCTCTGCAGGTCCACATTGTCGCTGAAGGAAAGGGTGGATAAAGCTCGCAACGGGTCGCCAGCGAAGAAGTTGGTCTCGGATCGGTCTGCAATTGCGGTAAAAAGGATGTAGTAGTAAGTTGGCATGGGACGAGCGTTACAAGTAGGAAGGAGAGGGGGCAGGAATCAGAAGCGGTCAGCATTGGACTTGTGACAATGTGAAACACGAATATGGCATGTACGTTGCTTGGAGCATCGCAAGCCATGGGCGATAGCGGAACTAATGATGTAGGTATAGCGGCATACGTGTGGCATCGCGGGATCACTCACTTTCAAGGTACTGGAGAAGGTCGGCTACAGCATCTCGCTCGTTGTCGAGCAGAAGAGGTTCATAGTTGGCATTTCTCGAGGAGCCACATCCGCAGCAACTGCAGATGTTACCCATAGCTTCGTTTGCAAGCCGTTATCGCTATGCGCTGCTGTCTCTGATGAACGTGAGAGTTGCTGAGGATGGAAATGCAAGGTGGTTCTCCGCGCTTTTACTTTGCTGAGCTCTGCAGTGCTATGTCTGTTAGGCGTGCTAGATGAGACCAGTAGGAGCAGAAAGGATTTGCTTCCGTCAAACGACTCGAAGAGCAGATTTAGATATGCGGTCCAGTCCTATGCGTCAGAACAATGGAGACGATGCGATGCGGGATTGAGACAACCAAGCCAATGCTAGTCCGATGCGAGGTGGGATCGAGGTGGTTGGAGTGTAGGATAGTCGAGCTTCGAATGTGGTACCGGAGGCCGTGAACTGACGGATTCGCAAGCAGGTGACAATGAGAGAGGATGATAGGGTCTCTATGATGAGGAGTGGAGATGTAAGAGTCGAAGTCACTTAGTGGAGCGCGTCTTTCTGCGACAACCAACAACGACGGTGGGCTCAGGTGGAGTTACTGACTGAGTGTAGTGAGCGCGCAGCAAAGCAGATCAGGAGTCGAAAGTCTCGAGTTCCTCCGCCAGCAGGCGCGCGCATTCACCAACAAAGGCACTTTTTAGATGGTCAAAGCCCAAGGGAACGACACTTTTGTCGATTTCTCGACACGCACTCGCAAAGACCAACAGCAATTCAACTCGACAGGAGCAGCAGCAGGGCAATGCTGTGGAAAAATAGAAAGAATTTCAAAGAGAAAAGAAAAGGGGGTGCGGGGAAGGGACAGAACAGACACCAGCAGAAGAGCGTAACGCAGCTTTGTCTGAGCTTTCAAGCTCTCACCTCTTTTCTCCGAAATCGAATACAAATTGGCTGCAGTCTTGTATCCGCAAAGTCGAGCTTTGCTTCTTTTTGAACTTCTCATGAGCTTTCGGTGCTTCAAATGTTCAACTTCGAATGAATTCACCTGCTTCTAGGCAAAGAACATTGAGCTGCTCGAGCCCTGACCATGGCGTAGTCAACCATTAGCTTCATATTGTATGCTCTGTCGGAGTGCATACTACCGACCATAGTCGACTCATGCAGTGCAATGCTTGCCCATCGTTCTCGGTATCGACATGATCACAGACAAGTCGAGCAGCGATTGCGGGTGATACAGATGAATTACAGATGTGGTGAACGCAAATTGCTTGACTATGTTGCTACTTGAGTGATGGGCGACGTGCGGCTGTGAGAGTGCCGTGAGAGAAGGCCACTGGCAATGGCATCCTTGCAGAACGTGGCGAAGACGGCGACCTCGGTGCTTCTCCAACCTTGGTGCCTGAGTCTGGCTCGGCCGCTGATCCCAATGCAGGAGAAGTAAGCGAAGAAGCATGTGACGAAGACAGCGGCAGAGGAGCAGGCACCGTCAAGCCTTGAAGACGGTAGCGTTCGCTCAAGCTCATCCTGGCAGGTCCGCCCGCTGGAGATGCTCCAACTACGCTGGCTGGGCTCATCTCTAGATCAGCATGGATCGTTGCAAGTCGCACCGAGGCCGGGCTTCCCATCTCACTCTGCTCCGAAATGGGTGCCATCACCGCATCGTTCGCTTGCAAGAATTCGGCTGGGATTGGCGTCCGCCTAGCAGGAGGGGCAACTTCCAATGATCTGCGCAGGAGCGAGCTTCGACGAGGGGGTGGCGTCTTTGGTCTTGTCGGCTGCTCAGCGCTGTAGTGTCGTGGAGCTGCTTCCTTTTCGATTGGGACGATCGGCATTGGCTTGTTCGCTACTGAAGACAGAGCTGGCATCGATCCGTACGACGGACCAACTCTCTGTGCCACCTCGGCACTGTTCCTAGCAGAAACATTGGTGCCTCGCGATGAAATCGAGTCCCATCGACGTCCCAGCTTCGCGAAGCTGGCAAACCGCGAGCTCTCGTTCACCTCGTTGCTTTCGTTAGACGAAAAGATGCTCGTGCCGAAAGATGAAGACTTGGAGCTTCCCGAACGTCCTCGCAAGTGTCGCGAGCCGACGCTGGTGTGGAACGCAGGCCCGTGCAGCATCTCGTAAGAATATTTGCGCGAGCTTGGCGGGTATCGCTTGTCCTTGTTGAGCGAAGTTGTGTCTGACAGAGGTGGCGCAGGCAGTGGTCGCGATACGTCTGCAGAGAACATTTGAACGTTGGGCAAAGCTTTGTCACGAACAGAGGCCGATGATGCAGAACTCCCATGCGCGCTCTGACCCAAGGGGAAGGGTGTGGGCTGGGGGTAAGCCGTCTGCTTGTCCGTTGAGCGCAACCAGGGGAAGCGGAAGACTTTGTTCAGGCTCGAAGTGGACGACGAAGATCGCAGACGAGAGTGTTCCAAGTCCAAAGACTGAGATGCGCGGACATCCTCGTCACGCCCTGCAAGATTCATCTTTGACATGGATGTAATTCTACCACGAAGAGTGCGAGGAGGCTGAGGTTGTGAAGTGACCGATGCATGGGCGGCTGGTTTTGGCGTCGCGCTTACGCTTGGGAAAGGCTCGACGCCGCTGGCCTTTGTTGGTACCAGAGGCGCGGATCTATCCGACTCTGACGAGGCGATTGAGGGCAAAGGCTTCCTTGACTCGCCGTTATTGGCTTTCGTCGGCGGCGCTGGGAAGAGGGCTACGGAAGAAAGATCTGGAGTAGCAAACGCGGACGAAATCGAGGGACGGCCAGAAGCAATCTCCGTAGAAATTCTAACCACCTGCTCTTGCAGCCCCGCAATCTCCTGCTCATGCTTTCGAATGAGCTCTTTGTTCTTCTCGACTTGATTCCAGAGCTGCGCTTGACGAACAGGATCCAGGACGTTGCTTGCGCTCAGCGATCGGTTGCGTCCTGGCGATGATGGACCGGACACTTGCAAGTTGCCTGCAAACGAGGTGGGAGCGCCCGACGAAGTTGCGACCTTCTTGAGACTAGCTGCCATGTCGCCTCGGCAGCCGCACTGCCAAGTCGCGTTATTCTTACCAGCGAGAGGGCAGCTAGGACGATGAAAGGCCGAGGGAGACGGGCGGATAGCAGGGACGCCGTCATCATCAATGCATACACTCCAAGCGTGAAGCTCACCTGGAGCTCGCTTGCCGAACTCAGGCGCAAAGCGATTCAGGACCGTATCAGAGTTGCGTCGAACCAATCTGGGCGAGGGGGTTCGATCCTGCTGTGGCAGAGCCAACACTGACTTTTGCACACCTGCGTGTTCTTGCGCGTTAGTAACATTTGCTTTCGGTGGCACGCGGGGTAGCGTGAACGTCTGATGAGCTTCTGAGCCGGAATATGCAAGGATCTCCTGTTCATCGTTGACGACGAACTGAGCGAAGCCAGTCGCTTCCGATTCGCCTTTGAGCAGAAGCGGGCTTTGCAACAGAGCAGGCGGCTTGGGCGCTTGCTTTATGGCAGAGAGAGCAGGCATGCTTACGCTTGCGGCAAGTTCAGCGTCAGTGGCATCGGCATCTCGACGGATGGGCCTCGAGAAGTTGTAGCTGGCTGTTGGTCCATCTTCGCTGCCTCGACCCAGAAAGGTGCGACGATGCTTTGCACGCTCCGCCTGCAATGCCGTAGTGGAAGGACGCGCTGCATCCATGCTGCTCTTGGACATGGTCCAACCAGGGCTCTGCTGCTCGAACGGTGGTCTCGATGAAGATATGTAGGGGAGGCCGAGAGTCGATGTACGATTGCTGCCGCGGTTCACAAGCGGTCTGGCCACACTTCCCTTAGATAGATCTTCACGAGCCACAGCATCGTCCGAAGAGCCTTGTGAGGCAAACAGGGTCGAGAGCATCGGAGTCGAGCTCGACCTGGAGAGACGGTCTGAGCTGTGGTTGGGCGTTTCGTCAACAATCTGCAGGGCAGCAGCCGAGCCGAGCAAGTGGTTGCGCCAAACGTGCTGAGTTGTATCGAGCATTTGCTGGACCGTCTCGCGTGGAATGTCGAGCGACTTTGCAAGCTCGTCAGTGGATGCGTTGCGTCGAAGCGTCAATGACTTGAGATTGCTACCATTCGGAGTCTTGGCTTGCAGTGGCTCATTTGAGAGAGACGCGTTCAAAGGGCCATCCGCCGTCTTCATGGTCGCGAGGCGATCGATGCTGGCTGAAGAGCGCAATGTGGGCAGAATGAGCGGCTTCTGCGCCTGTCGTGAGGGCCGTCCTGAAGTGTTGACGACAACTTTTTGCTGATTGTCGAGTTGCACACTGTTGCTCGGCGTGTGTCGCCGAACAGTGGCTTGCGAGCTGGCCAGGGTATTTGGTGGCAAGTCTGGCAAAGCCATGGTGGGAGCGGGACGAGGGGGAAGGTTGCGAGTCGTGCGGTTCTTGGATTGCGACATTGAGGATGACGAGCTCAGCGTCGGTTGCATCGTTTCCGCTGAAGGTCGAGAGAAGGAAGCTTCGAGCAATTCGGTGTCGTCTTCATCCATGTCGAGATACGGCGACTCTGTAGAGGCATCGGAGCCTGCCAAACCACCGTGTTTGTGCGCTTCTGCATCCCAGCGCTCACCACCATCCCAGCTGTTTTCCTTGACCATGGCTGGTCGGACATGCAAGGCCTTGTCATCTGCTGGTTCGGCAGGAGAGAGTTGAGAGATCGAGGCGGCTTCGTTCGACGATGCTTCACGCCCGGTGGGCGATGGGAAAGAGCTGATGAGTGATGCCAAAGCGGGAGAAGAGATTGGCAGCGACACTTGCGGTGAACGAGAGGCATTCCCAGGCAGTGGCGATGAGGGGAGTGGCACTTTGAGCGTGTCACGACTGATCTCTCCACGCAAAGAACTTGAAGGAGCTGCAGATGCTGCATATCGGCCGTTGACTGATGAGCTCGCTGTGAGCGGGGATCGGCCATCCGCATCTTGCGTCAACGGTGGATCTCTGATTGTTGGCAATGCAACAACCGGGAAAGGGCCTGGCTTGACACCCTCGCCATCGGAATCACTGTCCTGATCTTTGTTACTCATATCGAGAAAGGAGAAGCGAGAAGCATTGAGGTCAAGCAATCCAGAGGTGCTGAAGGGTAGGCCGAAACCTGCGTCGTCAAGCTGTATAGCGGGAGGAGGGGATGCGGCGGAGGGTGGCGGTAGAGGGAGCGAAGCGTCGAGGATGGGCGAGTAGGTTGTGACGGACTCGGATGGTGTGGTGCGCTTCAACTTGGGTGCCCATCGGGGCTGCCAAGCTTTGCCTGGAGCTTGCGAGCTCGCAGATGAGGGTGCTCTAGATCGGGTAGCGACAGGAGGATTGCTCGGACCTGCTTCTGATGACCTGCTTTGTTGTCTTGTCAGGGAAGGCACATGGATGCGAAAGCGCCCACTGTTGGTGTGGTGCCCCTCTGTGGGCCCATTTGCCTGATGCTGCGAAGGTAGGCCGATATGCGAAGGCTCACCGGTCGAGGTCATATCGGATCCAGAGGCTCCTGTTGGCCATGGTTGCGAGCCGTTGCGCTGCTTGTCGATGCGTAAAGGTGGTGGAGGGAGCTCTTTTGGGGCGAACTGCGAGGACATTTCCTGTCACAACGAGGGGTATCGGATCGCAGGTGCAGGAGAGCCGTAAATCTGGACGTAGAGATGTTATCTGACGATGGACATCACGGTCGTAGCTTGGTCGGGGTGGTTGCAACTCGTCTCGAAACCTTGCCTGACTAGGAGACTATCAGGGACCTCAAACGGTCGGAAAGGGTTGAAGGTGGGCGAAAAGAAAATTGGCAGACCGGCTGCAACGAGAGAAAGTTGGATACGATGAGCGGCACTTCGGAACTTCCTGATGGACTTGGTCCTCTTGTATTGGCCCAATAGGCTTTCCTGCAGGAGACTGCGTGATCCTTTGTGCAGAACGATGACAAGTGCAGGTGTCGAGTGCAGGTGTCGAGTGCGACCGGCGCAATCGAGGTGGTGCTGATGATGATGAGAGCTATGGCAGACAAAGGAACGAGATGATGGTGGGAACAAAAGACCAAGAGGGATCCTTCTGGCCATTGTCAGGCACAAAGGGAGACATCTCTTCACGAAGAGAAAGACAGGCCCACTGTAATGATCCGTATGATCGCACGCCGAGGCACGATGCCGATGCCACGAGCAAAAAGTGTGCGCTTTTCTGCAGCAGGATGCGTTGGACTGCAGTAACAACTGTCCTAGTTAGTTACAGTAGTGCTCACAAGAGTGCTTTTCAGCGCCCCTTACGGTTGTGGCGTCCCGACATGGTTTCCCGCTGCCGTTTGTGTGCCTTTTCTTCTTGTTGCTCTTGTTCCTTTTCCCACAGTTGAGTTCCTTTCTCGCATTCACGATTGGCAGACAGACGCGAATTGTCGGTGTTCATGCTGAAATTGGCGATCCAATGACAACGCTGAAGAGCGATGCAACGTCGACCAGATCGGAGATCAGACAGAGCCAATCTAATGAGGAGGCAGATTCAACTGGAGATCAAGGATAACCAATCTCACCAGAGATTGGGGACAACAAAGTCCTGCTCATTGTCAGGCTGGATCATTAAGCATAGCAACTCCCACATTCAGCATGTGCTGCTCACTTGTATATATATCTCACAGAGAGCACTAGGCTCTCACCATATTCCTTTAGTCAATTGAGTATATTTGTTCTGTCTATAAACTAGCAGCAACATTGTACTTAGACTCTCCCCAATCACTAGTATCAGGACCAAAATGACTCCAGTTTCTAACAGGTTATGAGCCCAAAACCAAGCCCTACCTCACCCTCAAATTCACCTTCAATGATGTCTGAGATAGACTACTTGATGTATGATGACTTTGTTGACTCCATGCAGGATCTACTTCCATGCCTGCCAATGATAGTCCAAAACTGCTTCAATCAGGTTATGACCAACAAAGTCTATGGCATGCCAAATACCCCAAAGACCAGTTGACTCCTGAAGTACATGATGGATGACGATGACAAAGAGCAGGTAGTCTCACCATTGTCCATCATGATTGAATGTATTGGTATCCTCTACAAAGCAATGCACAATCTTGGCCCATTTGCTGACTGAACCAAGCTAGGTAGAGCAATGCAAACCAGAGTGACTCTCTTCCTAGCTAATGAGGAATGGGATGTGACTCACATCCTTGATCTCAAGATTGAGGGTCCAATCAAACATGCATGCCTCCCCATTAAGGTTGAGAGCCCTACATTGGGTCAGAGCAACACCCCAGCCTTCGAAACAAGCAACTCCAATCACCATCTGATTGGCCATGAAGCTACACTGTGTCCTACCCCTGAACTCAGTGCAATCACAAATCACCATCTAAAGGTGTTTTCTGGTCTAAATGATAAGATGAAATGGGAGGAACAGGACCTACTGGACCCCAGGTCGGTCTCAGTGCATGCATGGTGACACAAGATGCTTGCAATGCTGTCTGTCATTCCATTCACATGTAACATTCTCAACTGAAAGGCAATGACTTTTGAAGATGCTGACTCCATGCTTGGCTCCATCATCATGTGTAGCTTCTCAAACAAGTTGCATTCCAAGTACTTTGCAGAGCATGGCAATCAACCGATGCCAATTGCTGTAGATCTGTTCAAGTGGGCAATGAATAAGTGTATGGTACACTCCACTGCCAAGGAGTATGAGCTCCTCACAGCCACCTATGACTTGCATTGGGACCAAGTTGGAAGCAGAGCATACAACTTCCTTACTAAATGGGAAGCTCATGTATCCAAATTGCATGCCTACTTGAAGGTCCCCTGGACACTGGATCACTGTTACTGGACACTCAAGCACACACTACCTTCAGACAGAAATGCACTATTCAACTCAGTGTTTGTCTTGCACAAGAGACTTCATGGGAAGGAGCAAACAGCCAAAAGTGTAGCTAACATACTTCACGAATGTTATGAACTTGTGGCCAAAAGTGCCCCTGTACACCTTCCTCCCATGTCTGAAGCATTGGAACTGATTGCATTGCACACTGCCATGCTCATCAATTGTTGGGCCTGTGGTGAACTTGGCCACACTGCCAATTGTTGCCCAGACAATGCTGCTCACACCAAGTGGGAACAAGGAAAGATTAAGGTGTCCCCCAAGGGTCATGCCAATGCATGTGTCATACTACCTCTTGAAGACACCCAGGAGGACTAGGATATGGTGCCAGCCTTGGCATTTGCCACAGAAGTCAAGCCAGCACCCATTGACCTTCCACCCCAGTTCATGCCATTTGTGTTTGATTCTGGGGCATCCTGTGTCATGGTAAACTTGCCCCAGCATGGAAAGGGTTGGTGGGACATGGACATGTCTGTGAACATTACCACAGCCAATGGAGGAGAACTTGTTGCCACCAAGATGGGGGGGAACTGTTAGCCTCCTGAGCTTCAGTTCCCAGCTGTGCCAATGGGAGTGAATGACATATCAAAACTGTCTGTTGGTCCCCAACCTCGTGACTGTTGTCATGGGCCTGGATGCTCAAGAAGCAGGAGAGTCACTGGTTCATATGGAAGGAGCACAGGTATCGAAGACTTAGTCGATACCAGTAGAGAGCATGGTCGTAGTGCAGTCTCCATGGAGACCATGGACTCCTATGGACTCACATGCAAAGGAGAACCAAGCCACATGCGAGGAGGGCCAGGCACAGCCACGAGGAGGACCAAGCTCAAGGAGCAGGCACAGCCACGAAGAGGACCAAGCTCAGATGGTTACCACTCAGGGGCTCGAGAGACAAGTGTATAGGACACTAGCAGGCAGGTCCTGAGGAAGAGGAGCAGTGTCGAAGGAGTCGACACCAGGTCATGAGGAAGAGGAGCAGTGTCGAAGGAGTCGACACCAGGTCATGAGGAGGAGGAGCAGTGTCGAAGGAGGCGACACCACTCAAGAGGCACAGGGGTGCCGAGCAGGAGAGGCCCCTGAGCAGTACTCGATGAAGAAGGTACTCTCTGGAGAGAGAGCAGGAGCAGCATCGCTGGCGATGCTGTGAAGAGGTATATAACCATGCTTTCTCATCATCATAGGTCGAGTGGATCCTCATCCACTCTACTCACCATAACTAGTTATCACTTCAGCATAAGTATAAATTAGTTTCAGTCAGCATAGCAGCAATCTATCAAGGTTGCTCCTCATTGTAGTGCATGTGTTGTATCACCACTACCTGACATCCGAAGGTGCCCATAGCAGGTTAGCAGTCTGGAGATAGATAGAACCGAAGGCAGTAGTCCACTGCGGTCTGGGGATCACCTTAAGCAAGCATCAGTCAACACACTGGACACTCGTGTTGACGCCACCAACCTTATCACCAACACCATCAACCTCATTCTCATCAACACCCACCAACCTTATCACCAACATCATCAACCTCATCATCATCAACACTCACACCAGATCTTGGTGTCATCATAACCGAAGCATTGATATTGATTGTGCTGAGCTACCCCTGAACAGAGTGTCCACAGAGGTCAGCCGAAACCTACGATAGTATATACAACGAACACCACCTGCTGTCACTGCGCAACTTGATAGTCACCGATACCGAGACAATAGCTGTCGCACAGTTTGATAGTCACCGAGTATCTCGACAGACCGACCTGGGTTTCAGGCGCGAGACCCCTGACAACTGTCATGGGAGCCGGTCGGCCGAAATGGAGTCTGCGCCATCTGCACAGACAGAGAGGTTAAATCGGTTGAAGGGCTGTGTAAGAACCTGACTCAGCAGTTCCCAAGGAGATCCAGTAGGAGACTGTAACTCGCTGGATATCGGGGACTACTGGTGGCAGGAACAGATGGGAGGGTTGTTGAGCAATGCCACTCTGTGGTACATGTGGGAAGTCATCATTGTCGATCAACGATGATCAGACATGTGATGAATTGCTAGGGAACAATCACTCTGGAAGTGTAGTTGGCTTGGCAGCTCAGGAAGGTGCTGAAGTCAGCTTTACCAAGCAAGGCCTGAGTGGTGCCACACGCAGGTCGTGTGGTGGCACTAGATCGTGTCCTTGATACAGCATTGTATATATACTATCTCCCCATGCTATTGGATGAGCAGAGACTCATCCACTCTACTAAACTTTCACAGTTATCATAGCTGTACATTCTACTACATGAACAGTAACATTCTTTCTATGTCGCACATCGCAATATCATCTATTGTGATCATTGCAAGTCTGAGCCTTCATCATCAAATGAAGAGTATTGTAAATGATGTCGTCGACACCTACATCAGCACTGTAGCACCTCAACTACAGGTGGAACCTCCACTGTGGGCCTGGAACCTCTACCAGTCCCTATCACCTAACTGCTGCCAGCAACATCGACCAAGCACTAGCTCCATCACTCACAGTACTATGCCAACATCTCGACACTCATGCTAGCATTGTACTACACCATTGCTAGGAGCTGAACTTGCCACGTTACCTCTGTACAGAGTGCCAACAGCAGTTAGTCGACATCTGTTCCTTGGGCCTCACTCATTGGGTATCATGGTTACCCATTAAGGAGAGTCTCCTCACTGGTTCTCCGAGAAGTACATTAAGTCAACCCTCCCTATCGGAGCTCGCTGAGATCCGCTGAGACGACCCATTCCGCAGAGAGTCGGGTGTTAGGCACACGACCACTGACAGTGACCAACCTCATTGGTACCAAGTCTGTCACATGCACATGAGGCAGAGTGACCTTTGAGAATGAGCTTGTCACAATTCAGGATAAGCTTGGACATGCAATTAGAGTGCTGACAGGCCAGGATGGTTACCCTGCTGCTGCTATGATCATATGGAATGACAATATGCCTGAGCCAGCTGTCTCCCTAGCTTTTGCTGCAACAACAATGGCAACTAACACAGAGCATCCCCACAGGTTTGGCAGCAAGGCAAGCATCTGGCACCAAAGATTAGGGCATGCCAGTCACAATGTGATCCTATGGATGAGGGCAGCTACTACCCTCCATGACATACCCTTGACCCTGGTGATCCATCCTGGCAACCTGTGTGATGTCTGCATGTGAAGTAAGGCAATCGCATGGACTACCACTCATCCTTGGCAGGTCAGTGAACCACTCAAACTGGTGTCAATGGATGTCATGGGTCCACTACATGGTGCCACTCAGTATTCATATGTGCTCATCATTCATGATGCTCATTCCAGTATGATCTGGGTGCGAGGGCTAACACACAAAGGAGCCACATCTCAGGAAGCAGCTTGGTGGTTATCTGAAATTCATGTTGCCAAGAATCAGAGACTGTCTGAGGTGATCCTGGATCACAGAATCAAAGAGATCTGGGTGGATCAGGGTGAACTTTGGTCTGCCACCTTCCATGAATTGTGTTCTTCAATGGGCATGAAGATCTCTGCCTCACCCACTCAACAACACACTGACAATGCATTTGCCAAACAGGCAATCCAGACAATCCAGAAAATCGCCCAGAGCCTTATCTATGACTCAGGTATGGATGAATGATGGTGGCCACATGCCATACTCCAGGCAGCATTCATCCACAACCGACTCACTGGTATGACACATGGAAATGTTACACCCCTCGAACTCTTCTTTGGTCATCACCCTGAGCTACACCACATCTGACAGTTTGGCTGTATAGCTTACATCATACTTCGAGGAAGCACACACTCAACATGGCTGTGAAACCACCTGATGGTTAGTAAACACCTTCAGCCACACACACTTCGAGGCACATATTTGGGTTTCTCAGATGAACCACATGTGGTCAAAGGCCACAAGGTCTGGCTTCCAGAGCTCGACTGCATGGTTGTTGCAAAAGACATTCAATTCTTGGAACTCGAGCAGCCAGGTGCAGATCCTCAACCTTTCCACAGGTGTGTCCTTGCTGGTGATCATGAGCTTTTATGCTCCTACACCTGGTTTCCTTGGGATGAAGTGACAGATGAAACAGAAACAGACAATGTGACTCACTCATCACTACCAATGTACTCTCATCAGTGTACCACTGATTCCAATTCAAGCTCTTCAGATGTCTCAAGTTTTGGCCATGAATGGGACCAAATGATGGGTGACATTGAGGAGGCTGGTGAGATCTGTCACAGGGTCGGCTGGCCAGCGAAAGAGAGTGCACCAAAATGATCAGTGGCAGTTATGGTAATGTCGCGTAACGGAGCAGTATGTCAGGGGTCTTGCGCCTGAAACCCAGGTCCGTCTGTCGAGATACTCGGTGACTATCAAGTTGTGCGATGACAGTGGGTGGCATTCGTTGTATATACTATCATAGGTTTTGGCTGACCTCTGTGGACACTCTGTTCAGGGGTAGCTCAGCATGATCAATATCAATATGTAGGTTGTGATGACACCAAGGTCTGGTGTGAGTGTTGATGATGATGAAGTCGATGGTGTTGGTGATAAGGTTGGTGAATGTCGATGATAATGAGGTTGATGGTGTTGGTGATGAGGTTGGTGGCATCAACACGAGTGTCCAGTGTGTTGACTGATGCTTGAGGTGATCCCTGGACTGCAGTGGACTACTGCCTTCAGTTCTATCTTGATCCGGACTGCTAACCTGCTATGGGGCGCCTTCAGACATCAGGTAGTGGTGATACAACACATGCACTATGATGAGGAGCAACCTTGATAGATTGCTGCTATGCTGACTGAAACTAATATATACTTATGCTGAAGTGATAACTAGTTATGATGGTTTTGTAGAGTGGATGAGGATCCACTCGACCTTTGATGATGAGAAAGCATGGTTATATACCTCTTCACAGCATCGCCAGTGATGCTGCTCCTGCTCTCTCTCCAGAGAGTACCTTCTTCATTGAGTACTGTTCAGGGGGCCTCTCCTGCTTGCTTGGCACCCCTGTGCCTCTTGAGCTGTGTCAACTCCTTCGACACTGCTCCTCCTCCTTGCTATCCTGCTTGTTTGGCACCCTTGTGCCTCCTGAGTGGTGTCGACTCCTTCAACACTGCTCCTCCTCCTCAGGACCTGGTGTCAACTCCTTCAACACTGCTCCTCCTCCTTTGACCGGTGACAGTTCTTTTGACTCTTGTCTCTCGAGCCCCTGAGTGGTAACCATCTGCATGCTCCTTGAGCTTGGTCCTCTTCGTGGCTGTGCCTGGCCCTCCTCGCATATGGGCTCGGTCCTCCTTTGCATGTGAGTCCATGGGAGTCCATGGTCTCCATGGAGACTGC